CGACAGCGTGGATGATGAATCTAAACACAGTGGTCACATGTTCTCCACCAAGAGCCCCAAGCCCGAAAAGTGGGACATTGTGAAGAATCCGTCTTACACTTACTACATCTACTACATGTATGCCAACATCGCTATAATCAATCAACTGCGCAAGTAAGTGTCCAGCCTGAGTTGGAGCTCAGTCTTACATGTTATGATAGTAACATATGAAGTGTATATACAAACTCAAGACCTGTGATTCTATACATCCAATTATCATTCATTCTTTCTTTTTTATCTCACAAGAAGGAAATTGGTTTGCAGCTGAGTTACATACACATGTCAAAAAGACATCATGCAAATTAATATTACTTGGATCAGGGCTGTGCAGTGTAACAGTGCTGTTTCACATGCCAGGAGAAATTAATCTATTCAGTTCTAATGTTTATGGTAGTTGTAGTCCATCAGGTAATTGGACAAATTCAAATGTCTGTAAACAAAGAGACGAAGTACTGCGAAGTATAAAATGTGCATAAATTGTTTTGTTGACAACAATTTGGGATTTTACCATTTGCCTCCTTAAAAAAATTAGCCAAAAGGTGTCTTTGGATTGAGAGCCTGAAGCACCCTTTGCTGGCACTTCTGCCTTTGCTATCTTTAGCCTTTATCCTTTATTGAATTAATGAATTAATAATTAACTCATATATTCAGTAAAGGTGAGCCTTACCTTTACGTAACAACTTTGTGTCCCGTTTTGAAACCTCTGACAGCAACCTTATCCAAAATGTTGCTGGTGTGGGTTCATGCGTGGATTTCTCTCTTTTAATGAGGCAAAAAAGGTTACTTAAGTGCTAATAGTGCCCCCTTGTGTAATCTGTGCTAAAATTCTAATTTTGTACATGCTGCATAAAGGCTTTTTCACAATTTACTATTTTTTCCACTAATTGGGATTACTTTTTAGAAGTATTAGTATTGACATTTTATCTCAGTGCTACAACATTGTAACTTGTGCTACAACACTAGCAACTTTTCTAGCACCAGTGCTAGCTGCTCAAAAAGATGCCATACATCTTTACTTAGATACAGATAAGCATACGTATGTCCAGGAAGACTATAACAGATCACATTTTCATCTGTTTCTCTTGTTGAACAGCAAGATCACACTGGGGATAAGTGTTTTAATCTATTATATCATTCATTTTGAACTCTATAATGAGAGACTGATGGAAGAAGATGAAATTTTACATTTAGAGGATGATCATCTATTAAAATGATCACTTCAGCCTTATTTAATGTGCACCTCTGAAATAGTTATAATAGATATTTGCTGGCATCCTGTACGTTTGCTGGTTTTAATAAAACAATTACAGAGTTTCTTGTTCCTGATTGTCAAACCCAGTGATAAACACCAATTTTCAAAACTTACACGACAGAAGACTTGTGAAACAAGGCTATATGCTTTGAGCACACGTCAAACTTTGGGACTTATCTCAAGAATATAATGTCATATTTTGAATGTCTATTCAGTTTGGGCTAGATTTACTGAAAATGTTTAAAAATGCAGTAATAAGCACACAAATCATTTCAGCACAGGTATCATATTGATATAATTTGTTATTTAAATTAAATAAATATGATACTCTCCAGCATTACTACTGCAACTGGTTACCTTCACTGTGGCTAAAATGTCCTACATGATTTTTAGAATTATTTACAGTATTTACATTATTCTTATTAAAGTCTATTAAAGTATTTAATGAAGTCTATTAAAATCTGAAACAGTATGGCCATCCTTAATATATGCGCTTGTGTTTTTTTCAGGGAGAGAGGAATGAACACGTTCCAGTTCAGGCCTCACTGTGGAGAGGCTGGAGCGGTCACTCACCTGCTGGCCTGCTTCATGACCGCTGATAACATCTCTCACGGCCTGAACCTCAAGAAGGTCAGTGTGCTACCTGCCCATATCAGCAGGGGGCGCCACTTCATAACTATGCCTTCTGAAAACTGATGAGAAGGAGTGCAAACATTGAAACCTTATTTATTATTTTGGATTTTTAAAAGACAGACAGTAATGATACGGCTTTTAAGTACATGATGTAATACAGTATTACATCCTGAGGCATCAAAGAAGGAGTAAACATGTTCTTAAGACCAAGTTTGGTTCAGTGCTCTTACCTAAACATCTATTCTTTTAACGTTGCTCTGAAAACACAAGTACACTGCAGACTGTTGTTTGTCTAACACCTCAGGTGTGTCAGTAATCACTGTGTCCTGTGTGTCTCGCTGTCCTGCAGAGTCCAGTCCTGCAGTATCTGTACTTCCTGACCCAGATCCCAATTGCCATGTCTCCTCTCAGCAACAACAGCCTCTTCTTGGAGTACAACAAGAACCCACTGCTGGAGTTCCACCAGAAGGGCCTGATGGTGTCCCTGTCCACCGATGACCCCATGCAGTTCCACTACACCAAGGTGAGATCTGACTGGGCATAAACGTGAACATTGAAAAGTTTGGAATCACTGCTCAAAAGTTTGGGGTCAGTGTTATCTGGTTGCAGATAAACATATAAAAGTATTCTGATTGTCAAGCTCTGTGCAGCTTCACAGGTTTCAAATAATTAGCTAAAAAGCTGTAACGAATTAATGCAGTTTAAACATGTTCAGAATTTTTAACAGAGTTGAATATGATATAACTGAGAAAGTATAGCTTTAACAATGGAGTTGTAATAAAATTAGCGACCTGACTGCCTTACATTTCAAATCTCAAGGGAGATAAACTGACAAAAATATTGTAAACAGATAATTACAGTGGGCTATTTATCATTTAATAACTTCTCGCTGTTCCAATATACTTTAAATATCAAATAAACATCTAAAAATCCATTCTGCTGTCTATTTTATACTATTTCAGTCCACATCAGATAAATTACTGTGCATCAAATCCAAAAAAACATTTATAAATAAATGTATATCTCATTTCATTTAAATAGTCTTAGATTGGTATAAAGCCTGCACAAGCCTAAAAAACACAGTCATTTGCAAAAGTTTACCCCTGGTCAAATTATGATTATTTAGTGCACATTTTATAGTTATTCATATTTAACATATGGAGAAAATATAACATGTGCCGTAACTTTTGCACAGGCCACGTGTGTAGAAGTGCATTCTCTGTAATTAATATTTAAATTTCTTTCGGAAAATAATCAAAACCAGACCTTTGCATGTGACCGTAGCTCAGAAAATGACTTTCTGTTCTCCTTTCTATATTCACTGAACACCTCATGTCTCTTCAGGAGCCACTGATGGAGGAATACGCCATTGCAGCCCAGGTGTTCAAGCTCAGCACCTGCGACATGTGTGAAATCGCAAGAAACAGCGTTCTGCAGAGCGGCCTGTCACATGAGGTATTTACTCATGATTCATTGAACTGAGGACAAGTTTTATGAATTGTGAAAATGGTTAACACCTGCTACTGGCACATAAATAAAAGATATTTAGGAATAATAATGTCCTTTAGAATTTAGACTGTTTTTTGCTAGTCTTGATTTATGAAAGATTACAGTTGTAAATTAAAATTTCATTTAACAATTTTCATTTGTTTCATGTAGAAAATTTAATATATGTCCACTGTACAACTTTACTACTTTGTAGGAAATTAAAAATGTGAGATGTGTTCAAAGTGGTGAACATAACCGTAGAGGACTGTATAATATCTGAGAAAGCTGTATGACTTTATGAATGAAGTTTTAATAAAATGTAACATCCATATCAGATCTCAAGGTGGATAACGTATCAAGAAAATACTGTAAATAGATAATCCAGTATAGCATTGGGCCTCATTCGCCAGTGTCTTCCTAAGTTTTTTCTTAAATTTGTACTTGAGAAACGTCCTGAGAAAAAGTCCATGTCAGATTTATGACGTGTTCTTAAACCACAGAATTGTTTGCACCTTTGTGCTCTTGAGTGTGTAGATTCTGTTCTTACCCAAGAACAAATCCCAAATAAGAAAACATTGGTGAATGTCAGAATCTTCGAAAAAAATGCGTAAACGGATTTTTAAAAGACAATTTTTTCTTAAGAACGGATGGTTAATGAGGTCCAGTGTTCTTAAAATAATGAAATATTTGAATAAAACTATTTAAAATACTTTCTGGTGACTCCAAACTTCCAGAAAGCAATGTACTTTAGTTATAAGTGAGATATTAAGTTATATAAACATGACTTGATACTTACATATAAATTTGTTGCATTGCAACTTTGTTTATTTCCAATAATTCTCAACACTGATGTGCGCCTTGTCCCTTTTGTCCCAACAGGAGAAGGTTCAGTTCCTGGGGGATCGTTACCTGAAGGAAGGCCCGGAAGGCAACGATATCCGTAAGACAAATGTGGCACAGATCCGTATGGCCTATCGCTACGAGACTCTTTGCTATGAGCTCAACCTCATCAAAGAAGGCGTGAAGGGTGACTAGGCGGCTGAGTTCACTTATAAACCCAACAGAAATATCCTCAGATATCAGATCCACTGACAGCTGGAACATCTGCCCCTGTCTTTAAATGATATGAATCCTTTTTCTGAACATTTATTTGTCAAACGAAGATGAAATGTGAGTTTTCTGAGGACTAAACTTAAGTTTTGGACTAAATTATTCCATTTCAAATGTTGTTATTCAAGGTGTGCAACAGCTGCCTTTTCTTGTTGTCCATGTAAATCAACAATACAGGGCCTTCTGATTGTTTTGGTTGTTTTTATTACTAATATTGTTATGATTATTAATGGATTCGACCTCATTTCAGACATTTCTGTAAATTACACATCATTTCTGAGAATAAATGTGGAGTCATGTGAATCAAGCCTTGTGCTTCCTCCTGCCTTCTGGGGACAACAATGATTCACCTCAATAAATCACAGTTTGTTAATGACAGCTTGTACTGTATTTCTTTTTTTTTTTACTTTTCTCCACTCTTTTTGTTAAATAAATAACACTGTGGGACTTATGTGGAGTGGATTTGCCCATTTAGATGATGAAGCACTTGGTGTGGGACAGTAAAGCGTTTGTAGTCTTAATGCCACAACCCATCTGCTCTGCTGTGGGGCGCTGAGCTCAGATGGCTGACAGACTGACAGCAGGACACGGCGGTGGCCGCTTCGCTCACAGGACTTAAACTTAGCGCCGAAAACGGACTCTTCGCTAGTCTGAGGAGCTCTTAATAGTACGAAAACTTAACTAACACCAGACCAGAAGTGTAGTTCGCCTGAAGCTGTGGGTTCTCGACGTCCTCTCGGCTCGAAAAAACTTTGGAGGAATGGATTAGAAGTTAGCTAACAGGCTAGCTTAGCATGCTAGCTCACTGGTGCGCTTCGGGGCTTTGGAAGTGAAGTGGACGGAGTTGACGACACAGCAGTCCGTGCGGCTGAAGTGGATTTGTCAGGCGGTTGTCGGGACTTTGGGTGGTCTCGTTTTCTTCTCGCACGGCTCATAAGCTCAAGAAGAAAGACACGAAGTCTGCCGAAGTGCCTTCTTTTCACAACAACAAATAACAAAGGCGTAAAAGTCGCTGGAAATGAGGAGCTCCGAGCTGCGCTGCTGTGGAAATCGTCTCTCATCACCGCGCTGATAGTTGAGCGATTAGCTTTCAGCAACGATAAATTACTGTCTCGGACACAAACTGAGGTGAGTTCTTTGGAAAAAAAACATTAAACCTGTTCTTGTCATCTTTTTAGTCTTTTTTGCACTGTGTCCTGTTGAGGGGACTCTTGAAGTGGCTCTAGACTCAACACTTCTGCTCTAAAATCGGTCTGTTAATGTCTTTAAACTACACGTTTCCAGTCTGATATGCTATCTGTGTCCATGTCCAGTGAAATCAACCCGCATTACGCCTGTGAGTGAGTTGAAGCAGATGGTGTACTGATCATAACGGTTTTGCAGTGCATGCTGAGCTCCATCCACGTTCCCGATTCCCACACTCAGAAGCTCATGCCCTAAACTACCCCACCCGTGGCACGTTGCCCCTAAACCACCCCACCCGTGGCAAGTTGCCTCATGCAGCGATACCTGAAGTGGGAGGAACACGTATGATTCAAAGCTGCAATTAGACTTATTTAGGTCTGTGATGATTGGGTGTCATCCGAGGGCTGCTTTAATGCCAGTGTCTCGTTTATACTGGTTTGGCTGTGTTGTATGTGTGGCATTTATCTCTCCTCCAGAAGCACAAGCAGTAATTCCGCTCTCCAGTTGTGTTGTGGGTAACCTGTAAGCAGGTGGCTCAGACAACAAAGCAAGACCTTTATCTTGGGTGTGAAGAAGCTGTTTGATGCTGGCGACATCTCCGCTCCATCCTCGCCTGCGAAATGAGAAGTTAGGGTGCAGGCTTTCTTTTTTTTTTTTCCCCCTAATTTGGTTGTCTGCGCTTCACAGTCCTCTCAATCTCTCCCTGCATCTCATCACAGTGTGATCACAGCCTGCGAGGGCCAGAGCACACCGACTCACCCAGGACTGCACCGATATGGAAACTGTGGGCCAATGTAGATAACTGATATTTTTGATGTACGTATCTGCCAATTCCAATATAAACACTTACATAAATTGTAGAAATTGGGAATCAGTCCACTTGGATTGGCATTACAGAGGAGTATAGCATTTTTGTAGGTTTACAGATGTAAAATGAATGAAATGCAGAGATTTTAGGGCATCGTGTCAACATACTGCTCTTCTGGAGTGCACAAGTACATCGCCAAATATTGGTTTGAGTCAAATATTGGTTTGGGTCAGATATAAACGTCTGTCTGATACAGATACATTTTTAGGCAAACATTCTCCAGCAAACACCAGCAACCCCAGTCGTTGGGTTGGTTTGCTGAATAAATATCTGTCTATGTCTTTAAATGATATGAATAATTTTTCAGAACATTTATTTGTCCAACAAAGATTAAATGTTCTAGAAAGTTCTCCTCCTGTTCACACTGGTTCAAATGACTTGTCAGTTATTAGTCTTGAGTGAACGATATGAAGCTGGCTGCCTTCATTTGAATGCTTCCGTTGAGTTGGTGTGATCTGGCCTTAAGACTATTTCCAGAAAAAGAACAGACAAACCAAATGAATCAGTGTGAGAAAAGGAGAACTTTGTGAATCCGAACCGTTCTAGAGTGTTCTCCCCTGTTCACGCTTGTTCTATTGGCTTGTCGGTTCTTATTCTCGAACAAATGATATGAAGCCTGCAGCGAACGTTTAAACGCTGCTGTTTGTTGGGTTGGTATCGGAATAAGGCACTAAATGGTTAAACAAAAATTTGGTTTAGATTTGACCAATATTTCTTCCCGTATTTATTGTTTGAGGAGCAGAACATTGGGCCTCATTCACCAATATCTCTCTAAGTTTTTTCTTAAATTTGTTCTTGACAAAGGTCCTAAGAAAAAGTCTACGTCAGCTTCACGACGTGTTCTTAAACCACAGAATCGTCTGCACCTTTGTGATCTTGAGTGTGCATAGATTCTGTTCTTACCTAAGGACAAATCCCAAATAAGAAAGCATGGGTGAATGTCAGAATCTTCATAAAAACTGCGTAATTTCTTCTCAAGAACGTTTGGGGAATGAGGCCCATTGAGATTAAGCTGGGATACACAAAAAACGGTGGATATTGGCATCGGCCCACAATTCCCATATCATTGCATCCCTAATTTAAAGCCAGCAGCCAACATTTGAATGCTTCTGTTTGTTGAGTTGGGTGCTCTGGCCTCTAGACTGTGTCTGGAAAAAGAACTGATTAACGAAACAAACCAGTGTGCACAACTGAGAACAGTCTAGAACAGTGTGAATGGCGGAGAACATTCTAGATTCTCCCAACGATCAAATACAGGTATGGAACACCAACCTAACGTTCTGGTTGTTTGTATTAGTTGTTTTGTTTGGGTGCCGTGCTCTGGCCTTGAGATTCTGCTACCATTGACGCGACACTGTCTCAGAGCATGAACTACTCATCTCGCAGCTGTCGTGCCCGTTTGATCAGTGGCTCAGCAGCATCACCCAGTCATTTCCCTGTCAGTTGCTTTCCTTATGCAGTCACAGACAGCACTGATGATTCTGCTGCTGCTGCAGACTCGAACCATCTAATTAAAACCATTACTTCACCTGTTTTTCCCCGTTTCTGTATTGTAATATTTTATACTAAAGCTGTTTGCTGTGTGTCGACCAGAGGAGGATAGGTTCCCCTTTTGAGTCTTGGTTCCTCCCAAGGTTTCCTCCTCTTGCTCTAAGGGCGTTTTTCCTTGCCACTGTCTCCGTTGGCGACGCTCATGGGGGGCTTGGACACAGATTTTTCTGGAAAGCTGCTTTGTGACAGCACCTCTTGTAAAAAGCACTATATAAAAAACGTTTGACTTGACTGATGTAAAGGCTCTTATTTTAGTAGGAGTTAAGGAGAACAGGCCGAGCTCAAATTTGGATTATTGCAATGCATCCAATCCCACTATTCTCTGAATTAAGTGCGCTGGTTTCTATAACATGGCGCTCTTACATGTCACTACTTCACTACCCCCAAAAATCACTCTTGAAGAAACAGCAGTGCGACACAGTGACACCAAAAGAGTTACCAGAGATTCTTCAGAAATTTTACAGATCAGTTGCGCTGACGTATGTGGTTTGTTTGCACTAGAATTACATTGCTTAGGGTACGTCTTCCAGCCAAAATGTTCCATTGTGGACAGCCTGGGTAAGAGCTGCAGATCTAGGCCTGTTGAATTAGCCGACATGCAGGCTGAATCATACGTCTTTCCAAAAAAAGCCTGGAATGCATCTCCATGACAAATCTGCTAAACCATCATTATGGACTTTCTGCTGATCCTGGCTTCCTGCATCTCAGGAAACACAGGCTAAACCTTCCTGCAAAACAGTCGGACAGACAGACAGACACACATTTACACAAGTGGGTCAGTCAGTCAGTTGATGTGATGATTCAGGGGGATGGGTTCTGGCTCTGATCTTGCTGGGATTCCAGCGCATACGTTCAATTTAGGTCAACCAGAACAAAGGCACCTTTTTCGGGCCGGGCGCTGCACTGGTTTCTGGTCATATGTACCCATCCCTATGCCCCCCCCCGCCCCGCTCTTTACCCATTGGCTCTTGTGGAATGGAGCACATAGAATTATTATTATGCTGTAGATGCTCAGTACTGAGGAATTCCAGCATGTCTTCCTGTCTGAATGCTTTCAGACCTCTCAGCGCAACGTGCAACGTGTCCAAAACACTTTGGCTGTGGATGAGGGCTCGCGTTACGGCTGCCAGGTCCATCCCAGCTCCAGCAGCAGCCTGAGAGACAAGAATCCCTTGAAGAATTTCAAGTGGTCTTTATTTGTGTTCGGCTTGTTACACAGACACCGGCGATTACTAACATGCATGAAATGCTGCATATTTCGTTTTTTTTTTTTTTCCCCCTTTGATTGATGTGCCGATGGGCCCTTTAAAGGGTGCTATTGTGCATTGACAAAATGCTGCCTATTTTGTGGGTATGGATGTAAAAATACTTGGGATGCCTGTCCTTTTCGTGCCATGCTGAAAGAGGCCTTTTCTGAGAGCAGTGAAATTGAATTACATTATTCTTGAGTGTGTTAATGCATGGCAGTACTTGGGGAGACCCAGAGAGGGAGGGGGAGGCTGAGGGAAACGGGACACGGGGGCGGGGGAACGGTTGCTGTGGGTGATGGGCCTCTGCAGACGACCTGCACAATGCCTCCTGTTCCTGCCGTTGTCTCTCTCTCTCTCTCTCTCTCTCTCTCTCTCTCTCTCTCTCTCTCTCTCTCTCGTTTTTGTTTTATTTTTGGCCGCACTGCTGACCTTGATGGAGACAATCCTCTGCAGCTTCCTCCCTTTATATACATCCATGTAGTGGTTGTTGTATCTTTTACTCGGAATGTAAATTTTGGCAAATTCATCTAATATCCGATCGTCATTAGTTGACGGGTAATTGTTAACTGCTAGGCCTAAAATCGAGGACACAACACATCAAAGTATTAATGGATAGTCGGATAGTTCTGGTTTGTAAAGTACTTGACGTACGCACACTTAGAAGCGCACATCAGTTCTTTGCATGGACCTTGGAACATGGTACTGATAGGTGGAGCCAGGCATAAGCTATTCAAGTTTGAAGTTATGGCCTGAAACCCTATTAAACATACACTACATGTGAGGAAACCTGGTTTTGTTTAAACTGGGAGGACGACAACTATATGTTAATGATTACGCGACCAATAACCTAAACGTTGATGAAATGACTGGAATATACATTGATGAGCTGCTGAAAGTTCAATATTCTAAAGTTACATTCACGACTCAATACTGGCCCAAGTTAAAATAAACGTAAGTGCCAGACTGAGGCTAGCTTTGACTCAGTGTACCTCAGGAGCTCTCGAAAGCTGTTGCTTCTCACATCTTTCTCTATAATTTTGCACCGCCGTGCATCGCACTGTCTCTCAGGAAACAGGGTCAAAATAATTGTCTGTCTTCTCAGTTGTGAATGTTTGCTTTCACAATAACATTGTAGTTGTGCTTCCATTCTCTCGATAAATGATCCCAAACTACCCTATTTTTAGCTGCACACTTCAGTTTTTTAGGGGTCCTATCTAGTGGGACCAGTTGCCTGTTGTGCCCTAATGTGTGCAACTCAAAAACGTTTCACAAATTGAATGATAAACCTGCCTATTCAAGTAGAAAGTGTTACTTACTGAAAATTGAATAAAATTAAATTAATGTTGTCTTAACGGATTCAATTGGTTACCATTCATATAGTGTTTTCATTATGTCCAGCATCCTTTTGTGCAGTCAAAATTGACCTTCTGTGTTTGTTTGTTTGTTTGTTTTTGATTTATAGGATGCAGTGTGATGGCAAAATGCTACAGGAACTGGAAGCTTAGCTTCTTAGACAAAGGAGCAGCAGTGAACTTTCATCCTGGACCGTTCTCCTGAGTATGTTTTCCTGTCCTACAATCACACAAATGGCCCATGGGCTTCTTCCAGTGATGTGTGTGCAGTGAGGGCTGGCTTGCTCTGTGGCCTGGTCCGGTTGCCATGCTGGCTCTGGGAGTAGACTATGGTAAGCCAGGAGGAAGAGGAGGAGGAAGAACAACGGCTGCGTGGCAGTCGCCCATTAAAGAGAGGCCGTTGGCTCGGGACAGTGGTGTCAACATCAAACAGAAAATCTCCCAATGGGAGGGACTTAGCCATCAAGAGGACGGGCAAGGGAGTAAGGCCAAGACCCATGGCACCCCTGTCTCTCGCACTTTGTCTGGGGACGTGCTCGGAAATGGAGTTTGCTTTGATGACAAAAGCGATGAACTACGTAGAAAAACGAACATATCTAAGGCTGTAAGCCTGGGCCTGGATTTCAGGGAAAACCAGGCTAGTCTCAGTCAGTTTACAGCAGGACGGACGTCCGATTTACAGCAGGAACGGACACGTTTGAACAAAGTTGTAACCTCGACCCCTGTGTCTAAGCTATCACCCATTCTGACCCAAACCCAACCTCCTGTAAACAAACTGGATGTTAAAAAGCTGAGGAACATTAACATTGATTCTAGTGATCGCTTCACGGACGCCGAAGTTAAACCTCTACCTCAGTGTGTAGAAGATCCTGAGGACTCGCTGCCCCCTGGGAATTTTTACACCTCCCGGGGTTTTTGGAGGAGACTGGAGGGCGAGGACTCGCTCTGGGTTAAAGAGAAAGACTCCTCACCGTTCTCTAAGCACCATGTCTCAGGAGAAAGTCCACCAGATGCTAACGTACCGCCACCCAAACCACAACGCACATTCCAATACCAGGGAGCTGACAGCCCACCTGCACATTTGGTCGAATGGGAGAAGCAGACTTCTCCTGTAAGCCAGTCAAAACAGAGAAGAAATCGTGATGTCATACGTCCTCCCAGTGGGCCTCCTCCACCATGTCCGGTCACTCCTAGCAATGGTTTTTCCAGAAACAGAAAGAACAGGTGAGTGAACGCTAATAATGGCCCTGCTGAAATCACCTGGGGTGGTGAGGAGTGAAATTGCCTGTTTATATAAAACTGTATTTCATATAGCAGACTTGTCCTTATGAGTGTTATAAATCAAAACACTGTACTAAATATTAGGAGTATAACATACTAATTTCATGATACGATAGGTATTTTGGCTTTTTATGTTTTTGATACAGAAGTGAAAAAAGAATTGACAACAGTTACAAGTCTGCAGCAACTAGTTAAAGACATAGTTAAGACAAATTTGAAATAATTTTAGAAGACATATAAATACATATGAAGTACATTTTTAAGTTTTAATCACTTTTAGATAGAGATGGCACAGATCTGATGGAGGGCAGATAGTGATTAGCTGCTCATTGTGAAAAACCATGCAAAATTAACAACATTAACGCTTCTCAACCCTTTGCTTTGTAATGTTAAAGAAAAAAAAGGATTGGATCAATTCTGGCCAGTACACAAGGAGTCAATATTGAGTGGCATTGTGCCATCTCTGCTTCTAGCAATGATATGAAGGTTTTTTAATGAAATAGTGGAACTCAATTTCTGTCAGGACGCCTGATATTGCAAGTTTTTGTAGCATAAAATCTACGCACATATTAAGCACCACTCTTATATAAAAAATAGATCTCAATTTTTTGCGATTTTTACTTTTCTGCTTCATTTGAGCTCAGCAGCTGTCCTTTACATTGTGTGAAACTTTCATGACGATTGGACCAATAGACATGCTCCAAAATTGCTTAGAATAAAATACCTTTCCATTAACTTACATTGGAAGTGAAGAAGGTTTTTGCCCTCTCCTGTAAAGGTGCTATTTTGGAGATACTTGTCTTTGGACAGCGACCACTGCATAACAATGTAATATTACTGTGTGGTATTGTTGACCTCAGATGTATGTTTCCTCTTTAAGGCATATTGCTCATGTTATGTACTGCTGCTTTGTTGAGATAATTCATGCTTAGCGGATCTGATAGCATGGCCTGTTATGGAAACAGACTCTGTAACCAAAACCTGTTAATGAGGAACTCTGCCCTGTTTGTGGCTTAGCAAAGAAGCAGATGTCAACTAGATGAAGCTCTAATCAAATATCCAACGCTTGCTTTATAGAAGATACAGGCCAAGGAGTGGTCACAGAATCTAATTTTCCAATTTGCAGTGTGCGTCCACCGTTGCGATATTCGGTTCGCAACACTGTCCCATTGTCAGACCCTTTGCTGCTTTTGCATGTATAGGCTGTGTTTCCACATCCTTTTCCCCAGATGCAGAACAGTCTTCGTGATCAGAGTTTCATTTTTTATGTAATGCATTAACACCGTATGTAGATCATTTCAGGAATCTGAAGTGTGATTCTGTGACCTGGGGAATCGGCCGTCCTTGCTGTTTCCTGTCCGCTAGTTTCACTTCTTTGCCTGCTGAAGGTTAGGAGGACTTCGGTGAGGGAGTGGGTGAGAACATAGCTCCCTTTGGCTCCGTTCCAGCTGTGATGTCAGGCCGTCTCTGGCAGAGTCTTAGCCTATTGTCTGGGCTTGGCCTACTTCTGTCTCAGCCAAGAGTGCAGAGGTCACATCAGTCTGTTTTTACTCTGGTGTTTACGCTATCTCCTTTTATCATTTTTCTGCTTTCTCCGGAACGTTTAGGCCTGTTTCCTTCTGTTGCACGTTGTTTGTGTCTGCTTTATCTGTCTTTTTGCTGGGTGTGTGGTTTAGAATGACAATTCTGTACTGTAACACTGTCACGCTATGTGTAGAGGGACAGGCCTTTCAACAGTGTCTGTCTGGCTCAAATGTATAAAAAGCATCAACAGTAGAACAACTGCATTGATTCTTCCCTTTCGCATGTGCTAATTACTTTAGCCCTTTGCCCATCTTTGAACATACATACTCAAAGTGAACTTTGTAATGTTGACTGAGAGGCAGTCTATTACACTTTGAGCACACAAGTACAGTAGGACTGTCACAATTTATTATACTTGTGATCACGTAACCTACGTACAATTATTTTTACTAAAGGAACTGGACTTAACTGAACAGTAACAAACAATAGCCTTCCAGAGATTCCAAAATACTTAATTGGACTTAATACTTAATATGTGAGTTAATTATTGAGGTCAGGTGTTTCAGCCATGCCCATTGCTAACAGGTGGATAAAATCAAGCACAGAGCCATGCAGTCTCCACAGACAAACACTGGCAGTAGAATGGGTCATATTGAAGAGCTTAGTGACTTTAAACATGTCACTGTCATAGGATGTAACCCTGGCCACAAGTCAGTTTGTGAAATTTCTGCCCTGCTAGATCTGCCCCGGTCAACTGTAAGTGCTATCTATTATTGTGAACGGAAGTCTGTAGTTGCAACAACAGCTCAGCCACGAAGCGGTGGACCACATATGCTCATAGAGCAGGACCGTCGAGTGCTGAAACACATAGCAACCAAATATTGCATATTACTATATTACTTACTACAGAGTTCCAGACTGCCTCTAGAAGCAAAATAAACAAAGAAGCGTGTGTCGAAAGCCTCATGAAATGGGTTTCCATGGCTGAGCAGCTACACACAAGACTGAGATCACTATTCACTATGCCAAGCATCGGCTGTAGCGGCGTAAAGTACAGGGCACAGTGCCTGTCCTTTGTTGAATCACTCAATAAAAAGTTCCAAATTGCTTTTAGAAGCAACATCAGCAAAAGAACTGTGCGTTAGGAGCTTCATGAAATGGGTTTCCATGGCCGAGCAGCTACACACAAGCCTTAAATTAAAATGCACAGTGCCAAGCGTCTATATGGAGTGGTGTAAAGCACGTCACCACTGGACTCCGTGGAAATGTGTTCTCTGGAGTGATGAATCACGCATCATTGTCTGACAGTCTGATGGATGAATCTGGGTTTGGTGGATGCCAGAAGAATGCTGCCTGCTGGGATGCATATTGCCAACAGTAAAGTTTGGTGGAGGAGGGATAATGATATGGGGCTGTTTTTGTTTGGGCCCCTTAGTTCCAGTGAAGGGTAATGTTAATGCTACAGTGTACAAATACATTTTAGACAATTATATGCTTCCAACTTTGTGGCAGCAGTTTGGGGAAGACCCTTACCTGTTCCAGCATGACAGTGACCCTGTGCACAGTGCGAGCTCCATAAAGACAAGGTTTGATGAGTTTGGTGTGGAGGAACTCCAGTGGTCTGCACAGAGCCCTGACCTCAACCCCACTGAACACCTTTAGAAGGAACTGGAACGTCAATTGTGAGCCAGGTCTTCACGTCCAACATCAGTTCCTGACCTCACAAACACTGTTTAGACTGAATGGACACAATCCAATGCCTTCGCATAAGAGTTGAGGCTGTTATAGCTGCAAAGGATGGGCCAACCCTGTGTTAATGCCCATAATTTTGCAATGAGATGTCCAACAAGCCCATGTAGGTGTGATGGTCAGGTGTCCACATACTTTTGGCCATAGAGAGTGTGTGTGTGTGTGTGTGTGTATGTATATATATATATATATATGTGTATATATATATATATATATATATATATATATATATATATATATATATATATCCACACATACACCAGTATACCATGATATTGATTTACCGTTTGGTTTTATGAATCTGTTCAGCAAAATATATCACATTTAAGAACATTTATATCCATGATGTAATGCTCATAAAATAGCATTGTCCCTGTTATGGTTTGTTTTTAGTTTTTTAATTTTACTTTATTCACCTGACACATAGTACCAAGGACCTGCACCGTCTGTTAGTTTTGTTTGTTTGGATGCTGCAGATTATCTTCAAATATCAATTTCAAATATTAAGAATAATTAAAATTAAACAAATTGTAGGTTTTCTTTTGTATAATGTGTTTCTCTTTGGTGCAGATTTAAGAGAAGAGGGCAGAACAAAGCAGTCCAATCAAAATGAGCTATAGCAGAAGATAAGAAGAAAGATAAGATTTAAAGATAAGAAGAAAGATTAACTTTTTGAATCCTTATCAAAAACATCATCTGATAGCTTTATAATAGGATAGGATATATTAGAAAAATATTGCGATATTGAATTTGTACCGCCTTGTACTAGCCATTTATAATTGAGCAGTCAAGTTTAATTGTGTAATCACGACAGCTTTGAGACACGGGAAATGCAAACCAGTTGTTGGGAGATCAAATGTGGTTTGACTGTATGAAAGAGTGACTCCTACCAACACCGCCTACTGTCTCCCTCCACAGGAAGTCATTCGAGTTTGAGGACGTGGTTCGGTTGGCGGTTCAGCAGGGGTCTAGAGTGACGGAGGCTCGCCGTTCTGGGCTGTACCATGCCCGGTCTGAGGACAGCATCTATGAAGACATCATCTGTGAGTCTGACTTGAACTCACTGACTCCAATCAGAGAAAGCCAAAACACATGTGTAGTTAAAAAGCTATGATGGTGAAACCCAGTCAGAAATGACAGCTTTTTGGAAGATAGGGGTCCTAAATGGCTGCAGCTAAGCAGTCTCTAAACACACAGCTTGTAGTAATGCTGCTCAGACTGGAACACACAGGATCAGACACTGTCCCAAGGAATTTAAAGTATGATCAAATTTGCAGTGCAAACAAGAAAAATAAAATCAGGTTTGGCCGCCTGTCTTACGTAGCCAGACTGTAGATCTCTTTCAGTCAGTTTCTAGATCACTCAATGATATATGACCTTTGTGCTTTTAAAACATGTGCTGTGCTCACTGTAACACGTCAGTGTGTCCCATGACCGTTACTTCTCGTCTATTTCATATCTAGCACATGTGCCGAGGGAAAACCCTTATGAGGACATCAAACTGTCTCCTACGTGTCTGCCCATCATGCGGTCTCGAAACTGGACTGTTACACAAAGACCTTCTCCACACACCCCAAAGGTAGTTTTCACATCTCTAGTTAATCAGTAAAAAGACCCACATATGGAGTAGGGCTGTTACCAGTTGTCACACTTGATTTAACACTCAATTATCCAGTTAAAACATCATTGATTAAAACTCAGCTTGGTGAATTGGCAGTGATTAAATGTCAGTCCGCATGAAAATAATGCATGTTTTGGATTCTCTCCTGGAGCCTGATGGACAGGCTCATTTAAATGCATCTTTTACCACATAGTTTTATTTTATTAGATAATATTTATAGTCTGTCCTCCCAGTTTTGTGTGGAATCTTTGAAAGACTGTGCATGATTTGTTATTGTGTAATTAAGCCTATTTTTATTGTTTGTTTTGTCTGTTTTTAATCATTAGATCACACTTTAGGGCTGTATTGACTTAAAATGGGATGTTTGATAAAGCTGTCAGATATCACGATGACATGAGAACTGATAATTTATTATTAAAATAGCCTCTGACTGGATGTGATGCAAGTACAGACGCTTTATTATTTGGATGTGTAAGCAGAAATCTAACTAACTCTCCTTTAAGCAAATATTTAAAATACAAAATTACAAAAGCACAATTCAGTATTTTGCAAAATAAAAAGAAATGAAATACTGACAGCTACAAACTAAAGAACTGCAAGCACATTTTTTTTTCCAAAGAAAGGCTGAGAAAAACTTTTCCGTAAAGGCTACAAAAATAAATAAATATATATTTATTTTTATATAGGCATGCAAGAATGAATAAATATTTATTTATTTGTTTTTTCTTATTAAATCTGTTTGTTGTGATTGTAGCTGCTACTGCCTCGCACATTTAAAACATAGTACTAGATGTGAGAACTTCTCTAATGTTTGATGTGTTTTTACAGCTTATAGTTCAGAATAGAGGAATTTTTGGGCTGATGGGTGTTCTGTAATCAGCCATTTAGCCTAATGGTTAAGTAACTCGTCCCTACATGAAAACTTGTATCGCAACAGTGATAAACATTATTTATTGTGCAGCCCCACTATGCATTAATACATTATTAACATGATCAATATTATGGATACACCCAAATTTCATCCGCCTGAAAATGGGCCAAAACTTAAGCAGCAAACAGAGGAAGGCATTTTACAACGTTTTATTATTAAAAAAGTAACTTATATTTTACGGTCCTGTTAAAACAGGAACGTGGCATTTCATTGAATTATTAGTCTCTGTATTTGCTCAGTTGGAACAAGAACCCAAACAGTGATTTCAGTATTTGAATACTGACACATTGAAAGTTTAACAGAGTGCTTGACTACTCATGCACATCCCTAGTGCAGAAGCATTCAAACCATCTGAGATGCTGTGTGGACCTGTTCTACAGTTTCTATGAGGGACATTAGACAAGCAGTTTGTGATCTCTTTTCATGCCTAGTATTATGATAGAGTACAGAGAGCTTCTTCACTGCTGGTTTGATACCACAATACCACAACATTCCGATTGATACAGAATACAGCAATACAGAACAGGAAGTACCTGTTAGCTTTTGGTGCCATCAGTAACCACAGTTTGTGAAATGACAAAAGAGTTTCACAAACAACAGAGCTAAGGTACAAAGTATAACAAGAAAATAATGAACTTTATCGCTTTGGATGACCAGCTGTCAGGTGTTTGAGTGACACATACTGCAACCTACATACTGTAATAATTATCGTATGTTTTTTTTTGTTTTTTTTAACTGTTTTTATTTATTGTCAGCTTTTTTGGTTTTTGATTTCAGCCCAGTGTTTCCTTAATTTGAGTTTCCTTCAAGAACTTTCATCACGGTGCATCGCTAATCAGTTGTGACGGCCTCAAGCTCTGGAGCTCAAACTGGCTATGCCCTGGTTTCCCAAAGCCTAGTTTAAGCCTAGTCCAGAACTACAATGGGTTTTCAATAGAGAAACTTTTCTCCAGCACTAAAGTGTGGGTGTAATCTATGTTTAAGATGGATTTACAGCCTTACTGTACAACTGAGTAATTCATATTAATACTGATATTTGTGCTGAACAATTTCATCTTTTTCACTTCTTCTTTTTTACTTTTTGGCTTGATTTTGTGGCTGTAGCTGCCCCCTAAGCCACTCACGTTACGGCCCAACGTTGACAGATCGCATGAGGAAGCGCGAGACTTTCAGGCAGCCGGTGACATCATCCCAAACGTCTAAGACTAGCACGCCTAGACCATCAGCAGCAAAACATGCTACTGCCTACAGAGCTCAGCGCCAGCCTCAGGTGAACAGCACAGATACACATACACAAATGAGTGCACTCAAAAATCCTGATATGCTAGTTGTTACATAATATTATCTCTGTGCTTGAGTACACCAGAGGAGTGTGCCCTGCATGTTAATGCATGTTTACACCAATTCAGAAAGCTGTGAAAAGTTCGTCCTGTGACGTAAAACTGTAGAACGACACAATCAGATGAAGTCAGAAGAGGAAAAGGAAAAAAAAAGCCATGTGAGTGGGAATGTAATTTCTGAGGAAAAGGGTGAGGGGAAGTGGTGAGAAGATGGATGGAGGAGACAGGAAATGCCCTTTATGGAGCGTTTGAGACACTGAGCATTATCACTCGTGCCATGTGCCACATGCTGACCACTGCTGACTAACCAAGCTATACTTGGCCTCGTAGGCCTGTATACAGACAGTCGGTCTTGAGCAGTAGATGTATTCATGTTAAGGCGGTTTAAATCTGTCACTGCGTTTTATTAAACAAAACACACGTATGAAGCTAATGGAAGAAAGCAGTTTCCGTGATTTGACAGAGCTAAGTGGGGAGGTAAGAGTTACCCAGTCTAATTCTTTTTCTCTTGATCATGTTAGCTCTGGGAGTCGTCTAGGAGATACCATCAAATGTAAAGATGGTTTTGTTTCTAGTATACAGTTCAAGGTTATCTTGAACTGTTTACTAGAAATAATTGTTGAGGTTATAATGGAGGGAGCTTCCCAAGGCAAGGCTAGTTTTTTATTTATTTATATAATTATTTTTGGCCTTTTTCTTTATTTAGAATCACTTAATGCTATGACATCAGTTTACAATGACGTCTGTTATTAGTTATTCTTATGAAGCGATTCATCTTTTCGCCTTATTTAATGTGAGCTCAAAGATAGAACCTGGGGTGCTGATTCGAGATAGAGAAAACTAACCTGGCTAAATGAAAAATTGAAAATAAACAAATTCAAACAAAAGAGGGGCATTTGGGGATAACATACATTTTCCAGTTCTCCCAATTTTCCTCAGATTTAGCTTCCTGGCGCCTTATGGAGAAGGTGATTCTTTCCATTACAAAGATTTCATAGATAATATCATACCAGTCCTCTGGGGATGGGGTATCTGGCTTAAGTCATTTCTTTGTAATTGCTTTTTCAGCAGCTACACCCAAAATTCCAAAAAGGTATGTTTTTTTTTTTACATTTACAGATAATGAGTGTAAAAACCAAGGCTAGTTTTTTAAATAGCACTTAAAAGAAATGCTCAAAGGCAATTCGATGTGCTTTACATAAATAAAAACAAAAAGAACGTAATGGAAAAATAAAGACAAAGTGCTCAAGTGTGCAAATCAAGAAAGATAAAAAGTAAAATGGACAGTATTACTCTACACTCTAAGTGAGGAGCATCACCACCTGTAAGGAGTCAGTCAGTCCATGAGATAACAGTGCTAGCATTTAAACTCCAAGGTGAGGGAACCTCCAGAGTTGATAAAAATTAGAAGTTACACTTGAGTCATTTCCAGCCCAGTCAGTTAAACCTAAGCACACTTGAGCCTTTTTTTAGCATCCTAAGTGAGGAAGATTGATTTATTATTCTCCAAAGAACAATTAATTAGTGTTATTAAACATAACACTAAACACTTTCCTCGATAATATATAGGTTGTTTGATTAACCTTGAAAAGTGTAAAAGAGAACAGAGTGAAAGAAAAGGAATAGAATCCCAAAAAGGTGCTGGCTGCCACCATTCAGCTGTTTGCAAAGTGATGAGTTGAGGAAGGAAATGGTGAAAAGAGCCTCTGTGCTACATGTCACATGTTAAAGTAATGCTAATGCTAGTGAGAGAATCTTTTTAACTTACTTCTAGCTTGACTTTTAGGCTTCATTTCAACAGGAAGTCAGTAAGTTCTCCCTCACTCGTCTGATATCTGATGTTCTTTGAAGCCTTAACAGCACAAAAAGCACATGAATGTACGAATTCTAACCACATTCACGAACAGAGGTTCGTTTTAGTAAATGATCTCATGTCAAAAAGCCTGTCTAAACATCCACATCTGACATGCAGAAAACTACCAGGTAACGAACGGAAAACCTGTCCTAGGGTTTATTACCTAAATGTGATGTAGGTCTGACGTGTGGCCGCAGCACACTGGGGGCCACGGTGTCTCACAGTTTAGTGCTAATCTGCTCTGTTACATTTGGTTTATCTCATGATGGATTTTTGTCATTAGCTGTTAGCTTTAAAACGACCATATACTGTGTTTTTGTTGTATTTTTTTCTCCAGAGGTCCATTTACGATGTTTGTGTGGGTTCGAATACCAAAAACATTCATCATTTGTCATTTGTTTTTACAAGACCATTTTCTAAACTCACTTCATCCCTAAGGATTAAACAAGCTGTTTTGCACAGATGTGGTGATGTAAGCAAATGTTTTGGCTCCCCTGGTCAAATTCCATGTTTTGTTGGTTTTCTAAGAGAGAATAAGTTCTGCACATTTTAATGCACAATAGCTAAAATTTCTGAATTTAACGTGTTGAAGAAAAACATCCAATTTGGCCTGTGCAAAAGTTATAGCACATTTTATGTTTCAGGTTTCATTTTTTCCAAAATGTTAAACTCAGCAAATAAACAGGAATTGTGCACTAAAAGTTGCAGAAAAGTGTCATATTTAATTGTGTTCTCTGTAGAGGATGTGTTCATTTTTTCACTTAGAAAATCAGCAAAACATGTTCAAACTTTGGCATACGACTGTATGTAAATGTGTTGTTTGTTACATCACAGCTCAGAACAGGCTGGACTGCATGCCTGGAGAGTGAGTGGTACATTTTAAAACTTTTTGAAATATTCTCATTTCTAAATGACCAAAATTTATCTCTCCATGATATGGGCCCTTTAATCATTTGTGCTTGAAGCAGAAGAAAATACTACACTTTGCAGAATTACTCTCCTTTAAACAATTAGCCCTTTACTGGTGTTATATAACTGATATTAAAACTTATTATAACTGTTTAATGTAATTATTCAGCATTATCACTGAAAGGGCCCTGTTTGTTTTATCAGAAGACGAACAGCAGGCTGTTTCTTTCCGTTCCTTAAAAACGGAGCTGTCATACTGTCTGCAGTCTAATGTGGGTTGGGCGGCATGGTTACCATGGTTACAAATCTTGACTAACTTGTTTCCGTTCTGCCAGAAAAGAAAAATTCATTTGTCTGACTCATGAAAAGAGACACCCTTAATGACGCAGGCGGTTCCACATTGTCTTTCTGTCTTTATAATTCTTTCATCACACAATGTGTAGGTCAGCCCCTCAGCAGCAGTTGTGATCAAACCGTCCTCTGTGCTCAGTGTTTGTTTGTTTGTTTGTTGTGCAGTATGTGAGCAGGATCCAAGAGATCTTCCAGGCTAAGAGAGGGAGGAAGAGAGTGAAAAGTCAGACGAGTACCAGCAGAGGTATCAGCATGTTCAAAGCCTTCACTACTGACATTAATTTGGTCATGTAAAATACAGGGTGATTCAGAAAGATTCATTCGATTTCAAAATGATTTATTTCATTTGTAAATCATTACAGAACAATGCAGTAAACGAAGTGGTTTAAGTGAGCATAAAGTTTATTGTGTAATTTTACAAGTGCTCAGTATGAACCTTGTACGGACAAAATCAACGCCATAGTCAAATTCATCCCATACTTGATTGAGCACGTCGGGTGTCACTGCACTCACGGCTCTTTCAGTGCGATTTCGAAGATCATCCAGTGTTGTGGAACCAACGACGAACGCTCTGAGCTGTTGGAGGTTCACTGCCGACGGAAATCATGTTGCACAGTTATGACTGATTCACTCTTATTGAAGTGCAGAACGCAAAACGCTTTCTGCTCAGGGGTCTCCGTCTCCTCACAGACTGAAGGGAGCCATGTTCCGGTGACAGTCAGAAATTCTATGACCCCCTCTTTCAGTTATAAAAAATACGGCTCTTTGAAATCAGATGAATGAATTTTGAATCACCCTGTTTTTTGGTCGTTGCAAAGATCCGGTTATTTGCAGGAATTGCAGTTTTTTGGAACTACAACATGTTGTCTCTCTTTGTCTGTCTCTCTCTGTCTCTTTCTCTCAATCTCATTGTTTTCTGTATGGTAGATGAGCTGAGTGGAACAGAGAGTGATCCAGAGGAGAGCACTAAAGGTCTGTTTCAGCTTCTTTTCCGAATGTGAAATATTAAATACACCTGCATTGCACAAGTTAACATTTTCCCAGCTTTAGAACAACTGAACTGACTGGCTAAGTAGAGAGTCCTTCATCAATTTACTCAACACTATGTCCTTGTGATCGTGTTAAATAGTTTATCAATTATATAACAATTACTTGTGTGTGTGTGTGTGTGTGTGTGTGTATATATATATATATATATATATATATATATATATATATATATATATATACATATATTTACACACACACACCAGAAATAAGACCCTATTTACATCTATTCATTTAACCACACTGCATATACACTCTAGTCAAATGCATCTGTGATTATTCAGATTGAAATCCTTTCACTACAGTCGTATGTGAAAGTTTGGGCACCCCTGGTTAAATCATGTGTTTTGTTGATTTTCTAAGTGGAATACAGAGACACACTTCTGCGCATGTTAATGCACAATTACTGTATGTTTGATGAATTTAACGTTAACACTGGGGGAAAAACACAAAATGTGGCTTGTGCAAAAGTTGTGGCACATTTTTTATATTTTCTTCTATTTTTTTTCCAATAAGTTAAACACAGCAAATGAATAGTAATTGTGCACTGAAATGTACAGAATAATACCATGTTTGTGTGTCCTCTGTAGATAATGTGGTAATTTATTTCCATTTAGAAAATCAACAGACCATTTAATTTGACCCAGTTTTCAAGACTGCTGATGAAAGACCAGGTTTTAAAGGGGGTCTGTTGAAATATTTTTCTAAAGTGCCCGTATAGTGGAAAACTGAGTTTGCTTCACTTTTATTAATAAAAAGATGATGGAGTTTGTAAACATTGTTTTAGTTTCAAAACATACCACTCGCTCCACAGTAATCTGCAAAAAACAGCCTGTTTTAAATTCACTGTTTCTTTTAGCTCATAAAACCAACATATTTACACATATCCACCTATTCAGCCTACAGCAGTTTAGCTACCGCCAGTTCACACTGAAGTTATAAGGAGTGTTTCAACCTGGATTGCGTTTTGAGTGAAATACAGGGCAGCAAATCAGAACGGAGCTCGTTTACATACAGCAGTCTTAAAAGCTCAGTAAAAACTAATTCTATGATTTCAAAGAAATAAAAAGCAAGAAAAATGTAGGATATGGGCCCTTTAAGATGAAACTTATATGATATGTGAAAACATCTAATGTCAAAATACCAATGATGGTAATATCCCAAAAAAATAAAGACAGAAGACCAGAGGTCAAGATTTAAATACTTGTGCAGACAGTGGTCCCCCGGAACCGAGACTGAGGCCACTAATGGCCACAGTAATCCACAAATGTAGACTGCCATTAAATGTAAGATGTAAGATAACACATAATTATTATTGCTCTTATTATTAGGGCTGGGGTACTGAACCCATTTTGGTCTTTTCCTCTGCTTTGCGTACGTGGAAATGTGTAAAACTGTGCATATCATAGCTTTTATTTCATAATTATATTACTGTGCATAATAGTGCAATAATGATGTATATAAATGTGTATGCTGTGTATATGTGTATATATTTAGAGTCTAATGTGTACATATTTTTTTTTTTCTTTTTTTGTGTGTATTTAAGTTCTACAAAGGGGCTACGCACCTAAGATTTTCACTCACCTTCACACCTGTGTAAATGTGTTGTGACAATAAAGGTGATTTGATTGATTTTGATCTGATTTAGGTGGCTCTCAGCGACTGGTATATGTACAGTCTACTTTGAAGAGGAGACCAGGGTATCGCACCCTGGAGAGGGACCTAATCCAGCTGCAGCAGGAACAACTCTTTCAGCTGTTTGTGGTAGTGTCGCTGAGAAAACGTTCCCCTGGGAACACGTATTACCCAGAGGTCACGCAGCAGTTCCCCACCAAGGTAGAGAGCCAGAGCTTTTGTGTTCATTAACGAACACTGTTCATTGTGCACCCTGTTAGGTAATGCTGGGCAATATATTATACATATCGTCGCTGACCAAAGAACAACATGTATCTCCATTTCATGATGAATGGACCACTAGAAATGCCCCAAAACTGCTTAGAAAAAAAAAACTCTTTCCACTGACTTACATTAAAAGTTAAGAACATTTTGCTCTCTTCTGTAAAGTTACTATATTGGAGATGGAGAGTTTTTCTTTGAACAGCGATGATACTTAGTTGATGTGATGTCATTTGCTATTTAAAACATCTAAATAGTTTAAATGCATACAAACTAGATTAATAGTAAATTTTCTCTCTGAAAATTTAGCTTGTCCTGTTATCATTTACAAACTTATGTGGGGTTCCCTTCCCTTGTGTTAGGGGAAGCAAAGTTAGGTGAAGCAAAGCAGAACAAAACAGTCAAAACCGGCTCTGTCTGGTTTGTCTGACCTTCTTTTAGCATAAAGTAGCAGTAGTCAATAAACATGGGTTCATTTACTTTATTAAAGTGGAATTCCACCAAATTTTCAGAATTCTTTCATAGTTCATTCAGTGAAATGTAAACAAAGTCATTCAGAGTAGTTTGATGTGAAATGGTTTGTTGTATAGAAACTTACAGACTAGGATTTCTTTACAGTGGTGTTGATGGGAACCAGTGGTCACAATGTCCACAACACAAATATAGACATTTTATATACTATTCAGATTTCTTATGAGTATTTATATGTGAACTGTCGAGAACTTTTAGAGGCATTAAACTCTTCAGACGTCTGGTTCCTATCACCACCACTGTGGACAGTTCTGCCTTGGTGAGTTTCTCTAGAATGGTTTATCAGCACTGTCCAATGTTGTTGTTTTGATTGAATTTGAACTCTTAATTATACTTTTTGATGTGCCCTTTCTGTAGTTTGAGAAGTCCACTCGGTTGTCTCGTGAGGCTGAGGATCGACTGAAGGCCATTCCCAGTTTTCTGCTTCCCTGATGCTCAGGACTGGAGGCCGTCTGCAGATGCTAACAGGTTATACTGCACCATTACATGACTCACTGCTCCAAACTGAGTCATTCTTCATGTGTTTTTCTTAGTACCTGAGTCAGAATTGGCTTAAAACTACACGGCTTGCAATGACCAGTCCCAGACTTATTCTCTCTTTATGTGGTTCCTGGTATTTAACCTGTTTGTTCACCCCCAAAACCATGCTTAACCATTCCAACATTTGCTTTGATTTGACTTTGAACAGTTTTCTTTCCTCATCCGCAGTGAAACCTTTTCATTCGTCCTGACGGGTGAAGACGGGAGCCGTTGGTTTGGTTACTGTCGCAAAATCTTGGTGAGTTGGAAGCGGCCACTGTGTTGATTCAGTGGAAAATGCATGTATCGTAATGTTTATGGCTTCTCTTTGAGTTTTCTGTTGTGCTGTTGAGTCACGTTTGCTTTGATGTTTGATGTTTTTTTGACCACTGTGTTTTTCAGCCCTGTGGAAAGGGGAAGAGACTGCCTGAAGTCCACTGCATCATCAGCAGACTGGGTTGTTTCAATTTGTTTGCAAAGGTCAGGGGGAATTCCAGTCTTTCACTCAGGCCTGCTTCTCTGTAATTAAGCAGATGACTTACTCAGTAGCTAACTGTAGGCCTTAATGTATCTCCAAGGCGTTAATGTGTGACTAAAGACAACCTAAAATCAAAATTGATCTTTTGATCAATTTTGTCTCTTGACTGTTCATGTCCTGGATATATTAAGGACAATTCATCATATTGTATATAATTAAAAAGACAGAAGTATTGTTTTTCCATCTTTAATCAAAATATAATGACTTTTTTCCACCTCTAAAACTTCTTCTAATTTTTAATTACGTCACCGATAGAGTGACAATGCTCAGCTAGTTCAGAGGCCCTCCTTGATGCTGTGTTTTACTTGGAAATATGTCACAATTCAGAAAAAATGAGCAGGTGTGAACTGAGCAGGTATCATCACTGTGAACTGAGCAGATAACATTGCTTTTAGAGTGGGTCTGTCTTTTCTGTTGAATCAATGCAGTGATAGCTTTAAATATTTACTAACAAATGCGCAATAATGCAATTTTCTTGGGAAAATATCAATATGGTATACTTCATTAAACTTTTAACAGTCCTCTGTGTGATATCATGTACTGATTAGACAACAGTTGGTGTTGAAATGTGTATGTGTGTGTGTAGATCTTGGAGGAGGTGGAGAGGAGAAGAGAAATTGCTCCAGCATTGGTTCACCCATTTATGCGAAGTGTCATGGAGGCACCGTTTCCAGCCCCGGGACGCACAATCACTGTCAAAAGCTTCCTGCCTGGTTCTGGCAATGAGGTATGTTTGTGTCGTTGACAATGAAAACACGACATTTTAACATTGCACTTAATTTTATAGCTACAACAGCAGAGGTGCCCTGTAATGATCTACGATGTTGATATAATGCACACAGTCGTTGTTACAAATGGGGTATACTACAATAAGCATCCTAATGTTTTGTTGCACTATAAAAAATGTTTGAATGATTACTCTGTGATGGGGAGAAAGGATGTGGACAAGGCATAATGTTTTGATTTGTTGATTAATTGTGGTGGTGGAGAAGCAGAGCCACCGCCTTTTCCCGCCACATGTCGCGTGCTCCTCCTCTGATCGTGCACAGCTGTGCTGAATCAGAGGAGGAGCACAGACGCCTTTAAAAAAAATACAAATTCTTTCTCTTAAGTTTTGGTTTTGCTTCACTGAGACAAGTAAATAAAGCAGATTGGTTCACTCACGCTGGTGTTTATATATGTGTGTGTGTGTGTGTGTCTCTGAGCTCACGTTGGGTTTCCCAGTCAGTATGCGTCGGCCCCTCCCCCGGCTGAGCCACATACTTAAATATTAATCAATTAATTAATTGAATAATTAATAGAAATAGAAAATCATTAGTTTTTTTCAACAGACCACATACCTATGTGTGGTATTTTTAGTATGGTTTTAGGTATTTTACTTCTTATGCATGCAAGTTTTGTCTACTTATATGTGAAATCCTGGTAGTGTGGGTTTCCTCTCTTTCAGTGATACACACAAAGCTACTTGCATGCTAATAGCTCCCCCTTGTGGAGAATATTCATCCCGCTAAATATAAGTGGATGGATGAGTTAAAAGTCAGGTGCATTAGGTGCTTCACACAAATAGAAAAGAAAAGACTAAAGAAGTAGATAAATAAACCAGCCATTTAGAGTAAGATTCATGTCTTTGTGTGTGCAGGAGCTGACTCTGTGTCGGCCAGTGGACTCACGACTGGAGCACGTCGATTTTGAGAGTCTGCTGCAGTGTTTGAGTGTTAGCAGGCTGCTGCAGGTCTTTGCGTCTCTGCTGCTGGAGAGGAGAGTCATCTTCATTGCAGATAAACTAAGGTATCGTTCATATTATAGCAGACAAACAGGTCAATGCTGACGCAGTCGCTAAATGTCACATATTGCATATTGATGAATTACTGCCCAGGCATATGAATATTTACAGTGATAGAGGCCAGGGGCCTTTAATTTCCAGTCCTAGAGGGCTGGAGTCCAGTGGAGTTTGGTGATTTTCCTCCTCTAACAGGCCAACCTGGTAATCGTTGATGAGTTGAATGAGGTGTGTTTTGTCACTAAACTGTTCTGGATTGTGGCCCTCCAGAACCAAAACAGATAACATCTGATGTAGGAAATAGCACAGAATGTTTTGCTGTGAAAGTCTATTCAGAAATGTAAATTTTGTCCTCAGTGCATATTTAGTTTGTATATCGCTGTTGTCAGAAGAAAACCTCGTTTCTCCAAAATGACAACTTAACAGGAAAAGGAAACAACCTACTATACTTTTAATGTAAATCAATGGAACTAGACTTTTTTCCAAGTCATTTTGGGCCGTTTCTTTTGGTCCATGCTTCATAAAATTTACAGACAATGTAAAGGGCAACAGGCATTTTCAAATTATGACAAAAACTGAAAAACGTCAGAAATGGAGAGACAAGGTTTTCTTCTGACAGCAGCGATATAGAACATTATAAATGAATTATCTGCCACAATGATTCAGTTCTCTTGTGCTCAGTCATTCTTCGTTTTTTTATTGTCTAGAAACGATTTCATAGTAACAGCACATCTGTGTTTGTTTTTCTCTTCTCTTTTAGCACTTTGTCCCGCTGTGCACATTCAGCTCTTGCACTGCTCTATCCGTTCACCTGGCAGCACACCTTCGTGCCCGTTCTGCCCGCCAGCATGCTGGACATTAGCTGCTCTCCCACACCCTTCGTCATGGGGGCGCTGTCTCCGTCACTGCCTCAGCTGCTGGATTTACCTATTGAAGAAGTAAGTCGCTCTGACCCACCGGGTCCGCAGGAAGAGTCACTTGACCTGAAGTTTACTTACTGAGTCATTAAAGATGTTGAGTCATTACAAAGCGAGAAGTAGGGGAAAACCCGAGGCTCTGCGGTTTAGATTTGATTAGATGCTAATTCCGATTGCGGTCAAGGTATTTTAATTCAGTAATGCTTGGGAATGCTTTGAATTCTGCTTTTTAATGAAATAATTGAATGATAACCTTACAGTGATGTTAATAAACTTCGTATTTAATAGACATGAGTCGCCAGTCAGACAGCTTTCATGTTTAACGATACTGGGAAGCTTTGTAGTTGTTTTGTTATCTGCTGTCTTGCATTGCACGCAGTTTTTCATTAATTCAGCAGGTATAGAATTCATGCATGTTCATTTTCTTCTGTCAAGCTTCTGGTGGTTTTAAAATTCATTTACTTTGGATTGTGGTGCTAAAGGTTGAAACATGATTGACAGTAAAATCTCACTTTAAAAATGATCACTTTTTTTTTAAACTCGTTTCAGGTGCTCATTGTGGACCTGTGCGCAGACAAGTTTGTTGTTCAGGTGGGTGTTGTGGTTTGGCCTTTCATTAAATAGACAGGCATGTATTTGATTACCTTGGAAATGTGTGGCTTTCATGTTTGAGGGGTGTGTTGAGGTTCATGTTGCGACCTGTGTGTTAATAATGATAATGACAATAATAATAATAATAACTTTATTTATAGAGCACTTGTCATGCGTGTAGCAGCTAAAAGGTGCTTTACAATAAAATGAAGTTAAAAAAGGAATAAAAATAGAGTACAATAATATTACATTAAAGGTAAGATAAAGGAAAAGATAATTAGTTGGTTAATAATTTGTATTTAGCCAAACAACATTTTGGGATGGATTAAAAGGCCAATATCATGACAAACCAAAATTTTCTCCTTTTTTTTTTTTTTAAATAAGAGTTAGATGTAGTGTGTACAGATTGTTTCACTTTTAAAACATACCCTTCACTCCACAGTTCAGATGACTCATATTTGGGAAAACCGCAAAAACAGCCTGTGAATTCATCATTTTTTGTAATGTCACAGAAAACAACATATTTACATATATACGCTTATTCAGCCTATAGCAGTTTAGCCCCAAACATCCACGCTGACGTTATAAGGAGTGTTTCAGTCTGGGCTGCTGCTTGATTGAGCCGCAGTAAAGGCCAGCCAATCAAAACGGAGCTCAGAGCTCAAGTCTTAAAGGAACAGGAACAAAAAAGTTTAGGAAGGTTAGAAAATGGTCAAGTAAAATGAATTAGACTGTTTTTGCCACACGAACAACACAAATGTTATAAGTGCATGTTATAAAGGAAAAAATGCAAAAAAAAAAATTAAGATTTCTTTGTTTCCAAGTAGGCTGAACTGAATAAACTCGTCTAATGATGTCAGAGTATTGCTACATTTAACATATTATATTGCAGTATTGGTGCTCATTGGTGCAGTATTGGTGCTCATGGCAGTATAATTGGATATAGTAACCTATAGTACATTCTGTATTGACAGTAGAATCTGTTTATTTTCCTAGATTATCCCTATTTACACATTATTAACTTTTTTTTACTATTCTTCTTTTGTGCCTGCCTTCTAGCTGGGAGATGAGGACTGTATCCTTCCCAGTAAACTCCAAGCAGCTCTGCAAGAGGTCCTGGAGAATCGAGAGGAGATGCTGGAGCATGATGACAGGAGAGGAGGTCAGTAGAGATTCCATGTTCGCACAAACATGTGGCTCATAAACAGATGAAAATACAGCTTCTACCTGATACTGGCGGACCTTTGTGTTTTAAGGGTGTGGTCCACTGTCTCTTTGCATTGACTGACTCAACAGTTTTTCTTTCATAGGCTTTTGCCACGTCTCCACTGGCTACATTTCAGTTGGCCTGGTGGCTGATAATTTTTCAGATTATTAAGCATCTCCCTGAAGGGAGATAAATCCAGACTGTAATAAATAACAGCTGCCCTGATTAGTGTTTTCTTCCATGCTCAAAGCCAGTGAAGATGATGAAATTGACCGGCAGGAGGAAAACAGTACACACTGAGGATGCACAGTGATTCCAAGAAAGCAGATATTTGCTTTCATAAGACAAATAATACCAGCATGTATCAAATATTTACATATGACAGATATTTCTAGACAGTATTTGATGAAGCACTTTTGTGTGGATGACCCAGGGCCTGTATGCAAAAATGTCTGCATTTTATTCATTTCACTGCAGATACACTACATGGACAAAAGTTTTAGGACACCTACACATTACACCCACAGGAGCTTTTATGACATCCCATTCTAAATCCATACGCATTAATATGGGGTTGGTACCCTCTTTGCAACTACAACAGCTTCCACCTTCTGGGAAGGTTTTTACAAGATTTTGGAGAGTGTGTGGGAATTTTTGTCCATTCATCCAGAAGAGCGTTTCATCAGACACTGTTTGACACAGTCTCTGTTCTTGTTCATCCTAAAGGTGTTTGATGGGGGTTGGGCTCTGTGTGGGCCAATCAGGTTCTTCCACACCAAACTCACCCAACCATGACTTCATGGACCTTGCTTTGGTCACTGGGGCTCAGTCATGCTGGAACAGAAAAGGGTCTTCCCCAAACTGTCCCCACAAAGTTGGAAGCATACAAATGTCCAAAATGTCTTGGTCTGTTGAAGCATTAAGATTTCCCTTTACTGGAACTAAGGACTTTACACCACTCCATCCGACACTTGGCCTTATGCTTGGTGATGTAAGGCTTGCGTGCGGCTGCTCGGCCATGGAAACTCATGCCATGAAGCTCCTGGTGTACAGTTTCTGTGCTGATGTTAATGTCAGAGCAGGTTTGGAGCTCTGCAGTTACTGAGTCAGCAGAGCGTTGGTGACTTTTATGCACTATGTGCCTCAACACTCGATGACCCGCTCTGTAACTTTACATGGTCTGACACTTCGTGGCTGAGTCACTGTTGTTCCTAAACGCTTCCACTTTTTAAAAATACCACTCAGTTGATCGTGGAACATCTAGGAGGGAAGAAATTTCACGAACTGACTTGTTGCAGTGATGGCATCCTATTACAGCACCACACTCAAATTCAGTGAGCTCTTTACAACGACCCATTCTTTCACTAATGTTTGTAAAGGCAGACTGCATGACTAGGTGCTTGATTTTATACACCTGTGGCAATGAGACTGTATGAAACTGAATTCAAAGATTAAGAGGTGTGTCCAGATACTTTTGTCCATATATTGTATTTACATGAAAAATAAAAAGTATCACAATTGTTGCATCCCTAAAGCCGGCATTATACTTCAAATGAAAATAGCGTTTTGGCACAAAATGACATCTTTTTGGCCAAAACGACACATCGTTTATTCTAAGGCCTCCCCTGACTGCGACTGGTTCACTCAACAAAGTGAGCTTCTAGCTTTGTTGAAATATACACAGAGTCCTTTTCGAGTATACTTAAGATGTCACATCTTCTGAGAGATGTAAACTCACTTAACAATACTGAAGCTTTCGCCTTATAAACTGTATTTGTGAAACTTAAAAAACAAGTGGCAAAGCCATGTTTAAGGCCCTTGTCAGATACTTTCCATAAAATCCTAACATCTCCTAAATTCTCATCTGTGAGCTGAACTGTGTTCAAAGCTGTTGTAAAATACTTGGTATGCTCACATATGACCACACACATTCAGAGGAGGGCAGTATGACCATTTTTTTGTTGTTATCAGGATAAATTTTGTTATTGTGATAAGCAACATGCTTTACTGGATATTGTCAGTACTTAAAGTACACCGACCAACTGCATGTTTCTTAAAAAAGACTGTAATAGGCCTATTCTATTGGATTTAGTGTGTTACAGTATGTGTAAATCATTGCACACTGAGTTTCTGATGGGCTTTTTCAAATCTGACACTATTAGTGCATATTGTGATATTCATGCATTGTTGCCCACCTCTACACAAATTAGTTGAACTCTCTTAATGTGTCATCTCAATGTTTTATGCCCACGCACAGACAGTTTCAGTGGCAGTAGTTCCACACTAAAGCAGCCATGCTTCACAAGTTTCAGAATCAAACTACAATAGAAGATATAAAAACAAACTAAGATACTGTAAACAAACACTTACAGCAACGTTTCTTATTATAACACTTGTTATTCATAATGGATAACTTAAAATAGTCAGAATACCTAGTAGGAGGCTTTGAATGCCTTTATTAAAGGGAATAAACAGTTATTGTTGAACAGCAACTCTGGCTTCCTCTGAAGTTAAATTTATAACAGTTATCATGCTGTTTGCCAAAAGTGAACATAATATTAGTCGCACAGTTGTTTTTTTACAGCTGACTTTCCATTCTTCCTACAGACATTACGCAGACCTAGACGTGTGATTTAGTGGTGGGCTGTAGCCAGTGGAGAGTTAGCTTAACTTGTTTGTGCATGTTTTTGCAGACATTTTTCTTTATGAATTGGTCACCTATTACAGAGCATAATCTGCTTAATATGATGTAAAAGCTGGTGGCCACCAGTTATTGAGACAGTATTAATTATGGCCACTTAATTTAGCCATTTTAGCATTTTAACTTTGGCTTGATTTTAATTTGTCCTGATGTTTCACTTGATGTTTTCCCAAAACCTTCCATCCTTGCAGAAGAGTGTGATCTGAGTGCGCTGGTGTCGGAGGCGTTTGTGCGCTTCTTCGTGGAGCTGGTGGGGCATTACTCACTGCACATCAGCGAGACGGGGCTGAGCGGCGTCCGTGAGCTCAACAGGGACACGTTCAGGAAGTCTCATCCATCCCGTGGGGTGCGGCAGTTCCTCCAGCTCTTCATGGACACGCAGATGTTCGCTGGCTTCATCCAGGACCGAGAACTCCGCAAGGGGGGAGTCAAGGGTGAGTGAGGACTTGGACAGGCAGAAGGCCATGCAGAAGATGGATGGAGGTCTAAGGCTGTGTTGGAAGGTCGATTATAAAACAGGTCTAGAATCTGATTGGCTGAGCCGTGTTCAATGCCTTTGTAGATTACTTGTTATAAAACAGATACTTCCAGTCCTAAAATCTGATCCATGAGCTGAGCCACGTCTGAAGCCGTGGTAAGACGCTCGATATGTACGCACACAGTCGTATGCAAAAGTTTGGGCACCCCTGGTCAAATCACATGTTTTGTTGATTTTGTAAGTGAAAATAAGTTAAACACATCCTCTACAGCAGGGGTGTCCAGTCTTATCCACAAAGGGCCGGTGTGCCTGCAGGTTTTCACTCAGGACAAGCTGGAGCTCACCTGATTCCACTTGTTTACTCAGTTGGTTTCAGTCTTCAAACTGCTGATCAGGTGGTGATCTGCTTTGTTGGAATGAAAACCTGCAGCCACACTGTCCCTTTGTGGGTAAGAGTGGACACCCCTGATCTACACGGATCACACTTCACATATTATTATGCACAATTACTGTTTAAAACTGTTTAAAATGTAAAAAAACATATATGCCCTGTACAAAAATGCATGTTATGGCTTGTTAGATAGAATATGGATGGAAATAGTGCACTAAAATTTGCAGAAAATTGACATATTTAAGTTTGCTTTCTGTAGAAGATTATTTTCAGAACAAAACGTAATTTGACGGGGGATTTTTTTTGGGGGTCTTTTACATACAACTTTATGACGGTACACATCAGTTAAATTCTGTGTTTATATGCCAATCATTTTTAGATGTTCCCACAACTTCCTCTTCACTGTGCTTCTTGATGGCCCTCCAGTTTCCTGCACTCCTCTCCTATTTTCCAGCTCTTTAACAGAAACATCACTGAAAGTTTGGTGTTAATGTATACGTTGGTCTTGTTTGTCTGCTTTGAACAGGCCTGTTTGAAGTCAGAGCAGCAGAATACCTCGCGTCCTGTCCTGAGCCTGAACCCAGCGGAGTCAACAAATTCCTCAAGGGACTCGGTAAGATAGTCGCTTCACCTCCTACCAAAAAAGGAAAACATTTGTATTCCTCTTTTCCTCCCACTGACGGTCTGTTGTGTTTTTAGGGAACAAAATGAAGTTCTTACAGAAGAAGTGAGGGATTGCCTAAGCAGAGAAAAAGCCGGGTGTCAAGTGCCAAATGACGAAAGCCGTGGTTGTAAAGAGCGCTTAGAGGAGGCCTGTGATTCAGCCATCGCTGCAGTGATCCTTCTCCCTCTGAGAAGACCAGCCAGCCGGGTGGAGATGAGGTCAAGCCTGGACTGGGCCTGTTCCACCCTGAAAACGCTCCTGCTGGGAGCGCCAGTGCAATTGTGTTGGGTTGAAAACTGGAAATGGATTTTTATAAACAAGCAACGACGAAAGACTGAATTAGAGCTGGGAGGAAAGGGAGAAGAATGTGTCATGTTATTGTGTAAAGCAGAAATCTTGGGGTGAATTTCTGTAAGTTTCAGGCTAATGAAGTAGTTCTTTTTACACTAACCCTGAACCTTTTTTAACTCTCAGAAAACAAAACATTCTATTTTATAGTAAACAGGTCTGGGATTTTCCTTACCCCTAAAGCCTTTCCAGACACAGGTAATTGTGGTTAAAATGAAGAGGTGGTTTCTCATCACCGTCAGAAGATATATATTTATAATTCCTCTGAGGCACACTGATAATGCTTCTCGACAGATTTTTAAAGTCTCTGATTTCACTTCTTATGTTGGTTTTTTTTTTTCTTTTCGATTGGAAGTTTTTGTGGATTAATGTCTGCAAAGACACATTTCAAAATACTTTTACATTTTGTACAGTTTTATATGGGTGTTTTGTATAACCATGAATGTTCTGTGTCATTTTCAAATAAAATGCCTTCATGTTTCAAATGTTGTTTCTTTTATCGTTTGGTGTATTTGAGCTTTCAGCAGTGCAGTAGTTCCCATATAGCAGCCCTTGTCTGTGTGCAGTACTGGCAAATCAGCACTGTCATTTTGAGGGCTTATCATCTTGTAATTAACATTTTGCAGGAGTGAACAGCTGCTGTGTCTCAAATTACCCACTTGTTCCCTTAGTTAACTGATTCAGATACCCTATATGGACAAAAGTATTGGGACACCTACAGGAGCTTTTATGACGTCCCATTCTAACTCCATAGGCAATAATGTGGAGTTGGTCCCTCTTTGCAGCTAAAACAACAATTAGCACTTACAGTCGACGGGGCAGATCTAGCAGGACAGAAACTTCACAGATTTGGGGCAGAGATGGCATCCTATGACAGTGCCATGTTTAAAGTCACTGAGCTTATCAGTATGACTGCCAGTGTCAGTCTATCGAGACTGCAAGGCTATGCGCTTAATTTGATCCACCTGTTAGCAATAGGTGAGGCTGAAACACCTGAACTCAATAATTAGAAGGTGTGTCCCAATACTTTTGTCCATATAGTGTATGTTCTAGAGTGTCCCAGTGTAGAATTAATTCTAGGCAGGGTGACCTGGCCAAACTGCTACAAAAGACCCAGATATACAAAAGTATCAAAGTAAACATACTTTGTATTTTTGACAGAAAAATGTCTGTTTTCTGAAGTATTTCTGTTCCATGAATTTGATCTTGATGTTAATTTTTTCAGATTTGTCTCCTGTTTGCAGCAGGTGAGGGCTTAACATAGAACAGGGGTGTCAAACTCAACCACTAAATGGGCCGTATTGTGTTTATATTGGCTGAACTGCAGCTGAAATGTTTGGTGAAATGACTGGTGTGGCTAAACACTCATATATTGTTGTTGGGGTGGGAGAGTCGGAGTGCACTTTACGTTTCTTTATATGTTATATGGTTTATATATATATATATATATTACTCAATACGCTAAATATGTATTACATTCAGACATAAATGACAAAAGTATTAATGAGAAATGTAATAATAAAATGCTAATTACCCTCAATTCACCTCAGAATGGTGATGCATGTGTGTCCTAATCTGTATGATGCATTGCAAGTCGAACCAACAAAAATATGATTTAAGATGTTGCCAACTCCAAAAGTTAAAAGTTATATATAAATGTAAGTTCTGGTGCTTAACTATTTATTTAAAGCAGTGCTGCCAAAACTGTAGCCAAAGCTGGCCCATGAGGATGCTTGATTTGGCACACAACAAAGTTATTCTAACCCTGCCCACTCACCCAGAGAAAAGAGAGAAAATATATACTTTTTTTTTTTAATGACTTACTAAATTCTTGTTTTTTTCCTTTGAGAAAAAAAAAACTCCTTCCTTCTTCATGTGTAGAAGGAGTGTTTGTAAAAAACGTTCATGTATGATGTAATTAAGCCACTCGCCTTTCGTCCCCTAGACAGTAGTTCACTACGTAGGGAGCGAAGAGTTCATTTGAGACACACCCGAGTAACAACATTAACCGAAGTCGCGAGGATGCGCCAGACGTTAATAGTATTGGGCGCGTGGAATAACGCGTTAAAAAAGAAAAAGAAAAAGACTTTAAAAAGTAAACTCGCTGCTTGTTTGAACAACAGAAACGTTAAAGTTAATCCTGATGCAAGCAGTGTTTTTCTCCAGCGGGCTCCAGAGCAGCAGGTGGCGCTAAAACACAAACCGTAAGAAAGCGGCAGCGTGCTGCTACAGCGCTTCCTCTCAGACACAGACATGGCTGGAACCTCCTCAGTAGCCGGCGAGGTTTTTGTGGACGCGCTGCCTTATTTTGATCAAGGCTACGATGCCCCGGGAGTCAGAGAAGCTGTAAGTAGACTGATAGAGTTTAATAGCGTGGTCGAAAATGGACGGTTTCACGCTTCTTGTTCGAATTTTCCCGTTCCACCTTAAATGGTGCGGCAGCGCCAGGCGCTAGAGAGTAGTTAGATCAGTTGCTGAACCATTTAAGGTGGAACGGGAAAATTCGAACAAGAAGCTGGCGAACTGGAAGCCAACTTCACCCTCATCTATCTAAAGCTGAAAATCATCTTTCCTCTCGTCCGTCTGGGCATTTCTGAGTTATTAGTGATGGAAAATCTCTGAATTATGGCATCTTACGAGCATAAACTAAGCTCGGTGGTAACCAAGCAACACAAAGATAACCAAAACAATACGTAAATATATTGCGTTTGACTACGAATATGTCTTTAGCTAGGGCTCTTCAAAAAAGCTACACACTAAAAGTCGCATTAATCACTGCCCAAGAAGTTAGTTAGCTAGTGATGTTAGTGTCTTGGCTAGTAAGTCGACTGAGTCCAGGGCTGCGTCTCAAATGGCGCTCTTTTGCTCTACATAGTGCACCATCATTGGAAGTGCTTTCTTTTGAATAATATGAATATGTATAAGGGCTGTCAAACGACTAAAACAAGTAATGACATTCTTTTGTGTGATTGATCATCTTATTTGCTCAAGTTCGACTGTTTCTGATTTTCTATAATGCAGTATTTTCATCACCTGGACATAAACACAGCTTGAACAAGAAAATAGGGTGAACACAGTTTTAAATTTTCACAACTGATGTCCAGTGTGATGCTGCATGTTGTGGCTCCTCAGTGACCTCCCTTTCCACTTCACTGTCACTTTTATTTCTTTGCCACAAGCACTGTCCAGTTTACTGATATTGCTGGCACTGGCGGTGTGTTTTCCTTGCAAATTATACCTTAGACTTGATGTACGGCATTCAACTGCTTTTTCAGGCCGCAGCCTTGGTGGAGGAGGAGACGCGGCGTTACAGACCTACAAAGAATTACCTAAGTTACCTGCCAACACCAGATTTCTCTACTTTTGAGGTATGTTCTGGCTTCTGTTTTTAGGAACTGTAAATATTACAGGCCTGTGCCAGCATCGTTGTTTCATGAAGATTTTCAGTGTTTAGAAAAGCGAGACTTGTTTGTTTTTTGCACCCATAGACAGAGATCATGCGGAATGAGTTTGAGAGGCTTGCCGCCCGCCAACCCATGGAGCTGCTCAGCATGAAGAGGTGGGTATCATAGAAATCACAGAGATCCTGCGGATCCTTAAAAAAGCCTTGCAAGTCTTATTTAAAAGAAAAGCATCAAATGCCTGAAAAAGCCTTGTTTTTACTACTAGAGATACTAATTTGCCATGTCCACATACATTTCACACTTACCTGGCAGGGGCGATACCATGATCACGAAGGTGGTTCACCCAGGACGAGGCTCGGCCATTGCACTTCAGTTGTACTGACTCTTGCAAATTCCCCAAATGCGAGAATTTCGACTGCATAATTTCTGTTAGTGTGGGACTGCGTTCGCGCTCTCCCCTGACAAAATTCTTTGGGGGCAGTCATGGGCTGGACGTTAGGGAACCAGCCTTGTGGCCGGAAGGTCGCCGGTTCGATCCCCTGAGCCGACAGTATGTGACTCAGGTGCCCTTGAGCAAGGCACCTAACCTCCAACTGCTCCCTGGGCGCTGTGGATAGGGCTGCCCACCGCTCCAGGCAGGTGTGCTCACTGCCCCCTAGTGTGTGTGTTCACTAGTGTGTATGTAGTGTTTCACTGCACGGATGGGTTAAATGCAGAGGTGAAATTTCCCCGTTGTGGGACTAATAAGGGTCACTTAATCTTTAACTTAATCTTAATTTCATTGGATCATTGTCAGCTAAATCAATCCAGTTCTGTTGTCGAGGCACTGAAACTGAATTCCACAACCTGCAGCAGTGAGCTGCGTTTTCAGACGCTAACAAATGGATCTAAATGTCTAAATCTAATCTAAAGTTGGAACTAGTTTACAATGGAATATATAAACTTGCAGCATGGGCTGCTGCCTTTTGTCAAAACATGGGCACATAAAAAGTAAGTATGAGGCTTTTGTGATTCAACCTGTTTACTGTGAGCCATAAGCCGCCAAAACTGTGTATAAAACACACCCGTGACTTCTTTCACTCACGAATAGTGACCGGTTCGAAACTACAACTGAAACGATCTGCTTCACTGCCTCTGCCAGGCGATTCTGGGTTTCGAACCAGTCCCGATTCGTGAGCAAAGAAAGTCACGGGTGGGTTTTATACATAGTTTTGGTGGCATATGGCTCACAGTAAGCAGGTTTCCATTCAAGATTGAGAGAGAGCCACAGCATCAACAGAAATTTTTGCACATTCACTACACTTTATATTTTTTTTACTCACAAAAATAGTCCAAATAAAAGCTATTGGTTCAGAGAGTTTATCACTGTACGTTGCAGCATTTTAAAGTACATGGCAGCCAAATAATCAAGGAGGTCAAGCAGACTGGATCATATTCAATATTAAACACACGGCAGAATGCTCATGTTCATTTCTGTGGACAGAAACTGAGTCAAACTGAAAGAGCAGCGCAAGGATTGTGTAATTTTAAAGCACATGTCTGTGCTTGATTTGTAAACAGACATTCAATTGGGCCATATTTGCGTTTGTGTGTTGTTTCGTGGTGGAAACGGTGGTATTAAGTGTGATATGTAGAGGTCTTAAAAAATTTTTTAAAAACATCACACATGTAGATGGTGATATCGGATACTCTGCATGTGTGACTGAGTGTAACTGTACACTGGTTCCTCTAGGGTTCTTTAGTAAAGGGAATGATTTTATTTAGAACCAACTGTTTTATGTTTAAATGGTTCTTTACATGGTGAACTGGTTCTTTAGATTGACGGAGAATGTGTTGGATATGATTTTAAGATATAGCACCAAAAAGGGTTCTGCTATTGTTATGATGTCAAGCTTGTAACAATAGAAGAACCGTTTTTGATGCTATCTAACAACAACAAATTAGATAGCTGATCATACACTATGCCTGTCTAGGCTTGTAATTAAATAGCTGTTTACATTAAACAAGAAAATACAATTAAACCTTAAATCACAATAATTTACATGGCCGTTAATCGTTGGCTGCAATTTTATGATCATGACAGGCCTAAACTTAGTTGTCACTTGCACAGATTCCAGCATACACTCGTTTTCATGAATCATTTGGACACAAATGCAGATATTTTTTCTTAAGAATGAATTTAGTATGAAATGAAGGCCCCGTTCACTAAAATGGCTGCGTTCAGCTACCCGGTGGTGTTTTGTTCAGTACATCAAACTGTATCCAAAAAACGTCTTGGCTGATCAGCTATATCCAGGCTGTGAAAAATTCTGTAAGCTTCCTTTAACAATCTGAAAATGCTTGATTTGTGGTTAAGTAATGAAAATCATTATCAGTATCTTCAAAAATATCAGTAATGACAAAAAATGTAAAATAATTATAAAACTTGCACATGTTGCATTAAATGATGGATACTTGATTTTGAATGCTGTGAATGTGTGATTTGTAAATGTGAATCAGAATCTTTAGCTCATTAGTCCTTCAGTTGAAGAGACAAATGTATAAAGATCAGACACGCAGTCATGCAGGTTTAATTCTAAGAAGTCCTCGATGCTGCGCTTGTAAAAACTGTTCTAACCAGGTGGAATTCATAAAGGACAACCAGTGACTCTTCACCTTACTGATTACTTAATTGTGGTGTTTCGTGTAAATGATGTGTATGAACTTGGGCTTGTCCTTTGTAAATGATACATGAGTGATTAATGTGTAGTCACAGAAGCTGATTAATCAGTTGCACTCAAATCACCACTCATTTCAATGTTTAAATCACCACTCATTTTCAGGTGGAGTCATTTGTACGTTTCATGAAACTTTGATGAATAAGGGTCGTTGTGTATTAACATATTCAATTCATATTCAGTGAAAACCAGTGACTAATGTTAGAAGCCTTTCAGGGGTTAATTAAAAACCATAAGATGCTATGAGTTAGTATGAACATTAACAGGCCTGAGCTGTTTCTCGGCTGATGGTTTCCATCTATCGCGAAGTTGGGCGATTGTAAATGTCCGAAAACACTGTCTGCAGCTTTAAGATGCACAGACTGAATTATATTTATTTCTTAATCTGTTTTCTCTTAATGTGTAATGTTCATGTGCTGAATCAGCCCTGTTATGTTTGTTTGGCTGTAGAACATTGTGTAGCAGCGTGAGGCGGATCTTTTCCCCCACCACCCGTTGTCATGTTTGTTAAACTGATAATGAATGCCTTCCTCACATGACATAAACAGGGGTACTTCACATGGTTAAGCCTTATCTGTTTTATTTTAACAAGAAGCAATTTATAAGCTATAAACACACAATGTACATTTGATTTATTAAACCGACTACAAAAGCTACCAACCGATCGCAAGAACAAAGTTAGCTTCTGACTAGAAAGCGCGCTTCTCTTCTGTGGTTTAAGCAGGCACAGCATATAATGAGGTGTTAAACCTAAACCAGCCTTGTTGAAACGCCTGCGCTCTGTATTTACACGCTATTTAAAACGCTTTCATACAGTGTGATGGTGGCACAGGAAAGCGTGAATTATTTTTATTTATTTATTTATTTATTTTAAACAGTAAATGCCTAATCCTAAACCCCCTTCCCTGAATATCATCAATCGCCAATGGCTAGGGGGCGTGACCGGACAATGGTGCATTGCACACAATAACACAAGCCTAGTAAGGCAAATCTACAGTGTCTGCAACTGAATAGTTTTAGTTTGAGATTGTGCAGGAATCAGCGGTCACCAGTCCAAGGACTGAACCTAGCAGCAGGTGAAGGGGACGTGACAGTGGACTATTCATTAAAGTCTCCATGACATCCAGCCAAGGCTTTCAAACTTCTATACAGTCATGGACTTTTGTGTCTTAATGCTTTGCAATGTTCTCTAATGTATATATGCTTATCTTCAGATATGAGTTACCGGCCCCGTCATCTGGACAAAAGAATGACATCACAGCGTGGCAGGACTGCGTGAATAACTCCATGGCCCAGCTGGAACACCAGGCGGTGCGCATAGAAAACCTAGAACTGATGGCACAGTATGGGACCAATGCCTGGAAAGTGTCTAATGAGTATGTATTGAGTTGTTTTCGTCTGTTGTTCTAATCCTTGTTCTCACAGAGTGAGAATTTTCACTCTATAGCACCTTTTTAATCACAGGTTGTTAACAACTGTGAAAATTGTTGTGCGCTCCTTTCCTTAATGATTGCTTTTCTTGTTTCTTTTGAACAGTAATTTGGCCTTCATGATTGAAAATGCACAGAAGGAGCTGCAGAAGGTTCGGTAAGTAACTTTATGCGTGTGTGACAAAGTAAGAAACTTATACGGTATCAGATTTAGTCAAATTTAACACTGGCAAAACTTTAGCTGGGGGGAAAAAGGGGGACATACAGTGTATGATGGAAATATTCCCCAGCCAATCATGTGTTTGAGGGTTTGGACTCTCTTGACTCCAGAGAACACAGTTCCACTGCTCCACATCCCAATGCTGGGGGGAGGGCTTAATACCCCTTCTAGCTGATGTTTGGCATTGGGCATATTGACCTTAGGCTCATGTGCAGCTGCTCCAGAGTGTCCCATTGTATTAGCAGTGCTTTTCTATGGAGATTATACCCCCTGAACCAAAGTTATATAAGAAAACTAAGAGACATAGAGGTATGGATCTTTACAGTTAAAATCTAATCATACAGTATTATTAAACTGCATGCAATGAAGCCAGTAGTAGGATCAGTTAACACATCATGATGTCATACAGCAACATTATCTATCTAGAGTTTGCACCAAATTAGATTTTAGAGGGTTTACTGCATCTTGAGACTTGCCTCTATGCCTGTATTGAAATGAAAAGAAGAGAAACCCTCAACATATTTACATTTTGATGGTCCTTAGGTTGGGACTATGAGGCCTGGCTACTAGCATTGGTCACTGATGGGAATTCTGGGGAAAAAAAAGTGCACCAGATCCGAGAAAGGTTATGATTGAGTTCAGAGTGGGATCAATCAAAGATGATATGTCTCATGATGTTATGAATGTCCTGTGTCATTTCCATTTCGACATTGTTAATAGAAAATAGTCTTTTTGTGAAGTTGAGACATTCTCGTTTCTTTCATTGAAAGCTGTGTGTGCATTTTAACTTCCTCCGCTGAAAGCCCTGTCATAGGTCTGGGGGGGGGGTGGTAGGGGGCGGCACACGCTATTTAGTGAATTCAGCTCATTTAAACTGCACTCATTGCTGACGCAGGCATGAAACTGCACTAGGGATGTAACAGTATAGTGTGTTGTATCATATTACTGCATACCATATAGCTGTATCGTGACTAGCTTGTGGCTACTGCAGGAACGACAGCTATGAGGCCTGGCCACAGCTTTCTTGCTCTGGTACCCACGGTGACCAGGCTTACCCACTTCCGCCTCAAGGTTTACTGCTGTAATATTCCTGGACTAATGACTTCTTAAAAGCATTCCAAAAAAGTGGTCTGTTTACCTCGATGCCAGCACACAGTCATCAATAATGTTTCAAAACACCACTTAAAGATGACCCTCCTCAGAGTTAGTATCCAAATACTGTGGACCATATACTTTTAACAAAGGAAAACGGTGCTGTAGGATAGATTATTTACAGCTTTCATGCTAAGATTTTGTGCCTAATCTGGCCACGACTGTCCTGTCTCTTTTCAGAAAGCAGATTCAGGACTTGAACTGGCAGCGAAAGAACGACCAGCTCACTGCAGGAGCCAAATTGCGAGAGCTTGAATCAACGTGAGTGATTTGAGTATCATTTTAAAAAGAAATTCATTATTAAGAAGCACAATTTGACAAGCATTCACTCTGTTTTCTTTATCTTTGACAGCTGGGTGTCCCTCGTGAGTAAAAACTATGAGATTGAGCGCGCCATTGTGCAGCTGGAGAATGATGTCACACAGCTGAGACAGCAGCAGGGAGAGGAGAATAAGGAGAACATCCGACAGGACTTCTAGCAAGTGACGCGCCTGCCCAGCAAAATCTGGGATAACAGATGAACGCTCGGTCAAAGTATGTGGAAAAGGCCTTTTGGAGAATGGAGTCCATCTCCGTACTGTGAAGTGAGCAGTGGACGGCATGGAAAGCTGAACACCTGAACTGTAACTGCTTCCTAAAGCTTGTACAAGGCTCTTTTAGTAGTTTTGTATTTGTTTTCTTGTTTTTTTTTTAGTTTGTTTTATAAGTTGTATAAATGTAAACCAGTAATTCCGATTTTTTTAGGGTGTTAAATAAATGAAAACCCGTTTGTCGGAAATCTTTCTAAATGTGTTTATTTCTGAGTGCTTGACTTTTGACATTAGGTAAATAATTTAAACTCAACCTGAAATGACCTAATGTCACTGTTCATAGTAAGCAAGACTCACAACTTTTAAAAGACATAATCTTTGAAATTTAAATGTCTTTTGCCCGCCTCTAATAATAAAATGAACTGTTAACATATTACAGTGTTTAACTCAGAAATTCGTCACAATACGGAATGAAAATGCTTCATAATTATGATTCATAGGTAAAATCTCAGCTAAAACCTCATCATTTCACACTTAATGATGGTTCTTCAGTAAAGAAAATGGTTCTGTATAGAACCATGAACACTCAAAGAACCTTCTGCATGATTAAAGGGTTGTTTACATGGTGAAATGGTTCTTCAGATTCATGGAGAATGTGCTGTAGATGGTTCTATATAGAACCCTTTTGAAAAGGTTTGAAAAGGGTTCTTCTATTAGAAATTAGGGATCTTTTGCTTTGAGGAAAATGAGGCATGCTCTAACTCGAATTCTAGCAAGGCACAGTTAGGCTGAATGATGTATGGGCTATGACGGCACTAAGGGGTTTAATTTTTATGAACTGGGATTAGACTCTGAATAATTAAACTGTTATAGACTCAGTAGAGCTCCCTGGGTCCTTTGCTGAAGTAGAAAATATGTCTCACTGTTTCCAATTCAGGTTTCTTAAAAATCTGTCTTTTGGGACAATTAATTAATATTTGAAAGTTAAGTGTGATTAAGTGATTGCTCATTAAGTTAAATGGTGAAGGGGAGCTGTTTGCATTGGACTGTTTGTTATATGTTTCAGATCAAGGAATTATGCTTTTCCTTCTTTGTATATTTTGCATAAAACAGGGATTACATACAGTGGAGTCGCAACAGCATTTACAAACTAAAAAGATGAGAACAGTAACATTAAAAGCGAACAGTAAAAAAAAAGACATTAAAAAAAAAAAAACTCAAAGCATTAACTGTGGCATCCTAAATGGCTCTTGCCACCACTGAACACACCCATGTGTCTATTATATATCTTAACCACATAAAGTGTGCAAAAGTTTGGGTGCAGCTAGTCAAGTGACATTTTGTTCGTTTTTAAGTGTAAGTAAGCTAAAACATCCTCTACAGAGAACGCACTTCTGCACACTTTAATGATCAGTTAATTTTATTTGATGAGTTTAACAAAACATAATATGTGGCCTGTGTAAAAATTATGGCACTATAATATTTTCTGGTTTATTTTTTTCTCCCCAGTATGTTACACTCAGCAAACAAACAGAAACTAAAGTTATCGAAGGTTGTTTACTTTAGAAAATTTATGAAGTTATTTTCCATCTAGAATATCAACAAAACATAATTTGACTGGCCGCGTTCGAACGTTTACATATATTTGTATTTGTTTATATTCAGAACTGATCATCCTACATCAGTATCTGACCTCACTAAAGCTCCTTTGGCTACCATCAAATCTTCACACCAATCTAACATAAAAGTAGAGGCTGTTACTCCTTATTAATACCTTTGATTTCAGAAGAAATGTTGAATGAGCAGGTGTCTGCAAACTTTTGGACATTTTGGACAGTGTTTTCACTCTCAGAGTTGGTTCAACTCATTATAACCTTTTTCTTAAAAAAGGACAAATTGAAGAGATGAAATAAACTACTTAAATAACAAAAAACTCAGTGATAACTTTCACTTTCTTCATAAACATGGTGTAAGAATGAAGTAGGAAAGTGGCATCATAAAAACAGACCAGAGACCACAAGATCAGGTACTGATTTACTGGAAATTTCTAACTGGGAAAACACAGTCAAACTTCTGCTGTTTGATTTGAAAGAATTACGTCCTCCTTCAGCTCCCCCAGCCCCTCGGAAAACCCATGGCTGTGTCCTATTCCTCTTTCATTCTTTCTTCAGTGTGCTCCCTTCACTTCATCTGAAGAGGAAAATCCCCATATGAAGAGAAGAATCCAGTGCAGTCAAACACACCCTAAAAGGGCACATGGTATCATGGAAAACCACGTTTATTAAGCTTTTTTAAAATCATTGATGTACTATGTAAACATTTCAAAATGCACCGTTCGCTCTCCAGTCCATATACATAAGCTGCAAAAACAGCTCGTTTAGCTCCGCCCACTCACGCCGAAGTTATATGGAGTGTTTCAGTCCTGACTGCTTTTTCGAAGAAAGAAGAAATTAGAAAATGGTCATGTAAAAATGAATTATGACCATTTCTGGTATATTAAACTTCACAAATCATTGTAAGTGGACCCAAAGACCCGCCCCTGCGGTATCAGCCCTCCTTCATGGATGTCAGTGGGATCATGCATGTTTTGTTTTTTTTTTAACTGTTACCATATAGAGAGTGGTCAGAAAATGAGGAGGGGATTCCAGCAGGGATTTTTGTGTGTTTGGTTCAAGAGAATTGAATAAAAAAAGTTCTGGTTTTTTTTCGTAGGTAAGAACAGAATCTACACACTCAAGAGCACAAAGGTGCGAACAGTTCTGCACTGTAAGAACACGTCATGAATCTGACAAAGACTTTTTTTAGGATCTTTCTCAAGAACACATTTAAGAAAAAACTGCAATTTCAGAATTTCTGATGTCCAGGAAGAAAAAATCGAACAAAAATGCCCCCCAACTGGGAATTCTTCTTGAATTCCCTGAAGTTTAACATATGATGTCAAATCAAAAAGGCTCCTCACTCAGTTAATAGCAATGAAGCACCACTTCTCTCAATTTAATGAGATTTACTTTATTTCAGTCAACATACAGATACAACAGTTGGTTAAATCTATAATCATAACTTCATTGTTTCAAGAAGATAAAGACAACATAAACATTATAAATCCTAGCTGGCTAGCTGGTTGCTATAAGCGTAGGTGTCTGTGTTTGTTGTTCAAACGTGTGGACGTAATTCCGAGCTCTAACCTTCCATTTCCCAGTTAAGACACTGGTGAATGAGGCTCAATGTTCTTAAACGCAAATCTAAAAAAAATATTTAGAATTTCTTAAATACTTTCGTAAGGAAGTTTCATTATTTTCTCAGAAATCTGAATTCTTTTATTGTCTTTATTTGTGTTAACTGGTTATTCTCTTTAATCTGCTCAGTGCCTGAGGACATCAAAATGGAGGAAAAACAAAATGAAACCTGATGTTAAAATATTTAACATAGAGGAGCTGGAATTGCTGGTGGAGGAAAATATTCTCCTGGGTCTATTTTAACAATTTTATTTGTGAAAGTCTTTAGAAATCACAGTTTTTCAGGCTGACCTTCTTACCTCTTACTGTCTAAGACAAGTGTGAGGCCGTTGTGAGGGTTTTTGAGAATAACACTTGCTATTGTTCCTATTGTTCTGTCGGTCGTCACTTCCATCACCTTCCGCTGGGCTTAAAGTGTCTGCAAATAATAAATACTTATACCCTTTTTACGTTTCACATGAACCTGTTTTACTGAAGTGCAAGCACAACAACAATTTAATTAACTCTTATCATCCATCCCAGTAAGTGTTATCATCCAACGTGGGGGCGTAGCTATGGGGAAGCCTGGGGGCCTAAACCCTCTCACTTGGAAGCCAGGCCCCCTTCAAGACTTCTGACTGCGTAAAACACAAAAAGTCCTCTGAATCGAATGAAAATGTTCTTATAACTGGTCTTCGAGCGGATTTAGAGAACTGATACGTCCTTAAAAAGGTCAGACTCATGCCAATTTCTGAGTCACAGGCTGGAAGGTATAGAAGAGAAAACCGAAGAGGCTTAAACGAAAGTTATGAAAACCACCCAAAGTCTACAGTTTTTCTGGGTGTGTCTCCAGTTGACCCCTAGATCCACTTCTAGTACATAACTATGGAATGAAAGTGGGCGAACCGATGAGGTCATAAAATGAACTAGGTTTACTGGAACTCTGGAACACTCAGCTCTTCCAGAAAACCTCTGATGTCACAGGTAAACAAACCACTCGCTCAAATTCTACAGAAGAGTAGTGAGCAAACTGCTAACTGGTGAGTGAACAGCTAATAAAAGGACAGTATATTAATACTAACGTAACGATTTTGAAAGTGCTTTAAACAAATGATGAAGAAGCTCTATTAGTGATAAGTTAAACCGATTTAGAAACTTTGGAGTGTTTGGTGGATTGGTGGTTAGAGTCTTTGGAGGTGGTTTCTCCTCCTTTTTTATAATTTTTTGTATTTGGTTGGCTTAACTTTCAATGCATTCTGAGATATATTAGATCTTGATATTTTGAAGTTCAGTTTGGGACACATTAGGGGACAAACATTCCAGTGCACTAGAATCATTTAAACATTTAGCCTGGAAAATGTCTAAATTCCCAGTTACTCCAGTTATGCTGTGTTTGACTAAAGCTCGTCAGAATTTCTGAGGAAAACAAAAACGCCAACTTAACTGGGAATTCTTACTTGGAAAGTCGGGATGGTGTTCTTAACTCTGAGCTCACCGTATGATGTCAAATCAACATGGCTCCTCCCTCGGTCAATAGCAATAAAGTACCACTTCTCTCTTAATTTAAATTTGCTTTAGATCAGTCAATATACAGACACAGTAGTTGGTTAAATCTATAACCATAAAGTTCACTGCTTCGAGAAGGTAAAGACATCATAAAGTAATCACTCATTATCACTAACGTTAGCTGCTTGCTGCTTGCTAACAATGTAGGTGTCCGCATTTGTAGCTCATACGCGTGGGCGTAATTCCAAGCACCTTCCACTTCCCAGTTAAGTCAAATGCAGCATTATTCTGAATGTAAGTCACGTGACTTTGTTGCAGTGGCCATTGTGTTGCTCAGTTTAACAGCAGATAATGGCAGCTGCCTCACTCTCTGTGGATGTTACCCCTTTCAAGTCTGCTGTATTGTTGCATTAGACAGCACAACATACTGCTGGTATACACCGATCAGGCATAACATTTTGACCCCCTCCTTGTTTCTACGCTCATTGTCCATTTTATCAGCTCCAGTTACTATATAGGTGCACTTTGTAGTTCTACAGTTACAGACTGTAGTCCATCTGTTTCTCTGCATACTTTGTTAGCCCCCTTTTACCCTGTTCTTCAGTGGTAAGGACCCCCATGGACCCTCACAGAGCAGGTGGATCATTCTCAGCACTTCAGTAACATTGACGTGGTGATGGTGTGTTAGTGTGTGTTGCGCTGGACTGAGTGGAGCTGCTGGAGTTTTTAAACACTGTGCCCACTCACTGTCCACTCTACTAGACACTCCTACCTTGTCAGTCCACCTTGTAGATGTAAAGTCAGAGACGATAGCTCATCTGCTGCTGCACAGTTTGTGTTGGTCATCCTCTAATCCTTCATCAGTGGTCACAGGACGCTGCCCACAGGACGTTATTGGCTGGATGTTTTTGGTTGGTGGACTATTCTCAGTCCAGCAGTGACACTGAGGTGTTTAAAAACTCCAGCAGCACTGCTGAGTGAGGATGAGGGTGAGAGAGTCTGTAACTGTAGAACTACAAAGTGCACCTATATAGTAAGTGGAGCTGATAAAATGTACAATGAGCATAGAAACAAGGAGGTGGTCATAAAGTTATGCCTGATCGGTGTTTTTTACAGTGCAGATATTCAGCCAAACATGGGTGAACAGCTCAGTGATCAGAGGGCCTACACACGGAGACAGACAGCTAACAGACTCCTCAGAGCTTTAAGCTGCAGCGTTTTACTGTAACAGCAACATGGGCCGGGGGTGAGGGGGCACATACAAAGTAAGGAACATCTTGTCTGAATGTCTTACATGCCTGGAATGTCCATGTTGGAACGAGAAATGCCACGAGGAATATTAAACCCAGTGTGCTAAGTGCCGTGAGCTTGGCGCTAACGTAAAATGAAAACTCCCGTTAAAGCACCAGCAGAAATTTGCATTGTTGTAGTGGAGCTAATTGCTAAAAAGGCTGCTAATAAAGTGAAGGCTTTTACGTTAAGCGATGCAGATTATACAAATTATTTAAAGCATTATATATATATATGAATCATATGTTTATATATTATACACTCCAATGCAATGTGTTTCTGGCACTTGTTAATATTATCTAATAAATTGTAAAAATCAATGAAATGAATATGCTTTTTTAAGCTGACACAGTTGCTTTAGTGTGTTATTGGCCTGAGCACCCGCACAGCTCTCGTCTATCCTTATTTATTCCTAACAATACAAAATCTTTTTGTCACTTGTATATTTTATAACTACAGTATTACTAATAATTGTCTATATTAATTTCTGCAATACTCTACTAGCCTAATGCAATCGCTAGTGATGCGCATAAGAATCACCCAATTAGTCCAGTTACACTTCCAAAATTAAATCAATAAAACAGTGTTCATTTATGAAATGCTGTGTGGAGAACACCATGTGTAAGCACACTGGCTTAAAATGGAATTGGGGGGTTCACACAGGACAGATTCTTTCTTTACTGAGAAACCAAGCTGGCTGGAAAAAACTGCATAGACCAGCATCGCTGGTCACCAGCAAAACCAGCACATGTTGTGTTCTGGACGCTGGTATGCTGATCACCACCAAAACCAGCATATGGGTCATTTCAGCATTTGAGGACATTCTCTACATAATAAAACATACACAGCTTACAAGTGCATAGAAGCAGCCACACATTTTTGTCAATAAAACACATGATTTTTATATTATTTTCTTTCTTAAATATTAAAAACAATTTCAACAAAAGTCACAAATCCAGTAAAAGGGTATGTTCCCGAGCTTAATCAAGGAACGAGTAACAGATTTTGTCTTAAAAAGAACTTATACTGAAAAATGAAAACATTTATGAAAAAAAAGTTCAATCATCATCATATTTTTCAAATCATATTTTTATTCATAAATGGTGCAAAAAATATAACTTAAAACTGTCTTCAATTTCTCATCAACCCTGTTATGATGGGGAAAAAACTCAATACGTTGTAATCTTGTCTTGAGACACATGACTTTAAGGAACTGTCGGAGCTAAACTCTGCAGAGTGGTAGATCTTCAGGACCAGGATTGGATGAAATATGTATGAAAATACCTAGCACCATATCTATGCACACTGGCTTAACATGAAAACAGGGGCTTCATGCACCCATTGCTGTTAGTGCTCTTTTGTAACGGGGATGACATTGCTGCATTGTTGAAATTGCTGTTAGTGCTCTTTTGTAACAGTGTGGACACTACTGCATTGTGGCCACTGCTGTAAGGGCTTTTTTGTAACAGGGTTGACACTGTTGCATTGTGGCCATTGTTGTTAATGTTCTTTTTAACAGCTTGGCCACTGTTTCATCGTGACCATTGCTGTGTGGCTATTGCTGTTAGCACTTCTTTGTAACAGGGTTGACACTGTTGCATTGTGGGCGTTGCTGTTAGCACTTTTTTGTAACAGGGTTGACACTGTTGCATTGTGGGCGTTGCTGTTAGTGTACTTTTGGAACAGGGTTGACACTGTTGCATTGGGGCCATGGCTGAGACACAAAAAAGCTGACTTTTAGTCACATTAATATCACAACATGAATTCACAAACACAACCCCATTTCCAAAAAAGTTGGGACACTTTGAAAAATGTAAATAAAAACTAAATGCAATGATGTGCAAATAATTTAAACCCTATATTTCATTGAAAATAGTATAAAGACAACAAATTTTGTTGGCATCAAATTCAAAATGAGCATATATTTTCCAAAAAACAATAAGATTTCTCAGTTTCAACATTTGATATGTTGTCTTTGTAGTATTTTCCTTATAAATATGGTTTACATGATTTGCATATCATTGCATCCTATTTTTATTTACATTCTACATGGCGTCCCATCTTTTTGGAAATGGGGTTGTAGATTCTTAAATGAGTGAAAGAGATTTAGTGCATTTCTTTCATTTTATACAGATCTGAATGGAAGGGTGCTGGTGTTACATTCCTCCAGTAAACTTCCAGAGACCTGCAGATTCTATGCTAAGGTGCGTTGAAGATGCTCAGGCAGCTTATGGTAGCACAACACCTCACAAAGACACTTCATGATGTTTTTTTTCTTTAATTTCTCACCAAAATGTAGTTTCAGTCATTACATTTTTTCAAAATGCTAAATGTTTTTGAAGGATTAACACATTTTTTAAATTTTCACTGCTTTTTACAAAATTCCTCATATTTAAAATCTGAATGTTCATAAATCAATAGAAATTAAGTAAATTAATAAAATGTGTTTTCAGTGTTGTATAAAAACGTTAAATAGGTTAATTAGGGATTACATGTGATTAGTATTTGAAATGTAAATGATGAATGAAATGTGTACACAGTGTGTTATTGATGCTGCTTCATAATTTCGTAACTGCCAAAGATCTTCAGGCCAGAAAATATTTTGCACATATATCTACATACTAAAAATGTATATCAATAATTTATTTATTAACTGCAAATCCATTTGTTATTTTTACTTGGGGACCTATAAAGGTCTTTCCCACTAATTACAATATATTCCTTTCATATGTCTATAACAGGGTTGAAACATAAATACGAGAACGTGTACAAAAATTAATGTTTATTTGAGTATAACAACACGGTAAGTCCCAGTAGTTTTAATGTATGTATTTATGTCTATTATTCAACGTAGTGGCAGGAATGAGCAGAAGTAAGAATTTTTTTGACTAATATTCAAAGTCAAAATGTCCCTCTAATGCTGAAATGACCCATATGTTGTGGTTTGTATGCCATGATCATGCTGGGTGACCAGATTAACCAACACTAGACCACCAAACCAGTTTAAACCAGTTTGGTCTAAGCTGTTTTTCTCAGCAGGGCAGGCTGACTAGCACAGGTCCTCTATGGAATTGCCTTATTGAACAATGCATTGTGATACCTGAGGGCAAAGGAATTACAAAAGAATTACACGCCTTACTTAGTCATGGCCATGACTTAATCATCTCACTCCCACGCCTTACTTAGTCATGGTCACGACTTAATCAGCTCACTCCCATGCCTTAATAACTTGTGGCCACGCATTAGGATCTGGTTCCCACGCGTTAATAAGGTGTGGCCACACATTATTTTTATTTACACAGGATGTCATCATCGAGAGTATTAATTGTTATGTGGAATGATTTGCTATAAATACATTTCAGTGTTTTTTGAAAACAAAAATAGGGGTTCTTTTTGAAAACATATATTGAATATAGAATTTTGGCAAAAAAAAATTGCAATATGAAGTTTGTATCTTCTTGAGTGGAAGCGCAAAAAAAAAACTTTCTGAGATATTTTCCTTCTTAGGAAAGTAGAAACAAGGCCAGCGTCGGTCTTCAACATGGCGCGCGGCTCTCAACCAATTTCACATGAAGTTCATGCATAGGGAACAAGGGGTCGGTTAAGGGAACGAGGGGTCGGTTAAGGGAACGAGGGGTCGGTTAAGGGAACAAGAGATCGGTTAAGGGAACGAGCGGTCGGTTAAGGGAACGAGGGGTCGGTTAAGGGAACAAGGGGTCGGTTAAGGGAACGAGGGGTCGGTTAAGGGAACGAGGGATCGGTTTGAGACAGACCCGCCGCCTCGGCCTTCCACTGGTTTATCTAACGAACTTTACTTGACCTGATACAGTAATGGAACCGCCCTTAATATGGCGACGGGGACTCCGTTAAGAGGAAAAGTCGAGAACTCGATAATGCAGTAATGAAACTGGAAACTTTAACTGATAGCCGGCTGGAATTTCTTTCTTTTTTATTAATTAAAATTAAGTATGCCGACTTTATGTTTGGAGGAGTCGCTTTCTGTAATGCTGTTTCATGGTGTTTTGTAGATGTTTGTAGTTTTGAGTCTGAAGAAATTAGATGTTTTACGGATTAATCACAAACGAGGCTGACGAGCTCCACTGCAGCGTGATGACGTCGAAACTCCGCCGTGTTGGACGTCAGGCGGTTCAAAGAGGAGGAAAGATGGCGGACAACAAAGGCCAAGCAGAGACGGATAGCTCGGCTAGCATGGAGTCAGAACCAGCTGCCACGGTAAACGGAGACTCTACCAGTCAGCCCGCCGAATCGGCTAGCGTTACAGAAGCCGCCCCGAAGGACGGGGGCGACGGACAGTGCGGAGAAAATGTTTCGCGAGTGTCGACACCCGCTGACGGCGGCGGCGGAGGGGAAAGCAGCGACAGCGCTGGAGGAGGAGGAGAAGGAGAGGGAGAAGGAGGAGGAGGAGGAGAAGTAAGCACCAGCCGTAGCAGCCCGGACGGCGACGGGAACGGGAGCGTAGAGACTGCCGAGACGTCGGGGGCCGCGGGTGACGGCGCAGCCCCGGCCACGGCCACGGCCACTGCCACTGCCACGGCTCCGGCTCCGGCTCCGGCCCCGGGCCCGGCCGCAGCCGCTGCCGCAGGCTCTTCCCCGGCTCCCCCAGCAGAGTCCTCGCCCGCCGCTCCTCCTGCGCCAGCCACCCCAATAAACCTGCTGGATACGTGCGCCGTGTGTAAACAGAGCCTGCAGAACCGCGACTGTGAGCCCAAACTCTTACCCTGCCTGCACTCGTTTTGCCTAAAATGCATCCCTCAGCCGGAGAGACAGATCAGCGTGGGAGTCCCGGGCCCCCACGGCCAGGACACGCACATCGGTGAGTGGATAGAAAGATCGAGAACCGGCCGCTGGTTCCAGTCATGTAATACTGTGCTAGCTAAGTCTCTCTGTTCCAGGGAACCAGCAGCAGTCTCGGGCTTCCTTATGGAAGAAAGCCTCAGATAACATCTTATCCGTGTTTTTTCTGACAGGTTTGGTCTGTATAAGCCACAGCTGCTCTGTAGTAAAGCCCTACACAAGATCTCCGGACTTCAGCCTTATTTATATAAATATTTATATACGGTTACATTTGCTAGCAATGTCGTTGGTCAGCTAGATATTTTTTAATTGTTCTCATTATTATTGTGGCGTATTTAGTGCGTATTTAATGTAGTGATCCATCCATGCAGGCGTGTAAACTGCCCTGTGTCTCACTTCTCTTTCTCTGGATGAACAAACCATCCCAGTGTTCTCCTGTAAAAGGAGACCAATGAACTCTTCAGGATGGGGGAGATGGGTGAACAAACAGGGGCTCCACTATGGGGACTCCATTTGAGAGAAAACGGATTGGGTGCATGGATTAAGACTCGCCATGTCTGTTCTACAGTGTTAGTATCGACACACATCTCACATTTAGGTTCACAGGTGGCAGATCTTCTATAAGTTGAACATCTAACTGCATGTTTGTGTGCAACAATGTCAAAATTGGTGCAGTGCAATTAAAAGTTATTAGAGCTGCATGTAAATCGCTTAATTTCATGCAGTTTAGGCTGTGTGTTCATTAACTCAGTTGACCTTGATTGACAACAATAGCAGGCACTATTTCTGGTTCTGGACTGATATGCTGTGATATTGCTTTCCAGTTTTAGCAGTGTGTTTGATAAGTAATGGATATTTATGCTCAAAATACAAAGTCCATGAAATAGCATCGTCCCAGCTGTGAGGCACTTCATTTTTAGCTTTTTAGTTCTCTTTTGTGCACTTTACATATAGCATCCAGTACCTGACATGTGAAGGGTAATCCCAACATTTTTTTTTTTAAATGTCTACCTAATAAGATCATTAAGGTGACAAAGTCTTTCAAATGTCAAATGCACTGTTCTGTAGAAACGTAGAGCCAGAATTTTGACTACAGTGTTGAAGGGAACCAGTTGTCTGAAACATTAAATGCGTCTAGAAACTCCCTCCCAAAGTTATTATACGAAATGATTATAAATGCATCGTCTGACGTCTGAGACATTGTTTAATAACAGTTTTGAGAGATATTTTTGGCCTGAAACACTCATAAGATGTGTAGGTCCAGTGGTCATTTTGGATAGCACATAAAATGGCTGTGTTTGTGTTGTAGCCTTCACGACCCCTGGTTCCTATCACCACCAGTGTAAATGAATCATATTCAGCAAGTATCTCAAGATTGATCTGTTTTACATCAGAACACTCTGCATCATTAGCTTTACTCGCCTTGTGATATTAGATGTTATCAATATTGTCCAGTGCTGGCGCTTGATGTGATGGCTGAAGGAAGCATATGAGGTACCAGTCAGCATTAGCTTGCCAGTAAACAGCAGCCTGCCTTAGCTTATTTCTTGTGCTCTGCTGGATCCATTTATTGCCTTAATAAATGTCCATTCTCACATTGGACATTCAGCAGAGACTAAGCCAGCCTATTTCTAATTAATTGCACATGTCCCAGTCTAGGTTTCAACAAGTTCCATTCATTTCAGCACTATTAATTGCCGCACCATCATAAGTCGTTGAACTGAACGAACTAGTCGTGTAATCTGTTCTAGATGGCTGTATTTCATTTGAAGTCAAAGTTTACAACACAAACATATATTTCAGCTTTATTCTGGACTGTGCTTTGCCTGTTTTTTTTCATAATGAGATTAGATATGGTCTGCTTATTGTTCACCAATTTCATAAGATGTTATATGTGTACAAGCTGCAGTGTAACTGCTCCAAGTCACTTGTGGTCACGGGCAAAACCAAACTGCATACAGCTGTACGTTACAGGAAAGCTTGTTTCTTTTAGCAATGAGCAGCTCTATGCCAAGCCTTCTGTTTCTCATCACAGTTTACCTGCTGGCACAAGGTCTGATTATTCTAGCTTAGTCTGAGATACTGTTTTTGTTATCCTGTGAACATCTTGTCAGTCTGTGCATTGAAAAGGACATTTCTTTACAGAGATTAGCATGCTGTTGTTAATCTTTCAGTCATGTCAGATGCTGGGTACTGGTCTTAGCAGTGGTCAGGCAAGATAAGAAGGACATAACACAAGATCAGTGACCATGCAGCAGTCTTTAGTGGCATTTGGCTGATGTTGAGATGATGAGCCAGGCTATATCAGAAGGTCAAGACTGAAAAGCAAAAACTTTTGAAAGGAAATTGACAGTATGTGTGCGTAAAAATAAATTGCATTCAAAATACATCAGTGAAACTTGGGATGCAATCCATGGAGGCTTCATCAATGAGCTTAGATCAGGGGTGCCAGAACTTTTTGTCTTGGGAGGCCAGAGCTCAATGTTTATGGTGGGCAGAGGGCCAAAAGGATAAAACAGTATACAAATAAAAAAGATATGCAAGTTTTGACAACGTTATTTTTGTTGCCAGAATACTTTAAAAAATACAGTTTTACAAGGAAAAATGTATTAAGTTATTTGTATCAAAAAGGTTTTTTTCTCTCACAGGATGAGGGCCTGGGGTTTGGGTAACTTTCTTGTGGGCCAAATCAAAGGTCTTCTCCCTTTCTCCCATGGGCCACACTTTGGGCAGCCCTGGTTTAGATCATATAACTGAGTGGGTTTGATAGAGCTATAAACATTTAAGAATTTCGTACTTATTTTTGTTTTGGGTTCAAGTTCAATATGTGCCCTATTATGTTTGTGCACATATTGAGGGCCCTGTAATTTCCCTTTTCTCAGAATCGCAGAGGATTCAACAGAATTCAGAGATGAAAATGTGATTTACCTTTAAATGCAGAATCACATGGAATTGTGCCCTATTTCACCAACTGTGTAACTTATCTTTGCATAGCTATGTGCATCGTCTACTCAGTAGTCACGCAAAACTGACTTTGTGACTTGTTTTAGTTGCCAAAGGTTGGGTTAGCAAACAACATGTTAGAGCAACATCCAGCCCAAATATCAAAGCTGTCAACAAAGCTAAAAAATTCAGCCCTGTCAGCTTAGTTTAGGGTTCAGCGGTGCCCCAACGACTGTTACGAATCAGATGGACAGCTATTCTGTGAGACAGAACTAGCCGTGCCCTAAATTAAATTTCCGTGAGCTCAGTTGACAGTGAGAAGCACTTTAGTAAACACACAACACTGTTCACAGTCGCTCACTGAGAGACACTCAGAGATGGTTTTGTGAATGTGGAATAAGCCCAGACTGGACTTCGATGTTGGTGGTGTTTCCCTATTTAAAAATTCCATTTTGCCTTTGTTTAGGCTGGATTTGGGTCTGGGGAAAATGGGCTGAAATATAAGATTGTTGTGCATTTTAATAGAGATATGTCTCTCAGATGGAAAAATAGGCCTAGCACATACTACAATACTGACCATCTTTAATGTGAGTACTGTTTAAAAAATACTGGCCAACTTTAACTTAATTGCAAAGAAAGCATGATTCATTTTGTTTAGATTAAATGTGCAAAATGTTAAATGAAAATTCTCCTTCTCAAAGTGTTTAATAGTATTCTTTAAATGTGGCACCACTGGTTCTTTTGTGTCTGCTCCAACTTACCAAACATTAGAAAAATATTGTAAATCATGAAAATGTCTTGGAAATATTGTGATGTTATATTTTTGCCATCCTCACCCCAACCCCGCCCCTTTGTTAGAGCACTTCAAAGCATATGTATTAGAAGCTGTTTAAACCTGGACTGCATCCATTTATTTTATGTTCTAAAAAGAGCATTTTATTAATTTTAAGTTTCACATATTAATCTTATTAGACATTAACACTGAGAGTTTCAGATATCAGTATTTATCTTCATTTTGGAACAGTAAGCACTTTAATAATGCAAAAAAATTTGATATAATAAAGAGGACCCCACATTGTTCTGCACCTCATTAGGCTTGGCTGTAATTCTCCAATTTAAATTGAGGAGCGTCCATCTTGAATGTCCCAAAACTAGTCTACCATTTAAGTAAGCACTGGTAAGGCTAGATAAGTAGGCCAGAGCCATTTAAGCTATTGGTTGGATTGATTGGTTTTGACGCTGCATACATTAAGTCCAATCTCCGGTGATTAATGTAATGCCATGTGCATTTAGTCTGATGCGTATTGCGCTGTACATGTTTTTCCCGCATGTACAGTTCTGTGTTAAGCTGTCTGGGCCTCTCTTCTCTTTGTTGAGGCCTGTTTACTCGTATGTGCTTTCACATGTCGTTTTTGTTGGTCTGTGGCCTCATTATTAACTTTAAAATCCTAATGGCTGTTTATTTTGTCTCGAAGACATTTCCAGTAAAACAGAGAAGGGGTACAGTTTTTGATCTCTCAAGCCTGGTAAACATCTCAGTTTTTGAATTCACACTCTAGGCTGTTATTTTCAGGTTTTAATTTGAAAATTGTGGTTTGTTTGACAGTGTTTACATGTGGTATGTTATACATTGGACTTTGCTATGGAGCAGCAATTCTCAAACTAGTCCTCAGGGCCCCCCAGATGGTCCACATTTTGCTCCATGCCTGTGTGTTGTGAGCTGGGATAGAGCAAAAATGTGGACTGTCTGGACGGCCATGAGGCCCAATTTGAGAACCACATCTAGAGAGTGCTCACTTCAGTGTTATATTAGTGCAAAGGTCACGTTGAGGCCGCTGTCATATTGGCAAGACTAACTGGTGACTAACTGGAGAATATAAGCTTGTATGAAGTCGAGGCGGACAGTGTGATGATGTTTTCTCAGGATATTGTGATAAATTATATCACATTATGTCTTGATATACTATTCAGAGCGTGTGGATACTGTTGGTATTTAAAAAACACTGACCAACTGCATGTTTCATTACAAAGAGAACATAATTGGGATTGTGTAGTTTGTTGGTGGTACTTTTTAAATATAGCACTTGTTTTTTTTGTCTTTTCCAACTGATCAAACTTCAGAAAAGTGGATATTGTGAAAATTATGTTTTTCCTATCACCCACCCCTTCTCAAGTGCAGATTTCAGATAGTAGTTTGGGACAAGGCCGAAATATTACCGTTCAACTTGACTGAATTTTTAAACAAGTTCTGTGTTTCTCAACTCTGAAAGAGAAACTTGTTATTCAGGATGTTTTTTGTTCTGTAAGATAAACATTCAATTTATTCCCAGTAATAATTAGTGATGTTTTAGTGATTTATTTTTCATTTTCTGTCTATTTTAAGGCATTCATTTTAAAATCCCTGTGAATTTTCAGACTGTTTTTGGAACAGGATTTATTGGGATTAACTCACCGTATTATCATAAGCTCAGTGTTTACCCCGGGTATGGTCATTATTCGTCCGGCGTGGACTATATCACATAGCATGAGGCATTTTATGGAGCAGATGTGGCTTCGGGCAAAACCCCAGCGCCTCCAGTTAATGAAGGGACTGAGTAAATCCACTGCAGTGGCCCTGCGCTTGGAGAGCAGAGAGAGACCACTTCTCTACAGTGGCTCACTTCAGCTGCTCTCGCCAGCCAATCATTGGCCGAGTTGTGCAGCTGGGGCTTAGGGGGAACTGGCTGAATGCAGTAGGAGCCAGTGCAAACAAGATCCAGCCGGCTTGAACCAGTTCTGGCTGCAGCCGGTTAGATGGGGGAAGTGAATTGATGGCATGTCAAGGAGATCAGGAGGGGGCTGGGTGATTAATGGGTGTGTGGGGGAGGGGAAGAAGTCTTATCTGTCAGCATCTGATTTGAAAACCGGATTAAAGAAAAATTGAATTAGGTTTGTGAATACATTAGTCTAATGTCTGTGCAGTAGATCAGAGTACACCCAAAAGGAAAATTCCACTTGGCCATTTGCAAGCAAGCACCGAATGCGTCTTAAAGCTTAATGAATCACATGATCGTTTTCATCAGAGCAGATTATATTCATAAATTAAACATAAACTGACTGTGTAATATAGAGCCAATGTGTAGCTCTGAGCCTCAGGCACGGTTCTTTTCCACAGCTCATTTTGGATGAGATATTTAATATGAAAATTTCCAGTTTACATTATTTTAGAGGTTTTGTTTTTAATTATTGTCATTATTATTGGGGGGGTGTCAATGCAGGATTATTTAGTTAGCTGGTTATTATTAGCATTTATTTATTTATTTTTATTTATTTTTTACATCTTTTCCAGTACTTTTTGTGTATTTTTTGTTAAATGAATCTGAATAACCTGAGTAACTTAACTTCATGAAATATCTCCCTGGGTTCGTGTGCAAATCTTTGCATAATATGACTTCAGTTAGCCAGGGTTGAACAATAACTGAGGGGACTTTCTAGTTTCCAGTGTATGCACAACTCATTGCACTTCCAAGCGATTGTCTGACCAACAGCTCTCCAGATATGTTTAGTTAACAGCTCAGAAATATTGTATTACATAACATAGAAATTAAACTTATAATAACTGGGAGGTGAACTAGACAAGTGCATTATGAAGACCCAGTGGCCACTTGCATAAAATATCTTACGTATGTATCCTAAGTTAAATGCTTAAGGGTTAAAATTAAAGGTGTTAATTTAAATTTTGCATCTGTCAGACTGTGCTGAATCTCAAACACAGGGTCTAAACTTACAATTTACAGTTTATAAGTATGGATTTTTTTGAGTTTCCACATCCAAACTGTTCCCTGAAGAGATTTTAGAAAGCTCACTGAAGGTAAAGGGAAAACATAAAGCTGAAACTCCCTTTAGATGTTTTACATAACTTACCACTGATCTGCAAAACTGAGAAAATCTCTTGTACGTACAGTCGTATGCAAAAGTTTGAGCACCCCGGGTCACATTACATGCTTTTTTTTTTTCTTTTTTTTTTCCAAGTAAAAATAATATAAATCAAGTAATAACAATAGGTTTTGCACCGGCCACATTTTTATGTTTTACTTTTTCGTTTTTTATATGATAAATCAGCCAATAAACAGTAATTCTGCATTAAAGCTGATTTTCACTGAGAAAATCAACAAAACATGTAATTTGACCAAAGGCACCTACTTTTGCACACATTTTATATGACCAAAAACTGGTTAAAGGAGCCGAAACGTTTGAACATTTGAACTTGAGGAAATGTTTGATGCTGGAGTAGCTCAGTGAAGTGACCTTAGGTCAGTGTTGTTGCACACATGCCCCACACATGCTTTTTCTCACTGTGTCTTGTTCCTTGTTTTCTTCTCTTGCTCAATTCCAGTGAACGTCATGCGGTGTACAGTGTGCTACCAGGAGTACAAACAGACAGACATGATAGACAATTACTTTGTGAAGGACACGACAGAAGTCTCCAGCACTTCGACAGAGAAGTCTATGCAGGTGAGAGAACGTCTGTGGCTGTCTCGACCCAGTAGCATCTAATTTCACATGTCTGGATGTCATCAGCCTCTTCTGCATGCATCACGGAGAAATATTGACATGAATATGTAGGCCCAGTTTAGCCCTTGAAAAGATGTTTGCTGAGCCTGTTTTAACTGCTTTATGTGTCTGTCTGCCTGTGACAATGCAGGTATGCACCAGCTGTGAAGACAATGCCAGCGCTATTGGTTTTTGTGTGGAGTGCGGGGAATGGCTATGCAAGACTTGCATTGAGGCACACCAGAGGGTCAAATTCACCAAGGATCATACAATACGTAAAAAAGAGGAGGTCTCTCAGGGTAAGTTTTAGGGTTGCACAATATAAAGCTCTTTAAATTGTGATCATGTTGCCGGTCTTTGCAATACTGATGTTGCAGAAGTGTGACTTGCACTGACTTCCAGTCAGTGTTTTGAGTGCTGTGAGCATGCTGACCAGCCGCGGTTGTTTTTAGGTTCCAGCATAAATCATGTGTGTTTTTAATATATGGGATGGTGTGATGCATTTTAATTGCAGTATCCGTATTGTGTATCCCTAACTAACCAAATATTGCCTTTATCGCCCCTCTAAAAACATATGATTTCCCTTGCTCACATGATAATTATCTCTATTTAGGCCTGTCACGATTATTACATAATTGCCTGATCAGTTATTCAAGCTGATCACAAGCTTTTAAGCCAAAGGCAGTTATTTTCCACAGTTGTTGCAGCAAACAAAATGTAAATTAGGTGCCTTTTTATCAACTGGGTTGAGGGGCTGTCTGCTGCTGTCTGAAAAAACCTTGTATCTGCATTTTTGTCCTTTTTCAATATTTGGCATAATTTGAAAATGCCTGTTGCCCTTTACATTGTGTGTAAATTTCTTGAAGAATGGACCAAAAGAAAAGGCCCCCCAGTTAAAGTTCCAGAAAGCAGGAAACACAATTGGGTTGTGTTTTTTTCTGTTAAAACAACTAAAATTCAGTCTGGTGCTTGAACAAGTTTAGAGGGCTGTGGTGAGTAATGTTTGTTTATTTGAGCTTGAGCTGTGTCTGTCATCAGTTGGGATATCGACAGTCAGGAAGCGAGTTGGCGAGTCAGCCAATTTGGCAACTTAAGGCTTGTGTTGTAATAGTTTAATAGTACAGTTAACAAAGAAAAGACAAATTTTCAATCGTAGTTATTTACATACACAGTTGCATTATATGCAGTCGTATGCAAAAATTTGAATTCCCCCTGTCAAATTACGCTTTGTTGATTTTTCTAAATTAAAACATCAACACATTGTTTACAGAGAACAGACAAATGTGGTGTTTTGCTAAGCACATAAAAAAAATAGAAAATGTCATAACTTTTGCACAGGCCATGTTATTTTTTTTTCCCAATGTGTTTCCAATATAAATGGAATTTATTGGAATATAATTCTAGTTAATACCCAGCTCAAATTCTAGGTATATTTGTTTTTAGATTTATTTTTGTTTTTGTATATATGACAGTGTGTATTGCAGAAATCTGACTTCTTCCCAGCATCATTTTACCAATATAGTGAGTTTAACGATTAGGTTCATGTTTTGTTTACAGGCAGTAGCTAAGCAGCTTTGCCAGTATCAGGGTAGTAGGATGTTTTGCTTGAACCACATCAAAGCTGAGATGATCTAATTTCTGATAAACAATAATTCAAAACAAAATTCAAAATGCCTTTGGTTCATGCATTTTTATGGTGGAATACATGAATTGATAAACAGTTGAAGAGCTCAGATCTCGATCTGCGGTAGTTCTGGCTGCAGTTCTACAGGCGGGGGATCCTCATGCAGTTTCTATGGCAACGGGCAGAGTTTCGAGTGAGTCAGTTGCTCGGCCCGTGCTGGCTTCATTACTGCTAACTCGCCTACAGTCTTCCTCGCTTTGGTCAGGTCTAGAGGGGGAGCTGTTGAAACATATGGCTTTTTGGGAGTGAGAGAGGGATGAAAGAGTGAGCAAGAAATGTGTCATTTATTTATTTCATTTTTTGGGCCCCGGGCTGAGTGATATGTACGAGTATAATGATATTATGTCCTAAATTAGGCAGGGTTTCTTTAGTCATTAATTTTGCATGCCAATATATTTGCCCCAGTTCTGTTGCTGTGCTCAGCACAGCTGAGACAGCACTAATTAGTTAGAGAGATGCATAATTATTGTTAAAGTGCTTTGCTTGCCACGTCCGCCGATGATGTGAAACTGTCAGGTTTTTGTGTTTTCTGTGTGCAGGTTATGAGTGTGTTAGGGCTGGGTTAGGGCGAGGATTCAGTTTGTATATGACACAGATAAGAGCAGTGATGGTTATCAAAGTGTGATGATGGTAATCTACATAATATCTGCCTTTTGCTGATTTTTTTCTAAAGCTAAAGTTATAGACTGCACCCTTTCTGGCTCACCTTGTATTGTGAAACATGAAAATACATAAATTGATGACCCTTAAAATAAAGATATGATCACATTAAACTTGGTTTTAATAAAATTGTGTTGAAATAAAAGTTAATAAAAACATCATTGACAGATAATTATTTTTAAGTAGCGAGGTGCACAAAAAAAAGGATAAACTTGGAACCTGCCCAATCTATGATACAATTTAATATATTATATATTTTAAAAAGAAACACAGAACTTGTTCACCTTTTTCAACCAGTCTGACTTGGCCAGCTATGTCATATCATGAGCATTATGTCATTGTGACATACACTGAGCTACATAGTCTGTGTCAGATCACCCTGAAAAAAGCGGTGTCATCTGGCTGATGTTATGCAACCTGACATCAAAACTGACAAATGCAACTTGCAAGGATGGCACATGACAACTATTGGGATAAGTGTTGCCTGCTGGAATAAGTGTTTATGTAGGTCCTTGTCAGTTGTTATGATTGGCATATGTAGGTGTCACAGCCTCATGAAAACTGCCCTACAGTATCATGTAACCTCTGTGGGTTCTTAAAAGTGGCAAAGAGCTTGGTTAGATCAGATCCTGTTCTGTAACAAATCTAGCCTGAAAAAGAACTCGCTGTGTTTTTCTTCCTGTGAGTTTTGATACTGTTTGAGTAGTTTCGGCATGATAGCCTAATTTTAGATGCTCGTCTTAAGTGAAGTGCTTCAGTTAAACACATCTCTTTTTTAAAGCGTAGTAGGTTTTTAAAGAAGAGATACCAGATTGGTGTCTCCTGAAAAAGCTTTCAGTGTTGATATCGAAAAAGAAAAAGTTGTGCCATCTCTAGTTTTGGGTCATATTACTGAGCCCTGTTTCAGCTGTGTGTTTTGGTGTTTACAGAGTCGGTGGGCTCATCAGGACAGAGGACCGTGTTCTGTCCGATCCACAAACAGGAGGCACTCAAACTCTTCTGTGAAACCTGTGACAAACTGACCTGCAGAGACTGCCAGCTGCTGGAGCACAAAGAACACAGGTCAGCCAGCTGTGCTCCTCATTACCAGTGTTTGTTAGCTGCTTTACCAGGTTTGCACTAATACACAAGAGTGCTGTACTGTGAGATACTGACCGTGTAAATCAACACATTATTGCCGTTATCTTGTGGTATAGGACTCCCAGTTATGTATTACTGCAATTTTCTCAGATTATTTCATTGTTAATATTTTTATTATTAGCTTTTGAGACCCTGATGACAGAAAAATTGATTAGGAAGAAAATGGATCTGTGTTTGTGAAGAAAAATAGTTCCATTAAAAGTTAATTAAAGTCTGTATGCTGGCGGCTGTTACCAAGTTACAGATGATCACTTGCAAGGTTGGAACTAAATGAGATATTATTAACCTTTTCTTGCAGTGTGTTATGTAATGTGCTGGTGGTTGTCTGTCCTTTATGTTTAGTAGTGTTAGTGCAGGAAGACCACTACATGGCAGCTTAACGATAGTTAATGTTACCATATAAAACTGTTTATAGTCGTTAGTTTGGTTAAATGTTGTTAAATCTTTAGGAATTTTCATCTTCGGAAATTCACTACACTAAAATCTGCCCTATCTGGCTGTGTTTAACCTCCCATCTTCCAGCCTCTTTGAAACCTCTGCCCAACATATGGCCAACATGTGACTGTTAGAAACTGCATATGAAGCCTCCTGATTTTATTTTCTGCCCTCTACAGGTACCAGTTCCTGGAGGAAGCCTTTCAAAATCAGAAAGGAATTATTGAGACGTTCATGTCAAAACTGCAGGAGAAGAAAAACTTTGTGCAGTTTTCTGCAGCTCAGGTGCAAAACAGGTAGGGCTGCTACCCAAGGTCTTCCATGGTTAGTATGAGTTCATTATTGATGACCAGGATTATCAAATCTACCCCTCTCGCTTTTTTAAAACCCTACAGTACTGTGTAAAAATCAGATACCACCCTTGAGTTACTTCATTCACAATCAAAATGGCCGTTAAGTACAAGTTATTTGTTTTTCAGGAGCTATTTCTGAGAAGTTTACCTATGATAATCCACTTACATAAGAAATAAGAAAGTCAGAGAAAAATAAATTAAAAACAGGAGTTTCTAGAAGTTATAAAAATGATTAAAACATACAGAGAATATGTTTCTCTTAACAACCTGGTGGACCAGTAAAACTGTCCTAATCAGTACTCACAGTTTTCATCTCTGAGAGAGAGGAGAAAATCAAGCTGCTTCAGATCTGTAAAAATCCACAGGTGTTTCTGTCCATCCTTCCACTGTGAGACGACACCTCAGTGCTATGGGTCTGAAAGGATGTGTAGCTGTCAGGAAGCCTCACTGAGAAAAGGAAAAGATGAATATTTGCAAAGCAAACAAAGAAGCTGCTTGTGTTCTCAGAACAATGAACTGACCAGCCCACTGTCCAGACCTTGAAACCACTGAATGTGTCTTCGAAAAATGGAAGCTGTAATAAAGGCAAAGAGTGGACACAGTAAATACTGAATAGGTTATTATATTTAGTTGTTTGAAGGTTCTGCGTAATTTTCTCTTAAATTTGTTTTTTGCTTCTTTCCTGACACTAAAAAAATGAATGGTAATTAATGGCTGTTTTGACTGGAATTAAATAAACAAAGAGCGGTCTCTTTATTTACAGTGATTTATAGTTATTTACAATATTGTTTATATATCTGCATCTATATGTAAGTTTCAGAATATCTCATATTTGATGTGCCCACTCCATTTCCCCTTTAAGCTCAGCAGTATATTACACAACCTTTCGTTTCTTCAATCATTCAAATGAAATTAAAGCAGAAAAAATACAAAGCAGACCTAATTTGAGTGCTGCAACATTCTGTATAAACACAGTCTCATTTCCAACTTTGCCCTGACTGAAGGGTGTATTTAAATCACAGGTGTGACTGCAGTCCCGCTGGGCTGAAACACTCCACAGTTGCCCTGCTGTCCCGTAACCTAATTCAGCTCATCAACTAATTATTAAGCCCTTCATGAGTTGAATCACATGTTAGTGAAGCAAGAAAACACTGTTGTCTTCGTTTATAAAGGAGTCATTTATAAACCCTGTTGGTAAATGATTCTTAGCTGAATGATTCTTTTGCCTTCTTTTATTAGAGGTAAAGGCCTACAGTTCACTTTTTTTCTCTCTCTTACGGCAGACTGAAAGAGGCAACCGAGACACACAGGAAAGTTGAGCATGAGATTAAGATTGCAGTCTTTACCCTCATCAACGAAATCAACAAGAAGGGCAAGTCTCTGCTTCAGCAGCTGGAGGTATGGTGGCCGCGGTGACTCAGAAATGCAAAGGAGTGCAGTTTTATTTATTAGTAATTTTTCTGTGTGTGTCTTAAAGGTCATGGAAAATGGCCATATTTTTGAACAGTTGTGCTAAGTTAGGATAGGTCATGTTAAATTATGTTTTTAATCATTTTAATTCTTATTTTGATTACTGAAATGGGCACTGTTGAGGTGTTCGATCCTGATAAAAGCATGAAGTCTGCAGCAACGAAATACATTTCATTTTCCCCCATTGCTCCATTGCCTCCTCAGTAAAGGAGAGTTTTTTCGAACCTTAAAGGAGACTTTTTTCATATTTTTATATTTCCATGTGCTCTTTGAAAAACTACCAATAATGCCTTTTTTTGTTTGTTTGTTTTGCTCTGTCATTTATTTCTCTGTGAATAACAGGTTATTTTCTGGTTGCTGAATTTGTATACTAGTTATCACTGCCCTCATTGGTTCACTCAGTGAAAGGGGTTGGGGTAAGGGCTGTGGCCATTGGTGGAGAGTTGTAAGATGGACGCAGCAGAATACAGAGCAGTGGTCACCAACTCTACTCCTGTAGCTCTTCTTTCCTGCAGAGTTTAGTTCCAACCTGTGTCCGATATGATGCCCTTCCCTTACTTTAAAAGCTTTAACAGATTTTTGAAGCGCTAATAAGCTGGGGCAGATGTAGAGGACTGGTTAAAACTAAAGAGGAGAGTAGATCTCAGGGAGGACGGTTGGTGACCACTGGTATAATGAAAACGTGCATATTTGAGTTTAAGCCTCTTTACACTGACAGACTCTCACTCTCAGTCATTGGCCGGTGTGAGCTCAGCATATCGTTACACCACGATGTTTAATGCATAAACCTTGTTCTTTACTTTGTGAAAAGATTTTTTTACTCACTTTTTTTGCCACAGCTAAGATAACACTAATTACTGTTAGCATCCTAATGGGAATTTCAGTTGTATATTAGCATTAATCTATCTTGACACATACAGTCTTATGCAAAAGTTATAACATCCCTGATCAAATTACATGTTTTGTTGATTGAAATGAAAATAAGTTGTGGTGCACAATTTCTAGTCATTTTCTGACCTTAACATAGTGGAAAAAATAAACATGAAATATAAAATATGCCACAAATGTGGCCTGTCCAAAAGTTGTCAGTGGCTTATTTTCACTTAGAAAATCAAGAGAACATGTAATTTGATCAGGGGTGCCCAAACTTCTGCATACGACTGTATATTTTACATTTTATAGCAGCTTTCTGGCTTAAACACAGATACAGATGCTCATAACTGATGTTCAGGTCACCCTGTTCCATACATTGCATGTTAGTTTGTTGACTCCTGCAGTAAAGACTTCAACTCAAAGCCTGTCTCGAAATATTGCTGGAGCCTATCAGTTTATGACGAACATACTCAAGTGAGAACAGAATGTGGTCTAATTAGCCCACAGAAAGCCTATTAGCATGAACAAAAAAGTCTACTGAATCAGTCACTGACACAGAAGTGTAATGCTTACAATATGTGACAATACATCACTGTTCTACACTGTCCTGTCCATCAAAGACGTCTGTGCTTAAAAGCGCAGCGACGGTGAAAGTATGAAGGCTGGAAAGTGACTGAGATTATTCGGGGGGGCGGGACGCTTGCTTAATGTGATGCAGAATTGAGAAGCGAATCCTGTCAGCCTGTAGAATCACATCTTTTTATAGAAGAGAGATATGACAAAACGTCAGACTAGCTACAGTGACAAGTAATGTACAGTGTGATCTGGCTGGGACAGTGCAGTTTTGTTTACGGTGTCTCCTTTAACATCCTTTGTTCTCTTGTCCTTACTGCTGTCATATTTCAGTGCTTCTTCTGTTCTTGTTGACTCTGATGTTCTCCTGTTGTAGAGCGTGACAAAGGAGCGCACCATGAAGCTGTACAACCAGCAGCGGGACATAGGCTCAATGGCACAACAGATCCTACATGTGCTGCGCTTCACTCACTGGGCCATCAGCAATGGCAGCAGCACGGCACTGCTCTACAGCAAGAGACTGGTGAGACACCTCAACACTCTGCTCCGCCCTGAGGGAGCTGGACTGCAGCTACTCCCTAGCCTTAAGCCTTGTTTTGGACTAAATTACTCCTTTGAAAGTCCTTTTTAGTTCAGGGTTTGACTTGAGCGTCCAGAACACCAACCCTGTAAAGCTATGTTTAGACTGCAGGCCTTAGCTTTAGATCAGTAAGGCTGTCTTTAGAGTGTGGGACTTTTTGGCTCTTCAGCTGGTTGCATTTAGGCTTTGAATCTTGCCTTGATTTTTACCTGTGTTCAGTTCTGCTAAGAAGTCTGGATTTATTGCACTTTCTCCCTTTTATTGGGAGCAGTGGTTTCCTCTGATTGGTTCCAGATGACCCAGTCTCGACAGTAGTGACCATAAACGCTTGACGCCATTAAAACTGCATTACCTGTTTAGAACCTCTTTAGGCCAAAGTTGTGCACTAATGAACGCTCAGATTTTTCTTTTTTCCCCTCTTATTTTCAGTGTGACGTTTGAATCGTTTTTGTGGCTTATCATATGCATTTTGGTCACATTTTTCAGACTGATTTGATGGTTTTTTAAATAAAACCAGCACTGAAGGTTGCTTCCAGTTCACTGCTGAGGCACCTCTAGATCTTACTTTCTTCTGGAAAGCGAGGCTCTGTTTAGTTAAGCTGTCTAAATGTGATCTTTTACCGAAATGCCTGAAAATCTCAATAGAAATATAGAAGATAGAAGATCCAATTATGACATTTGTGTGGTTTTATGTACTGTTTTTTTTTACATGACTGTTTGTTTTCCATCCTCTCTATCGCTTAGAATTAAAGGCTTTTTTTATTACTGTGACTTTTTAATGTTTTAGTTAATGACATCACAGAAACAATTGATTAAAAACAGGCTGTTTTTGCAGCTTTATTTTCCTTATATGGACTGTATGGTCTGGGGAGTGAATAGTATGTTTTAAACCTCAGCAGTGTTCACTTACTGTATCAAACTCTTTTATCCCAAAAAAGCAAAGACAAATTGGTTTTGCATGATATGGGTCCTTTAGGAAGAGTATAAATTGTGTTCCTGCTTCTTAGACTGACAACAGTTGAGTGTTATCTTTCCTAAGACACACTTGATTCAACACTCTTGAAGGGTTTAGTAATTACCTGCTGAGGAAGAGCAGGAAAACAATAAACTCTAGACTGTTACAGCTCTCCGGGATTTAAAATGAAGAACACTCGGCTAAATGCAGCGTATCCTCCAGGAAACATCTATAAACACTTCGTGCCTCTTCAAGACTCGGTTCTTGAAAGCTCTGTATCCATATGCTGATATAAGCGCACTTTAAAAACTATCCTGTGTGTTTTTAAGCTGCTGTTCTTTTGGCGTAGAAGGCATTTAAATTGCGTTCTGATGAAATTTCTTTGCTTCTCTGTGGCAGATCATGTACCAGCTGCGCCATATCCTTAAGGTTCCTCTTGACCCGGTACCTCAGGCCAACGGAGCTGTTCGCTTCTTCTGCGATCCCACCTTTTGGGCCAAGAACGTCGTCAATCTTGGTAACAACTTAAATCCTAGGCTTATTATTCAATTATTAAGCCTAAAGGGGAATTCCATTGACTTTTCAAAATTTCTACATTGTTTGGTCATTAAGATAAAAATTAGGATGTAAACAAGGAACCAGATGTCTAAAGAGTTTAATGCCTCTAAAAGCTCCCTCTAAAAAATGTTTTACTTGAAATGCAGTAAGCATTTTTAAAAATACAGTCATAGTGGAGAAGTCCATGCAGGGCGATATAAAGCAAATTAGTCCCAAAGTTTTTTTTTTGTTTTTTTTGTTTTTTTAATAAACCCAAAGACTTGGTATTATTTTGCCTTTAACAATCTTACGTTTTAAACTCATGTAGGTTCTCTGGTCATTTTGGATGGTAAATAAAATGGCTACATTTGTGCTGTTATTGGAACTCTTGGTTACTATCAGTCAATGAGTTTCTTGACAATGAACAATTTCACATCAAACCACTCTGCATGACTTAGTTTGCTTCTAAGTGATTGAATTATGCAGCAAAAAAAAGTAAAATCAGTGGAAAAGACTTGATAACATATTTCTTTTAAAGCAGTTAAGTTTTGTGGTTATGAGTGTGCCAATATATGCTGTGCAGCCAAAAGAAATCCGTCACTGTTCGATAGGAAAACAAAGGAATATTCAGTTTTACTAGAAGTCGTCATTTATGTTGATGCAAAAGTCTCGACAAATTTTTGGAAAATGCTACAAAAGTAGGATGAACTGTGCCACCATGTGGTTGTATTAACACGTATGTGCATTTGAGAATCCTGTTAAACATTCAACATGGGATTGTCATTATCGATTATGTTAATGATCGAGTAATCCACTGATTATTTTCACTAATCGAGTAATCAGGGGCTTTAAAAAAAAGGCCTAAGAATAAAACTTTAATTAACAGAACAACATCAAACCATGCATAGCCTTTCAAACATTCCAAATAGTTTATTGAGGAAAAGATAAAGAAGCCATGAATTTTTTTTTATGAAAGTATTATAAAAACATGCTGTGCACAAATGCACATAAATGCATGTATCTATCCGGCTCTTTTATTACTGTGAGAGACCAATAGGAAAATCTAAAATGCCAATCGTTGCTGATTGAAAAGGTGTGTCTGTGTGCAAGTGTGTGTTTTTAATCAAATAATCAAGTAATTGTGACCGTCGTAATTCAAAATCATTGTCTGTCATCTCTTACTCAGGTAACCTGGTGATTGAAAAAGTGCCCCCACCAGCACCGCAGCCTCCAAACATGATTGGACCACAGATCTCCCCTGGACACAACGCTGCTGCAAAGCACCCTGGGCAAATCAACCTTGCTCAGCTCCGACTGCAGCACATGCAGCAGGCCGCTTTCGCACAGAAGCAGCAGCATCAACAACAGCATCAACAGCAGATCCAGCAGCAAATGCGCATCGCATCGCAGATGTCTCAGCATCCTAGACAGGGAGGACCCCCTCAGATAATGCAGCAACAGGTGATGAGGGAGTGATGTTTTTATTTTAGGATCAGTGGTACAGGGTCTGTTTCACAAAGCAGTATTTCGTTCTTAGCCAGTTAATTTGATCTAACCTTCGGTGTCCTGTCTCACAACGGTGAATCACGTTATACTGGGCTACATCACCATGACAATTCAGACTTCACAGCTTACCTGCTGTAAGGCAGGTTAGCTTCAGGACTTTGGATCACAAACAGCTCTGGACCCACAAGCCTTTTAAATGCTTTATCTTTTACATGTTTATCTGGTATGATTTTCTTTTTTTTTTACATCTTTAAAGACCCCATTTCCTGCATTTTTCTTCTGTTTTATCATTTCCTTTGAGGCCCACTTTTGATATTTGTGTAAATTTTGTTTACCAAACCGTTGTTCCCATCTAGCCCATTTTCCTACCTCTCTTTATGATTTAGAATTAAACAGGCTGTTTTGGTTACCCTACTTTTAAGACTAATCCATGTAAACGAGCTGTTTTCTGATGTGGATGGTGCTAAACTGCTGTAGGCCATTATAGGTAAATACACAGTTGAGTCACATATTATTATGACCACCAGCTAATATCCCAAGATCCCATCCGCCCCAGGGAAGACAATCAGCATGTACGGTTGTATGAGATCTGCAAGGATGGATTAATACCCAAATCGGTTGAGAGTGCCTTCCACATGGATGAATGGGCCCAGAGAATGCCACGAAAACATTACCCAGACCATAAGCTGCATCAGCTAAGCACTGCCGCCGTCGAAAGTAGGAAGTGGTCGTAATAATGTGACTTGACTGTGTATATAGATTACCATGACATCATAAAAACACTGGATTCAAAACAGGCTGATTTTGCAGCTTATTTTTCCATGTATGGACTGTATGGACTTGGGTGTGCAGTACATTTTCAAATTTTACCAATACTCACATGCTCCTGTGGACCCTTTTATTAAGCAAATACAGGAGAATGTAGTGGACTTCTCATGTTTCATGTGATTGGCTGTTTGTCATGTGATGTTAGGCTAAACTTGACATCACACGTGCACATGCACAAGGATTAATCATAGCTGAATTATCTAAACCTGGGAGAGCAGAGACAGTAAAACCACTGTTTTAAAACAAGGTCACCATGCTTGCATTAGTTATTATTACTTATTCAGTAATGCTGTTTAAGTGGAACATGCTTTGTGACACATGCCTCTTGATTTGGCACTGCGTAACTGTGAAACAATGTTTTATAGCAGCATCTTAATACTGTACAGAAAATGACAATAAGCATAGTGGTGATATCTCAGTGAATTACTTATCAACTGTCAAGTACAAAATTCTCCTGTGTCTGGATGTATAGTCTGTGTATTTCTGTTAATTAGTTTAATTTCTGTGTTTCAGCCTCCGAGACTTATAAGCATGCAGTCGATGCAGAGGGAGGGGGTTAACGGTTCCGCCCACATGTATCCCCCTCCCCACCACCTCCGCATGACGGCCTCGCAGGGCCGCATGCCTGTGGCCCAGCCCCGTCTGAACGGGCAGGCATATCCTATGATGCAACCGCAGCTTCAAAGACGGGTGAGTGTCTTTCACTTTAGTTCCAACCCCAATCTAACACACTGCGTGGCTGTAATGTTTGTTTTCTTCAAAAGGCCTTAATTAGCCAGTCTCAGCTGATTTAGAAGTAAGCACTGGACAGACAATCACCAGACTTAAAGCTTCAGCTGAAGGATTGGTTTCTCCTGCTTTACACTGCGAGCAGAGGTAGTGCAAGTTCTGATAGATCTGTCACATTGTCAGGAATAGTTTCTCTTGTGAGAAAAAAAAACGGTTAGCCTGGTAAACTTTGCAATGCAAAATCGAATATAACGCACATTATTTTGGTAAAAATTGCCCCGTCTGACTGTTAACTTGGCGCAGAGCTGTGGTGCCAGTGCCAGGAATGGCGCAGTGCCATTTTTTTTTGTTGTGGTTAGTCATTTCTGAGCAAGTTCGAGACTTGTTTTCACTCAGTCCCTCACTGAGGGATCATGTAACAGTTCACTTGAGCTAATACAGAGATGGATTGGCCCTCGTGATGGCACTGGGGATTCCCCGAGGGGAAATGGCCAGGCCAAGTGGACGAGGACTTTCTAAAACTGGTATAGAAAAGAGTGCGTAGAGTTCTTTAGCTTAAGCCACCTAAACAAGCTAGTTATGTTGATCAGTTCTGCAAAATACCAACGTGGCTACTTACAGATACTCCCTAATGTTAAAATTTGGTTATTCAACCCATCAGCAAGAAACCAACCGACCTAGAAATATTTACAAATAGACTTTGAATTGAATCAAATTTAATTGAATGACACTCCCACAAGCTAACATGCTAGTCAAAATACACTGACATAGCAACATGCACTTATGTTAAGATTGTTGTACACATATTGTTACATCCCTAGTACTATAGACACAAGTGGGCAGACACTGACAACACACAACTGAAACCAATGAGCAATCAGTGGATTTTCTGTTCTTCTGTTCTATGTAATCAACGGTACAATACAGATTTGGCAGATAGAGATTAGGATGGTTTCTTTAAGCTTGTGATGAGCTTATTAATTAGCTGCTAAATTGAATTCGGTGTGTTCTTGAAATGAAAAATCATCAAAATGGGTAGTCCTGTGCTTCTTCACATCTAAGTGGTTAGCAGCACTGGTTTAAAATTAAATCTGAAATTCAAAAATGCCTTCATCAAAGTTAGGTGGCTGTTGTCTTTGAGGCTGTAGCTGTTTAACATCACTCCACAGCTTCCCTTTGAAAACGACCATGTTCTTTTCCCTGTAGCATTCCAACCCTGGCCATGCGGGCCCCTTCCCCGTTGCATCACTGCACAACGTCAGTGCTGCCAACCCTACCAGTCCTACCAGCGCCAGTATGGCCAGTGCCCATGGCCACCGGGGCCCCACCAGCCCTGTAGTGGGCCCCATCGAGCTCATTCCCTCAGTCACCAACCCTGAGAACCTGCCCTGCCTGCCTGACATTCCCCCCATCCAGGTACACACACTGTTGCCATCACCATGCTCTCATTCAGTTAGTAAGTGTGCGCATTGAAGCTGATTTAGAGCTGTAAGAGTAACACCTCCATGAGTTCTAAAGTTTTTTGTTTGTTTGTTTTTGTTTCTCACTGAAATTTTTCTTCACAGTTGGAAGATGCAGGTTCCAGCACCTTGGACAATCTCCTTAGCCGATACATCTCCGCTAGTACGCAGCAACCTCTGGCACCTACTAATAACCTTAACCCCTCACCAGGACCCTCAACGAACTCTCCAGGGTCATCAGGTACCTTTCAGATTACTCTAAATGAGCAAGAAGCTTTCTTCAGCATTTGTGTTGCCTTTGGTTTTGATGGCTTAGCTGCAATTAAGAGTCTTTTCAATAACATTCGATTAGCCACTATTCAGAAATGCCTGCTCACAAACACACGTGAAAATAATAAATCCTGTGTCTGGTCTGAGACCCTTATTCTGATTGAGTTTTCATTCTCCTGTCCAGGGTTATCAAACTCACTGACTCCAGCCCGGCCGTCCAGCTCCTCCAGTACAGGCAGCCGTGGCAGGTAAATGGTGCACTGTGGGATCCTGCAGTCCTGACTCTAAACATGCATGTATGTTGTGTACTTTTCCACTTCATGTTGGTCATTGAATATTTGTATGTGTTGTAGTTGTGGGTCGGCAGGTAGGTCCGGGACTGGGAGCACAGCTGTAGACCAGGTGAAGGTCAAACAGGAGCCAGGAGTGGAGGAAGAGTGTGGATACTCTGGGGCCAACGTCAAGACTGAACGGGGCAAAGACGGCCGGCGGAGTGCTTGCATGGTATTCTAACTTCTACTACTTGGCTACTTAAGAGATAATAGTGCTCCTTGTGGAGAATCTAAATAATTTAGGAGAAAACGTTTCATGAAATTAGCATTAAAAACATTTTACATGCTAATTCTGTTTTTCCACAGTTAAAAATTACAAGTTGTTCCACTTACTGAGATTTATACATTTTAGAAGTATTTTTAATAGGTTTTTAACTCTGATAACTCTACATTTTCTCAAACTCAACCACCAAAAAGGCCATATTAAAGAATCTCAACAAATCCGTGGGCCAGAGAACGTTTTAATTTCATTTTTAAATAACATATTAGTAAACTGTTCATTGTTTATTCAAAATAAGGCAAAATGTCAACAGCAAAATATAGGCTCTTGTAGTAGACCTTGAAATATCACACATCTTCCAAAAAAAAAATGTCCCGAGGAGAGAAGTCTTTTAGACCTACCTGTTTGCTTTAACTAGACACCTGGCATCTTTTTTTTGCTGCAAGTTCATTCATTCTTGGGATCAATTTCAAGCTAAGTCTTTACATTGGTTGAACTTCAGCTGAAACGGGGCTAGTATGTTTGGTGATATGACAGATGTGGGAGAATGGAGGTGTAAACGCTGTCTCATAGATTGCTGTTGGAGGAGGGGAGTGAGAGTGCACATTACATTGCAGGGCATGCTGGGGATTGTAGGACAGGGCTTTGTGAAACTAATGGGCTAATATTAATAGAAAATCAAAATAATTTTGTGGACCGGATAGAATTGTGTCCATATGTTTTGAAATATGTGTTTTAGGCCAAAACTATCGTTCTGAGTGGGATGTGAAACAGTGGAGAGTTTCTTTTCGCTGATATGCTTCTATGACTTGTCAGTGAATATGGAAGGAAGCTATTCAGTGCCACCGTGTGGCCCATTTACTAAAACAAGGCAAATTCAGGACTGAAAAATGATGAAGGATGTTGTCTATTGGATCTGTGATTTTTCAAAATAAATATCACCTTTCTGGTTGATCATGCCTTATCTAGATGAAGTAGCCTAGGGCAGACTAGTGTAGGAAATTTCTCAGAATTTTATTCTGTGACTTCGTTGACTGTGTTACGGTGTCATTGTATGAAGTGGTTGACTAATTTGAGTCCTTTCCTTTTTCTTTCTGCTGTTCTTCTCTGTCTGTACAGATGAACAGTCCGGAGGCCAGCGTGACCCCTCCTCTCCCTGTCCTGGGTTCTGTGTCCACTGGATCTGTACAGGATGTTTTAAGAACCCTGGGAGAAAATGTTAAAATGGAGCCACAGAACCCGCCCTGCAGTAGCACAAACACTTCTCTGACTAACGGCAGCATGGACGCTGGGAATCAGGCCATGTTTCATCGCTCTCAGAGGACCAGCAGCAGCTCACAGGCTAATGCTAACAGCCAGCCGGGCACAGAGGGCAAAGAGGATGACCCAAATGAAGACTGGTGTGCGGTGTGTCAGAACGGAGGAGAGCTTCTGTGTTGTGACCGCTGCCCTAAAGTCTTCCACATCACCTGCCACATCCCTACACTACGCGCCTCGCCCAGGTAAACATCTCTTTGTCCACTCCAGCAATTGTGTTGGGTTGACATGCCTTCCGACAGTCACTAAATATGATGGCCTATAATGAAATAACGTCATAAAACAGAAATGTAATAGACATTTTGTAAAATTTAATAGTAATACAATACTACTACTACTAATAATAATAATAATAGTAATAATAATAATAATAATAATATCAGTGCTTTTCAGAATAACAGGAATATTAAAAGGAAAAATAATTGATTTGAATTGATAAATTTGTCCAATTCTTTCAGATATTGATATTGAAACCTTGAGTATCGGCCAGTAATGATCTAATACGTTTAAGAATATACTGTTTTTAATTGCACTGCCCTCAAACTTGAAACATAATTAAATCATCAAGATGTTACCAAAAAGTGTAGCTATATTATAGATTAGATATAGATTAAATCAATTCTGTGCCAAAAATATATGTAATTTTTGTTACGGGAGATAATCTACAATCTTTCATTTTTTCTGTTAACCCAGTTATACAGATCTGCTTTAGTGTGAAGCTGTGACCAAAATGGATCCGAATTTACATTTCAGGGCACTTTTATACTTCCATTTTTCTCTTAGTGTCCAGATCATATAATGGAATTTCATAGTGTTTTTGAGGGCACTACAGTCTCCCACAGTGCACTTGTAATTTCTAGTGACCACCATAGATCACTACGTGTGCTGAAAGTGCGTCAAAGTGCACTGTGAGTCTCTTGTTGCTTAGCAACGGACAAAGTAATGTTAGTAATGGTGACCACTGAGCTACTGAAAAAGAAACTTAAAGGTGTCAGTGTAGGTTTTTGCCATGTTTTAAGAATAAATCAGCTTCAGAAATCATCTTGGTGAAAAGACTCCCCCAAAAGTATTAATTTTCCCCAGTGTCATTTGTGTCAGTTTCATTTGTGGTTGTTGATATCTCCCCCACCCCCCTTTCTCTCTTCATCCACCCTCCCTCCATCTGGTTTAGTGGAGACTGGATGTGCACGTTCTGCAGAAGTCTGACCAATCCAGAGATGGAGTATAACTGCGATGATGACCCTCCGAGTAAAAAAGACAAGAGTGAGCGGGGTCTGAGTTCAGAGGACCAGAGGGTGAGTTCTCTGCGTAGGACCTGTAGATCTGTTATGTTCCTCTTTTTGATTTCTCTTTTGTTTTGCTGTGTTGATTTGTACTATATTTATTTAAGCTCAGATGCTACAGTAGCATTTGAGTTTTTGTCATCACTAGTTTCTTCCTTTTAAATATCTTATCCCTTCTTTTCCTGTTTCTGCCCTCCACAGAAATGTGAGCGCCTGCTGCTCCATATATTCTGTCATGAGCTGAGTGTAGAGTTTCAGGAGCCAGTTCCTTCCTCGGTAAGCTTTCCTGTCCACGCTTCTTGACTGACCACACTTATTTTCACACACTTAATAGCTCTTTATCTGGAGCCCTAAGACTGAGCAATATTATCCATGTAGTGTAAAAGCTATTTGGTATGTAAATATTCCCCTACCTTACCCTACACACTCTCACACTCTCTCTCTCTCTCTCCCCCCCCCCCGCACTCACGCACTCTGATCGGCTGCTCTGTATTGTGCCTCATTCAAAAAGCTGGATGAGCGGGGCTAAACTGCTGTAGGCAGAATAGACAGATATACATAAATATGTGATTTCAAAACTGCCGTTTTTTTTTAAACTTTAGCAGTGTTTACATACTGCAGCTAAAATGAGGAGAATTCTGCTTTCCATCAAATGGGCTATCTTGTGAAATACACTCAGGTGCCAGCTATACTTCAAGTAGGCCCTGGGAGAGCCTTTATCTGCTCATTTTTCTGCGCAATATGAATTTATGTTTTGGTCTTCATCTCCTCTCTAGGTTCCCAACTACTATAAGATCATAAAACACCCCATGCACCTGAACTTGGTGAAGAGGAAACTGCAGCTAAAGCACCCGCAGCACTACCAGAACCCCAAAGAGTTTGTGTACGACGTCCGTCTGGTCTTCAGTAACTGCGCCAAGTACAATGAGGTGAGTGAGCGCATGTTGTGTTGTTGCATGTAGGCATGGGGATGTTTTTGGGTGTCTGTTTTAGTGTCGGACGCAGCAGTAACCAGGCAGTGTGTTGTGCATGTGCTGGCTGCACCATGCAAGCTTTATCTTTGCAACACACCTGTACTAACAAACAAATGGACTCAGGATTATGAATATTTTGACACATCCATGTATTGTTTAGAATTAAAACTAACACATTTCCATCACAATTAACTTTGTGGCCTTGCATATTTGAAGCAGTTTGAAGCTTGATGTTAAATTCAGTTTTATAGTGTTTATCACGCAGTCCGTGAAGTTTAGAGGCTTGCCCATAGATCAGAGAAGCCTTGGCTGGCTCAGGGTTTCTGTTTTAAAGCAGAGTTCTATCTTTTTTTTTTTTTAAACATTTTTGCATAATTTAGTCAACGAAATGTAAACAAAGTCATTCAAAGTGGTTTGATGTGAAATGGTTATTGGGTTTTTTTTGCCTCTGTAAAGTCACCTTATGAGAGATGAGATGCTATAAAAATTGAACTTATTAAATTGAACTATTATTATTATAATAATAATTATTATTATTATTATTATTGTTTTTATTATTATTGTGTAACTCTTCACACGACTGGTCTCTGACTTTGCTCTCTGAAATGACTTTGCTTACACAGAAAAATCAGTGGACTTCCCCTTTAAGAGAAACTCGCCTGAGAAAAGAAACTGTTTTTCATATTCAGATGACTTTGTCTTATTTGAATATGAAAAATAGTCCTACTTTGAAGGTCGTACTGGAAAATATTCCGTATTACAGTCGGGCGTCCTTAGCCGAATGATGACGTTTTGTTGATTTTCTAAGTGAAAATAAGTTGCACTTCCTCTACAGAGAGCACAATTCTGCACATATTAATGCACCATTATTGTTTATATGCTGAATTTAACATATTGGTGGGGGGGCATAACATGTGGGAACATGCAAACGTTGTGGCACAATTGATTGTATGTGAAAGCAGATAAATAGAAGTTGTGCGCTGAAATCTGTTCTCTGTAGAGGATGAGTTAACTAACTCACACTTTGACAACCAATTAAACTTTTATTTGACTAGTGATATTTAAATTTTTGCCTAGAACTGTATGGTAACCAATGTGACACAATGAATAATCTGATCTAGAACCCCAATAGTGGCGTGTTCTCTTATTCATTCATCTCTGCTCTGTGGGTGAAGTCTTTGGAAAAGGCTGGATCAGATCCAGCATTATAAACCGTTTTTCACTCATTTCAGTTTCATTTTAAGGCTGGTTACAGTATTATAGTGACTGTACAGCAGTTTCACAGATGCCTAACCTCCCCCCCCCATGTAGTGTTTTTCATTTAATAGATGAGTATTGTTTAAGTGGTCAGAGACAAAGTGCAGTAAGTAGGAGTGGGCAGTATGGCAATATTTTTGGCTTATCATGATTGTCATAATACTTTTCTACATAATACACGAGTCTGTCGTGAATATTGTCAGTACTGAAAGAACACAAAAAAAAACGATCTGCATGTTTTGTTACAAAAGGAGTATAGTTATTTTAATAAAAAATCATTGTTTTTATAGTACAATAATTATACAATTATTAGTACATTATTTTTAATGTGGCATATTTTTTTCTGTTTCAACTGATCAAACCTCAGAAAAACTAAATATTGTGATGCATATTGTACTTCGCAAAAATGTCTGCAGGTATTGTGATATTCAGTTTTTTCAATATTGCCCACCCCTAGCTGTAAATGATCTTAAAATAGGTGCTTTGAGTGAACATATCAATAATTTATCAATTACATATATTATTTATATAATCATGTTGTTATTGCTACTGTTGTGTTTTATCTGTATTAGTATGTTTGAAATAAGTAAATATTATATTTATACATATATATTTTTGTTTCTAGATAACTTTATGGGCTAAAGTCCTATTCAAGATGGGTTATTTTTACCAGAGGAGGTCTGATAATGTAATTTGTAAGTGGTTTGATTGCCAGATTCGCACAAGTTAGGGTTGATAGCCCGGATGAAAACGTCAAAGTCCGAGCAGCGTTAAGATTACAGTTAAATGGGTCCAAACAAAGACCAAAAACTAACTTCTATTTAATGCCAAATAGAATAGTATTACGTTAGTGAAGTGGGCTCATTCAGCTTAACAAATGCTGCCCAACAGGTAGTCTTCATCTGAACTTGAAGATAGAGAAACTGCCAAATCAACATCTTTTTATTGGTTATTGGCCTTGTTTACTGGTCACCAGAAATGAGGATCTGTTGTCTGTCTGCAGGTTTCGTTACATTAGAATGAGGTGGATTTGAATAGGATGACTATAGCTGTTACTGCGGGAGCTTCTGGTCGTGCAAATTATAGAATGTAATTCACTCTGAAACACAGAGCAGATTTGTAAAAATTCCGGGCGTTGTGGATTCATGCTGGATTAAAATCGCACATCTCGTCGGTAGTCATTCAGATTACAGCACCTCCCCAGGTAACACTAAACCAGCTCCAATAGGACTTAATTGTCCGTTTCTCTTCGTCTCTTTACCTTGGTCAGCATTGGTGGCTGCAAGTGCGGTCTTCTGGTTTCATCTGTGGACATCTGTGTTGATAATAATACCAAGTGACTCCTTTGTAACAAATCCTGAGTCTCGTGAATTTTTACCAGGAAGGAATCAGATCTTAGAGGAATATAAAACTGTGAAGTGCTGCTGTGATTTATTATGTAATGATAAGAGTGCAAAAACCATCATGGTACAGAAACACTCTTACTTTGATCGCTCCTTCATAAGGGTGACCACAAGACTGCCTGTGGCTTCGGGCCCCAATGAACTGAACCACATATTATTGCTTCTGTCTGTTGACTCTGTACTAGTAATTTGTCTGTGATGGGCATTTGTGGTATTTATTAAAGTGGAATTCCATTGCGTTTTCAAAATGTCTGTATAATTAAATTGTTAAAGCCTAAACAAAGATATTCAGAGTGGTTTGATGTGAAATGCTGCATTCTGGAGAAAACTGACCAAGTCAGAAATGTTCCCTGTAACGATAGGAATATGTTCAATATGATATGTTTAATTCCTCACAGAATGTTATTTCATGAAATGCTTATGAACATATTTTCTGGTCCATAAGACAATTTTTTTTTACTATAGTTCTGGGGCGAAATAGCCCCCAAAGAAAATCTGTATTTTGGGTTATAACTGTTTTGCCATCAACATTACATTTAAACACTCAGAAGACACGTGTAGGTTTACTGGTGTTTTGGGATGGTAAATAAAATGGTTATATTTGTGTCGTAGGCTTTCCGATCCCTGGTTCCCCTCACCACTGTTAAAAAAAAATAAATAAATAAATAACCTGAGCAGTTATGTTTCTCTACAGTGAACCATTTCACATCAAAGCACTCTAAATTACTTTGTTTACATCTTAACAATTGAATTTACACAAGAATTTGGAAAAATACAGCGGGGTCCAAAAGTCTGAACACATTTGAATTCTGGGAAATTCTGGGAAACAGAACATTTTAGAATTCTGAGAAATTTAAAACAGATTTTATGACAAGTAAAATGAAATAATTCATGAATTCTGTTCTGTTTCTAGGTAACTATTCAATATGAAGCGAGTTAGTGACACTATGTTGAGCCCTTTGTATAAAAAAAAACAAACATTTTTTCAGTCTTGTTCCTTCTATTGAAGCTTGTGTTCAGACAAAGTTGGATTTGATTTGCTCATCAGAGGCTTTTACACAAACTTGTGGACTCACTGTCCTTAAAGTAAAAGAAGGATGTCAAATATTAAAAGATTCTGACATTGATGCTGTTTCAAAGACTCTACTTTGCTTTCAAATTGTTAAGCTCACAATAGAACTTGTAATGAAAACCTTTAGATTAAATGAGAAAGGAATGCAAAGCATTTTCTCTAGTGGTCTCAGACTTTTTGACCCCACTGTAGCTGGGATTCTCCTTTAAGCCTTAAATATTCAGTGAAAACATCTGAGCTGTCAGATTTCATTTTCTCTGAAAAGGTTGTGTAGCGGCACTAAAAGTCTTGTAACATTATCAGAAATTGTTTGTTTGTTTTCTGTGACAAGAAAAAGTTAATCACTTTTCAATATGATACATTATTGTCTTCAAATAACTTTGAAATGCCTGTAATGGATTTCATGTCAAAGAAGCACTATATACCTGTTACATAATGAAAATTATATTTTTGCTCCCCGAGTACACAGAAGTTTAGGCATTTAGTTATATCCAATTATGGGGGATGGAGGTGATTGAAGGATTTTTTTTTTCTATGCAGATGCTAAAAAATTCAATTTTTTCTTAAGCATAACTCAACTCGCCTTTAGATGGGCACAATTTTTTTTGAGCAAACAGAATATTGTGCTCCTTGGACATTTTGTACTCCTCAAATACAGCTGAGGTGGTCACCTCTCTGTATAGATGGTATAAAATCTTTCTTCCCCCTTTCTTTTTTTTTCCTTTTCTTTTTTTCTATTTTATTGCACTGTCATCGCCCCCCTTTTTAGATGTCTCGAATAATCCAGGTATATGATGAAGAGAAACAGAGTAATGTGCAGGTAAGCTGTTCGTAACACACACCCATGAAGGGATGGGTCTGCTGCGTTGGCGTCCAAGCCACATGTAGTTTTAACCCCCTTGCTCTAATTCTCTCCTCTCCGTCATCTCTCACTCTTTTCGATCTCTCCGTCCCTATACCCTCCCCCCCCCACCCCACCCCTTCTTTTCCTTCTCCTCCCTTTCTTCTCCCTCATGCAGGCGGACTCGGAGGTAGCCGAGGCAGGCAAGGCCGTGAGTTTGTACTTCGAGGAGAAGCTGGCGGAGATCTACCCTGACCAGAGCTTTCCGGTGGAAGCGGAAAAACGGACTCGGGAAGAGGAAGAGGAGGAGGCCGAAGACGACTCGGACGACGACTTCGTGCAGCCGAAGCGGAAGAGGTTAAAAAACGATGAGAAAGTGTTGCACATAAAGTGAAGAGGAACCTGCAGGAAGGAGGGACTGCAAAAAGAGAGTGTTTTTGGTCTTCCTCACAATCTCCCTCTCGATGTATTATGGCTGGCTGGCTGACCGGTATTCAGATTCCGTGATTATTATTTCACCCTGCTTCGTCATGAAGGGTTGCTATAAATAAGCAAGAATTTTAAAATATGAACCATGAGTCTTGAACTATGAACTTTTCCCTTTTCCCTCTTGGGAGGTAGTCGTCTGAGGATTTTGAGGATTTTGTCTCTGGTCTTTGTCTCATCGGGTGGTACTGACAAGGAAATTAAAAAAAGAACTTGTATTTAAAATGCAGTTTGGTTGGACTGGTTAAGAAACAGCTGGTGGTTTCTTTTCTAAAAATGATCATTTATGACCATGTTTGTAAATCTATTGTGAACTATGCTTTATAAAAGAACTCAAACTCCCGTATGATCTTGTCTTTATGTATGATGAACAAGTATGGCTTACCTGCTCCTGTAATATGTGCATTTGTTTTCCGTTGCAGTTTGCGCTCTCCTGTAAATAACCGACGGCTTTGAGCGGTGAAAATGGACTAAGTCGTCATATTTTTTTTTTCTTCTCCCCCAATAAAGCGGTCACCCCTGTATTTTCTCAAATAGTGTTAATCTCAAACTGTCCTCTCGGATGTATATAAAATGCTTGTATATATAGTTATGAAGTATGTACAAGTTTTGCTACGAAACCAAACAAGATTAAAGCTCTTCGGTGGGGTGCCAGTATCAGTTATCTGTGTATGTATTGACAGGGTGAGATGTGTGCATGTCATGGAGGGAAGACTGAGAGCTGTTCTCTCCATGGTATTCAAATCTGTTATATTACTGTCAGTTTTGCGGCTAAATATGCTGCTACTTGATTGTTCTTCCAGTGACCTCCAGTCTTGGCCAGAGGTGGGTACTACTTCCGTTTACTCAGTTCCTTGTTATGTAGTTTTGATGGATTTTTAATTTTGAGTATTTAAAGTATTTTAAATAATACTTTTATGTCTAGTCTAATACACTACTGTGCAAAAGTCAGAGACCACCCTTCATTTACATAATGGCTGCTTTGACCGGAAATTGTGATAAAAAAAAATCAGCGTCGGGAAGAAAAAAAAGGAGGAAACATTCCTAAAAATTACAAAGAAGCCTCAACTTGTAACTATATATATATTTTCCATTATTTAGTATGTCCACTGTTTGTTATTCCAGCTTCTGTTCTTTTTGGGAGTTTTTTTTTCCTGTAGTTTTTCAAAGAAATCTGCAGGGATCTGTATTTTCTACTCATGATCCAAATAATCCCAAACACATACACTAATGTTGAGATCTGGGCTCTGGGGTGGTCAGTCCGTTGTTCTGCGGACAGCAGCTTCTTTGTTTGATTTGCAAATGTTTTTTTTTTTTTCCTCAGTAAGGTCTTCTTGACAACTGCACATCCTTTCAGACCCATAGAGTCATCTTCTCACAGTGGAAGGATGGACAGAAACACCTCTGGCTTTTAAAGATCTGAAGCAGCTTGATTTTCTCCTCTCTCTCAAAGATGAAAGCTGAAAGTACTGTTTAGTTGATGGGGACAGTTTTACTTCCCTACCAGTTCTTGCACGGTTGTTAGGAGTCTGTTGTTCTCTGAATCTCTCTTCTTTTAATGACTCCTGTTTTTTCACGTATTGTCCTTTAATTTTCCCTTTTTTATTATCCAAGTGTATTATCTTCTATCTAGTCTCTTCTGAAAATGAATGTGTACATAATGACTGTTGTTAATGGATATTAAATGAAGGGTGGTCTCTAACATTGGCACAGAACTGTTTATTTGTGAAGAATGGAATCAGCAATTCACTCAGTTCCAGTTAAGTCCTTCACATTTAGTTAATAATACCTTTTCTGTGTTTATCCTCATTGTCCTCAGTGTTTTGCTGTTACTGATACATCCTGTGATTAAGTTGTGGTGTTTTAGTTCAAACCGAAAGGAGCCCAACAAGAGAATAATAAACTCAGAAACTTCAGTTTCTATGCTAACAGGTGGGTTCACTCACATTTGCGTGGTTTTATGTACCAAAAAAGTGCCATAATTCAGTTTTAACGCAGCCATTTTCCAGCCTCTCTGCCTTAAACAGTGTGTGTGTGTATATGTATATATATATATATATATATATATATATATATATATATATATATATATATAATCCTGTTTAATGTGTATATATATATATATATATAATCCTGTTTAATGTGTATATATATGTGTGTGTGTGTGTATGTATGTATGTATGTATGTATGTATGTAAGTAATGAGCTCTGTTCTGATGGGCTGTCCTGTGTTACGTCATTCGAACGACGCTCAATATAACGTCAGCGTGTGTGGGCGGGGCTAAACCGCTCCGGGCTGAGTAGGTGGATAAGTGTAAATGTTTTTTTGTGGCGTCAAAAAACAAAACAAAGCAAAACAAATGTTCAAAACTGGTTTTTGAGGCTTATTTTACACAAATAATCCGGGGAGTGAATGTTAAATTTTGAAAAGTGTTTACGTAGTTAAAATCAGTCAAACTCGTTCAACTCCTTTGAGGAGTCTAGACTAGCTCATTCGTTGACCTCATGCCTTCTTCTCGTCCTCTTTTCCTGTGGTTTAGTTTTCCTTCTCTTTGCTGTCTCCATTATGCTGAATAGACAGATGTGCAGGTCAGGTGAGAGCAGATCAGCTGATGTCTGTGTCAGCGGCTGAAGGAGACTTAAACTTGCCCAAGCAGTGCTCTGTGAAGTCGGTGGCTAAACTTAAAGCATTTTTATCGTTTGTTGGCAGAGCTTTGGGGACGAGCACGGCGGGCGGTCAGGCTTGCTGACTCTTAGATAAGTCATTGGAAAGACTCTTATATTAAAAAATAATAAAAAATAAAATCCCAGACGAAGCGGAAGTCGGGTCAGGCTTGCTGACTCTTAGGTAAGTCCTTAGTAAGACTCTTATTATATTATATTATTTTTATTATAAAAAATAAGAAGAAAATAATAATTAAAAATAAAATCCCAGACGAAGCGGAAGTCAGCGTCTTATTCCACCTTAAATGGGTCAGTAGTAGTTGCAGCAGTGGGAGCCAGAATGGTACTGCTGCACCATTTAAGGTGGAACGGAAAATTCGTACAAAGAGCTGTATTTAATCTCGTATTAATCTTTTGCCGTACTTTGTAACCTGGCTCCACAGAAGCATGGATTTAGTGGAGGCCACACTGGGGGGTTTCTGTGAAGAGGTTTAATACCCAACACTAGCTACTCTCTTTTCAGGAAAAGTAGCGCGAAGTATTGATATGTGATAAAGAAGTGTGAAAAGACGGTGGCTCGTTTGCTGAAAGAGGCCGACCCCTGTGCTCTAAATTGAGATTATATAATGAATAATGTGGTTTAACAGTGTGAATCATGTTCTCCTCTGTCTAACCTGTTCAAAGTGAAACTGAAAAGCGTTTGCTGAGCTGGCTAGTTTTACTATCAAGTCTTCACCTGTAGTCGTTCATTTCCACAAAAATGTGTTTAAAACTGATACTAAAATTAATAACAGTTAAATATGTTTTTGCAATATAAACGGTCTTCACTTACTGTTTCAACAGACCGTGGTTCTTCCTTCGTGCTGATGACGTACCCCTGACGCCGGCACCAACTGTCCAATCAGAGCTCGCGCAGCGTCCTGTCGCTACAGCCTTGTTTTGAGCAGTTGTTTCTCGTTTGCTGCTGGAACCGGGACGTCGAGGCTGGTCGGTAAGCGGTTTCTATTTCTGCTTAAAATTTACGGTTTTATGACATCCCAGCAGTATGAGTTTTGTTTTAGAGTCTTTCTAGACCGCACACATCTGAACATCAGGGTAAAATCCTTTCAAACTGTGAGTCTTTGGCCTTTTTCCTTCGTTTACCAGCAACATCGCCGTTTGGCCCACGATCGTTTACGTTAATGTAACTGTACCTGGTGCTTCTGCTTGTTAGACTGTCGGCTGAATTATGTGATTGAAGAGGAATTTCACAATTTTTAAAAAACAAATTCTGAATAATTCAGTCCCTGAGATGTTAACAGAGTCTTTCAGAGTGGTTTGACGTGAAATGGCTCAGCGTTCAGAAATCACCGACTCAGATTCCTTTACAGTGGTGCTGATAGGAACCAGGGGTCACCATGTCTACAACACAAATATAGCCATTTTATTTACTGTCCAAAACCACCAGCCAACCTACTCATCCTCTGGGTTTTTATATGTAATGTTGATGTTGGTAAAACAGTGGAAAATCTGAAAAATAAATTTTCTTTGGGGACTGTTTTGCCTTAGAACACCCTGCATGTAAAATAAATGGATTAAAATACATTTTAAGCCAAAACTTTATCACAAAACTATTGAAAAAACAATGTCTCAGGCATCAGGCAGCGTATATCTAGCCACTTAATGTAATAATAGCTTTCTGTGAGGGAGCTTTTAGTGGTGGACATCTGGTTCCTATCACAACCACTGTGAACAGTTCTGACTTCAAGTTTCTGTAGAACAGAGCTTTTCACACCAAACCACTCTGAATGACTTTATTTACGTTTTAACCGTTTAAGTAGAATTTCTGAACATTTTTGAGTCCACGTCTTTTTTGTATCTTACCGAGTCTAAACCAGCTCAAATGCTTGTCACTTTTCCAGTTATGTCGGTTGGGGCTTTTTCTCCTGGTGGATTTCAGTCTGATGGAGATGGAAACTTCAGCATCATCTGCCCTAATGGCACGGCGTGGGTTTGGTACGGACTCCAGGAGTGTGCCCAGGATGCCAGAGACATGGCCAGTGTTATCCTGGGCCTGCTGTCTATAGTCTGCTTCATGGTATCCACTTTCCCGTAAGTACTGCCACCTTGAAGAAATGGGTCAAAATCAAGTTCACACAGTTCCCCTTTTCTCAAACATAATCGCTTGACCAAAAAATGTTTACTTATAAAAAAAATATATATTTTTTATTATATATTTATATATTATATATATTATATTATATGTCATAGTCAATTTTTTCCTACATTTTTTCCTCTCAGTTTTTAGAGTCATTTATAATTAGTTTAGTGATTTTGTTTGAAGTATGTGCTTCTAAAGTAAGATATGATTCAAAATACCACCCAGTAAGTAGGTCATTGTCTTTGCTATCATAAACATCAACTTTGATCAGACCTCACTTTGGAGCAACATTACATGGAAACGTTTGTTTTTCCATCAGTGCCTTTACACAGATTTTAGTGTGTTTTTGTTAAACAAAGTCTTCTAAAGTAAGATACTGTTGACATTTTCCATGGGCTTCTATGGGAAGCCTGTGGAAGGTGTCAACCTTGGCATGGGGGTGGGTTCTCTCTGCACACTGCAGTAAATGCTGTGAGTAGAGAGGCATTTCTGTTTATCACCTCTTTACTGTTTTGTCCCTCTCCATTGGAGAAACACAGGACACTGAAGCTATACAGAAAGAATACTAGAGAATGGGTAGTAATTTTATGCTTAAAAATGAATGAATATATTAAAATGTTCCACTTGACGCTTGTGATGTTTTTATGCTTATGTTGTGTAAGACGATTTAGAAACTGTATACAGTTTTACACAGTGTGGGCGCTTATGGTAAATCTTACATTAGAAGCATGCCTTTTCCCATATACACCAATAAAAAACACAAAAAATCATTTAATAATACTCTGTAAACTTGGAATAAAAGGAACATTTTGAGGGAGAAGTTTTGGTAAACAATACGAACTAAGCGGTATTTTTCTTATGGCGTAAACTTTTTTCCAGAGTTTTTTTTAGAAGGTATATGACTGTGAAGTGCTAAGAAAGTTGTCCATTCCTTTGTTTCTAGACAATACTACAAATCCTGTAGGACAGGGAACATGGACAGTGCTTTATCTATTTGGTTTCTGTTGCTGTGGCTAGCGGGGGACTCGTGTAACCTTATTGGCTCTTTCTTGGCCGACCAGCTTCCTCTTCAGGTAAGGAACAAAACGAATGGTTAATAAAGGGGAATTCGACAGTTCTTGTTCTTGTTCGGATTTCTTTACAGTGGTGGTTATAAGAACCATGAGTTGCAATGTCAACACAATGCAAATATAACTGTTTTATTTACTATTCAAAATGACCAGTGAATCTGCATGTGTTTGTACATGTATTGTTGATGAAATAGTGATAAATCTGAAAACTTAAGTTGTTTGTAACCATTTCTTGTTAACTTTCTGTGAGGGCTCGTTTATAGAGGCATTAATTGCTTCACACATTTGGTTCCTATCACCACCACTGTGAGCAGTTTTTTTTTAGAATGGATCTTTTCACAACAAACCACCCCGAATGACTCTTTACATCATAGTGATTTAATTATGCAGAAAAATTGTAAAAAAAAATTGCATTTAATGGCTTCATATAGGGATTCATGACCTTAAACAGGGATTAATGGCTGTGAGTAATGATTAATGGCCCTGAATAATGATCAATGGCTTTGAGAGTTGAGTTTGAGAAGCAGCTCAATTGTGAGAGAATCTCAAGGAAAACATTATTTCTAACTTGTTTTAATTGATCAGTCAGCACTCCGACTGTTTTCCTTATTGGTATGTTTTTCTTGTCTGTTTGATTTTGCTTGTCTCTCTCATTATCTCTCTTACAGACATACACTGCAGTCTACTATGTCTTTGCTGACCTCGTAATGCTGAGCATGTATTCCTACTACAAGCTGAGGAATAAAATGACAAACCGTGAATTAATAGGTAATTTTAGATTAGCTTTAATTTAAATTTGCCAAAATACAGTAATGTTTGCAATTGCTATGCCTGTTTGTTTTGAAAGTGACAGGACAGGGTGAGCTAAATCCCTCAGTAGAGACTGTCTACTGCTTCTCCCTGACTCTGTATACTGTGGTTCTTTCATCATGTAACTCTCAGTGCGGTGTTGAAGCCACAGGTCACTAATTACTGCACACAGTGGGTGATTATATGAATGTTGGTCCTCTTGAGGGCCCCAAGTCACGCAGTTCATCACCATTCTAGGAGATCAGAAGTGCTGAGCTGTTTTGTCTTCCTGCCTTCATCATTATTCAGCGTCAGTGTTAGGCGCTCTAGGAATGCGCTGATGACAAACTCTGAGCAGCGCTCCTCTGCTTCGGTCTGTAGGTGGAGGCAGAGCGGTGCTGAATGCTGTCGGGGTGCTTTGTCTGCTCGGAGTGTCTGCCTCCTTGATACGACTTCCAGTCTCGTATGAGCAATCGAGGATGGTCTCTGGCTTCAGAGGCCGATCTCTGCTGGCTGTGGATGAACAAATCGGTTCGATACAGGTAAACAGAGGCAGCTGTGTTTCCCTATTCCTTTAAAGCGATCGATCACATTCACTGAACTCTCAATTTGCCAAAGTCTCAAATATCAGTTTAGGGTTTCTGTAATTATCTTGTTAATTATACTGTTGCAAATGCTTTGTGATCATGGTCCAGTGGTTCCCTGACCAGGTTTACTCCTGCCCTGCAGATTCCATTATTTTCTATGCTCTGAAATGCTGAACTTCAACTTAATTAACTTAACTTCAACATTAATTAAGTAATTTTTATATAATTACAGGGCTTGACTTAACAATTAACAATTGTCTGCGACAAATGGAAGTGTTGGTCGGTCTGTCTGTCTGTCTGTCTGTCTGTCTGTCTGTCTCTGTCTTTCTTTTTCCTTCTGTCACTCTCTCTTTTCCTTCCCTCTCTCTGTCTCTGTGTCTCTCTTTATGTGTCTCTCTCTTAGTTCAGTTCTAATTGTAATTTTTATACATCTATGCAAAACTGTCATTTACAGTCACTATTGACCTTTTTTTAAAGTAGACAAGGGATTTTGGCCTTCAGAAAAATACAAGTCCTTGAAAATGCTTAATGTCTAGCCTTGTATTATTTACTGTTTATTATTATTATTATTATTATTATTATCATCATCTCAGGTGGAGGAACTTGGATAACTGAAACTAGGCATAAAGAATGTTAGCTGTTAATCTAATGGGCAGTGACGATACTTGTTCATTATTTACACAATAACTTGATGCTGTGATGATGTCTGTTTTTTATGCTTATGGTTGTTTTGAATTCAAAACCAAACGTCCTGTGGAAGCTTATGGGAGGTCATACTTGTGCTATTTATTACTGTAGCAATACACAAAACTGAATTTATTTTAAAAGATACTGAAAACTAGTAATAACAAGGAAACATTTAAGGAGAAAACACTGGACTATTCCTTTAACATTCCTCCAGTGTTGATCACTGTAGATTTTTATTATGGTAGGGAGAACATGCTGAGTGGTATTTTATTTGTGATAATAATAATAATAAAATAATAATAATAATAATAATAATAATAGGTTCATAAACATTTCAGACACATGCCTGCTGATGGGTCATGTTTTACTATGAACAGGGATTCTGAATTTGAAATTGTCTTCATTTCTGGTCTGGGCTTAATGTATATCTGATAAACTGGTCCTTATTGTTCTGTTCAGGCTTTTACCACAAAGGAGATCATTGGCTTTACAATCGGCTCAGCCTCCTCAATGCTCTACCTGTGCTCCAGGCTGCCACAGATGTACACAAATGTAAGTCACTAGTTTCTAAAAAAAAAAAAATAGGAAGAATTTAATATTCTTTTCTTTGCAGTGATTTAATTTTTTTTATTATTCCCCCTTTTGCCTCACTGTATATCTGACATTAAAGAGGGAAAATGCAGGGCTCCCACGTGGTGCAATTGTGCATGCATTGGCTTTCTGTGAGTTTAATCCCCAGTGATGCCCCAGCTATTAATTGTCGAGAGAGTATAACTGTCCTCTCTCTTGCTCTCTCTGGATGGGTAGGATGGTCATCACTCTCCCTCCAAAACTCAGTGTGATGCTAGTTGAATCGGGTGTCTTTTAGCTGACATAACAGAATTGTTATTCATTGTCGACTACAAGCGTGTTGGGCTGTATTGGTAGTTCAAAAAGATGCATTGGTGCTTCACATGTCTAGGAAAAGGCATGTGTTAGCCTTCATCCTTCCAGCTTGGTAGCATTGTGTGATGGGAGGAGACCTAGATGGTGGGAACAGTTGGCTAAAGACTAAAGAAAATTGGGTACAAATCTGAAAAAGAGGGCAAATGCTACATATGCTTAGTCTGAAATATTTTGCTTGGCCAGGTGTTTTTTCTTCTCTCTCCCTCACTTTGTTGTGTTTTGTCGCTGTCTGCAGTTTCGTCGGAAATCAACAGAAGGTGTATCATACTTCCTGTTTGCTCTGGTCATTCTGGGTAACATCACATACGGGCTAAGTGTTCTGCTGAAGAACCCAGACCGCGGCCAGGGCGAGGGCAGCTACATCGTACACCACCTGCCCTGGCTCATCGGTAGCCTGGGGACGCTCACCCTCGACCTCATGGTATCCTTTTACTCACAAAAACAAATATTGTGCTTAATAGTAAATGGAGATTTTTGGTATTGACAGCTATGTAATCTCTGGAAGCATTTTGGCTGATCTGAAGCTGCTGGTTCACTTTGAATTTACATTCAAAACAGATTAGCCTGGTGTTTACAGTACACAAACAAGACTGCAGTCTAATAAATACTGTGTATGGAGTGACTGGGCAGCTGAAAGCTCTGTAGCTCTACAGCAGTGGCTCTCAAACTGGTCCTCAGGGACCGTCAGACGGTCCACATTTTTGCTCAGTCCCAATCCCCTCCAAATGTACAGGCCCATATGCTGGTGCATGCCCTGCATACAAAGACACTAGGAGAGAACTTGAATGGGTTAAGATGGAGCATTTGAGCAAAATCATAGTTTATAAATGCTTAAACGTTTTTTAATGTAAAAGAATACAATCATTTCCTGAGCACTGAATAGCATCAATTATTTTAATACTGCAGTTATATTTTTGAGCGCTTTTGAACTCTAGTTATAGGAGTTTAAATCAGCACCTCATGTACGTCCATGATGTCTGTGAGCGTGAACAGCCAAAAAGCTGCTCCGCTCACCAACCAGTCAGCACTCAGTAGCAGTAATGTTAGCGTCCTGCTGCCCAAAACCTGTTTGCTGTAGAAAAAATTAAACATACAGGTAAGTTTTCTTTGCTTTTTTAGTGAAATACATCCTTCTGCTTTCTAAAATGAAAGGAAAGTTCTGGGTGAGTGATTAGAAACTTTTTTAACTTTTAACTATTTTAACTTTTCATTGTTAGCTGTTTACTCCTATTTATTGAGGACTCCCTCGCGGGCACTCTTTGGTGTTTTGCAGTCATGTTTTTGATATAACAAGGGAAATAGGAAGTGGCCAGGCTCCTCATAAACCGGCTCTGATGTTATGCCACTGATAACGCCCCAATAAGAATATCCAATAAAGTTAAATGAATTGTTTAATGGAACATATAAACATGGCTTATGATGAATGGAAGGTAGTAGCCTCTGATTAGCATGTCACTGGCATAATGCTAATTGGTTACTGTATGATTTCATTCACTGTTTGCAACATTAGCATTTTTGACAGAACTATTCCTTTAACAATATATTCTTTCTCACCAGTGCATATATTAAAAGTATCTATGATTCATTAGTGCACTTGCCTCTTGTGTACCCTTACTTAACACTAGAAATTCCTGGTTGTGAACACAGAGTGTGCATTAATTCCAGACTTACGCAATCAGAATTAAAACGGATTTTTTTTTTTGCTTAAATGAGCTCTGACCACCTTGGGCTGCCAGTAATTAGTTATTTTGCTGTTGGAGTGGTTGAAATGATGTAGGTGAGTATTGATGTGAATCAACCTTGCCTTACTGAATCCTTTGTTAAAGAGAGACTGAAATTACTCTGAGATTTGAGATTACTCTGTTCCAGCCATCATTATTTCCCCTGACGCCCTTCTCCTCAGATATCTGTGCAGTTTATGATTTACCGCAGGGCTCCGCTGGACAACTGTAATAGAGCAGAAGAGTCTGCTCCTCTTCTGTACAACTGAACCTACGTCCTCTACACCAGTCGTGTTGAGGCATCGAGGCACTCAGGACGCTCTGCTGTGACATTCCCCCTTGATTCGAGCATGAGTGACTGTCCAGAGCGGATTACTTTCTCCTTTTCCTTTTATGTTTTTTTTATTTTTTCACTTTCCACTTTTATTTATAGTAGTTTTATATTTGTGGCGTTTTTGTACCAGATATAGTCTTGGATTGTAGGCTATCGTGTAATTATGGGATATGTTGGCCATGCACAAAATGTTTTTTTTATAATTCAGAACCAAAGGGACTCCTCTTAAACACAAACCCTTTTTGTAGTACTTGTATTGGTTTTGTTCCATTTGTGAACGATATTAACGATGGTGCAATATGTTTCTGTCTGTAGAAAAATGGTGCCTTTACATGGACACTAATTGTCATGTACGATGTTAAAGATCACACAAAATCTTGCTTACATGGTTTACTTTATATTTTGACTTTTATGAATATACTGTGCATTTTAAATGCCTATTTTTAATCACTTGAATTTTTTTGGTAACATCTCTAGGACTTTTTTTTCAGAATCTTTCAAATTTGTTTTATTTTTCTTATTTTGTTTTAGTTTATATGAATTAATTTTGCTGCTCAGTGAAGGCTGCACTGTTTAGTGAATGAAAGTTGTTTGTCAGCCACACATTCTGGGATTTGTTCCTGTCTTAAAAAAAAAGAAGAAAGGAAAAAAAAAAAATACTTAATGAAGACTGATGTGGTCTTTCTGCCAGAGCTCTCTAGTCGCTCAAAACAAATGTCAATTTCACTTGTTTCGTACAAAAGTTTCCTCCGACCACACAATCCGATTAGTTGAAAAGAGTTCTGTTTTTTCAAGCAATCAGACAACCAATACTATGACACTTATTGCTAAGTTAACATCAAGGGTCACTTCACTCCAATGCTGGCCTGTTAAATTTCAGAAAATCTGCAGTTGACTCAGATTCATGTGATGGGAGTCAGTAGCGCTGGTTACACACAATAATTTTCTCAGTTCTCAATTCCAAAAAACAAGACAAAGGCTTCTTTCACACATGCACTTTAATGTAGAAATTTCATGGTAATTAAAAGGGAAAGTGAGAACACGTACTGAAGTCGAAATGCCAGTAAGACTGACAAGGCTGATTACCTGCACACGACTTATTACAATTGCTGCGAAACTGCCAGGAGGGCATATATATGACCACAAGCTGTTGTGTTACCAGGAAAACATTGACTTGTTGGTTAAAGGTGCAGTGTGTAAGATTTAGTGGCATCTAGTAGTGAGGGTTGCAGATCGCAGCCAACTGAGCACCTTCCTGTAATGGAACCGATGGGGTCTGTCAAGTGCCGTTAGTTGTTGGCTGACTTATTAACGTTACACTTTTATCGGCAACAGCTTTCATCAGCTGTAGGCTGATCTCCATAATGTCACCAGCTTTGGTGACTATTTATTTTGAGTGGTCTTTTTGGTAACACTTTACTATAGGGCAAAGTCCATAAGGCTACATGACCCCTACATAAGCTTGTCATATCAACTGACAGAGCCCTACATAAATGTTTATGTATACTTACTCCAATAGGCGTCATTCGTTATAAAGGTTACATTAGCCAGTTTTGATCAACGTTAGCTAAAGTAGCGTTTATGACAGATGACACCTATTGTAGTAAGCATTTATAAACATTTATGTAAGGTTATGTCAGCTGTCAAGACAAGCTTATGTAGGAGTCATGTAGCCTTATGAACAGCACCCTAAAGTAAAGTGTTACTGTCCTCTTTAGGTGAAACAAACACCCAGTGGACCCTCAGTAACATATCAAAAACATATGAGGGTTAGGATTAGGTTTTGGGTTGAGGTTAGTGTTAGGTTTAGGATTAGGTTTTGGGTAAAGTTGTGTAAGGTTAGGTTTTGCGCTATGGAAGTAACATATTAACAACACATCTACTTAACGTAAATAATGTATCAACAGAACATCTACAAGATATTTACTTCAGTGTGTTCAGATGCTTCACTACTGGTACTTCACTGATATGTTGTTGATGTGTTACGGATAATCGTCATTTTTTAGTTTCCAGAGTGAAACTTCAGAGTGTATTTTGTAAATGATTGTAGGGGCCAATCTGCCTCATGAACCTGCGTACTGTATAAAAGCAATGCAGTATTAGCAGCAAAGTAGAACATTTCTGTGGGAGTTTTACCATAAATGTACAATCATATCCATTGTAAGCCACGTTTTATTATACATTTCACATTTAACTTTACTCTTCATTTGTCTTTCTCCAAAGTACAATACAGCCAATCTAGTGCTGTATGTGTTGTGGAAGAATGCATTTTTCAAACAGGCTGTGAAGACAGTAACAGCAGAATATATCACACTGTGGATGTGAGCAAATTTCTATGTGGAATTGAGTCTAAAGATTTGGAGTACATGGAATCAGAGAATCAACTCTTTTTGAGGCCTAGAAATTGAAGCTATTCTGACCTTCTTTGCTTTACTCCTTCCTCTACTTTCCAAAACTGCAATGTCAAAACTTTTTTACGACGGCCAGTTCTTGACTGACCAACCCGTGCTTTGACCACAAGAGTTCTTTCATAACAACCATTGCAGAATTGAGTTGTGTGAACTCCAATCAGTATATACTGAGAAATTGTAGCACAACTCAGAGTCAGAGTACGAATAATGCTGCACTCGCACCACAAACAAGCTAACACTCCGGCACACTGAACTCACCTCGCGTGATAGTAAGATACTATTAAAGTTCATCACTATAATACCAAAACCTGCTGCCCAAACTGTTGGCTACTACTGCTAAAGCCATTAACCACCACATTTGGAGAAGTCCGTGGAGGAGGAACTGTGTGGAGTATGAATTCGATAGATTGCATCATCTTACCTGTTGCTCCTTTAGGCTCCTCATCTGTTTTTCTTTTCCCTTTTTACAGCACTGGATGTTTTTTTCTAAACATGATTAGCCAGTTGTGTTTTCCCAGAGCACTTGTAGAGAGGAGAATTACCACTCTGTAATGTCTAGCGGGTTTCTCTAACGCTAGAGGGTGCTCCCGAGTGAGTCCAAAATGAATAGGTTAAGATGGAGCATTTCAGCAAAATCATAGTTTATAAATGCTTAAACATATTTTTGAGCGCTTTTGAACTTTAATCATAGGAGTTTAAATCAGCACCTTCGTAACATCAGTGAGTGCAAACAGCCATTGAGCTGCTCTGCTCGCCAACCAATCGGCACCCAGTAGCAGTAATGCGAGCATCCTGCTGCCCAAAACCTGTTTGAAGAAACACAGTTTTCTTTGTTTTTTTAGTGAAATACATCATTTTACTTTCTAAAATTAAAGGAAAGGTCTGTGTAAGTGATTAGAAACTATTATAACTTTTCGTTTTTAGCCGTTTGACTCCATTCACCCTCGTTCATTGAGGACTCGCTCGTGGGGACCCTCTGGCGTGTTGCAGTCCTGGTTTTGATATAACGAGGTAAATAGGAAGAGGCCAGGCTCCTCATAAGCTGGCTCTGGTTTTCCCCTTCGCTTAAGAATCTTCGACAACATAATGGTACAGAAATAACCCAGAAGTTGTTAAGGGGCCCCCTGGAGGCCACAAAGCCCTAAGCAACTGCTTCTGCTGCTCATTAGGTAGAGGCAGCACTGATTTTTGTTTATCACAGGGCACGATAGCAGAGAATTTCTAAAATGCCATTCATTTTTCTCAGAGAGAAATCAGCTTAGACCTTGAGTTCTTTATATGGGCGTGATGCGGCCTGCAGAACGATGATACGATTTCAGAGCTCTATTCACTTAGGTGTGAATTCATTACTGAGCCTTCACGTGTAGTGAACTTCACCCTGGGCTCACTCCATTTTTGACCGCTGTGGGTTTTTCCGCAGAAGTCTCTTCCCTGCTCCCCCATGGTTCCTGTCATGGTCGCCTGCCTGTCTGTTGTTCCTGGAAAACACGCTTGTGTTGTTTTTCCTCATTAGCAGCGTCCCTGTCATTAGTGTCCCGTGAGTTAGGAGAGTGGGGTGGAATTTGTGACCCTGAGAATGTCCCCCTTGCTCTTTAGCTAGAGCCCACCCAAGGAGGAAGAGGGTCAGGACAGACTGAATTCTGCAGTGACAGTGAGCGAGTGGGGGAGTGTGTCACGGTGATTGTGAAACCCAGGATGGAGCGAGCGAGGCCGCAGGAAGAGTGGAGAGATAGTGACCGCTCATCCATCAGAGGCTTAACGGGCGCTGTTTATAAATACTGCTCTGCTGGGAATGTCCTAATGAGTCCCACTCATTCACACGCTGCAGCTCTCTCTTTCACTTTCTCAAGCAAAATGAAGGCATGTATCTAATCTGCACTCATCCTGATAGGGACATTACGCATTCTCTCACTTTCTATTCCTCTTTCTTACATACAACTGCTTTAGTTTTGTACTGGAGCTACAAGGCTAATATAATAGAAGTCTATGACTGCCAAAATGATTTTGGGTGAGATAGACTTGTGTTGCTTGTTAACATTAGCCTCGCAGCTCTAGTTCAGCACTAAAGAAGACTTTTGATGCCAATCATGTCTTGGCTGATAGACTACATTCAGGGTAGGAAGCAAAATTGAACAAATTAAATTTGTCTTTTGAATTAAAGGTTCTAAATGGTTCTTGGTTTCGACATAAAATTTGAGGAAATAAATTGAATTTGTATAGAACCTTTAGATTATTTAGAGGTTCTTTAGCCAAAAGGGGATCCTATAGAGATGCTTTACTTTTCATTTTTCCGTGTCTATGCATTTAAGGGGCCTTCTTTATAACGTGACTATGGTGAATGTTTAATACAGATTTGAGTAGAGATCTTAATCTTAAGTAATGTGTTTTTTTCTGCATCACTTTATTTGAAGCTTGAAGCAAATTTGTCTTACAATATGAATTTTAAGTTGAAGTTGTATTCAAAAGCCTGGCCAAATTACAAATTTGTTTTTCTAAGAGAAAATAAGTTAACACATTATTTACTTATATATGACATTCGTCTGCTCATTTTAATGCACAATTTATGTTTATTTGCTGAGTTTAACATATAGGAAAAAATAAAACATAAAATATAAAATGTGCCATAGCTTCATAACTTTTGCGTAGGCCACATTTTGTTTTATTTACCCCCCTGTATGTTAAATTTAGCAAGTAAGCAGTAATTGTGCATCAAAATGTGCAGAAGTGTGTTCTTCTAATTAGCCATTTTACCTACTTTAAAGTTCACATGTTTCTGGCACAGGCAGACACTCAGCTTGTATAATATCCATAGAAAAATATTGTCAATAGAATGAGATGCGCTTATGAGCTTAAGGTCACCATGCCCAATGCCAAGCATCAGCTAGAGGGGCATAAAGCCCCCCAGCATTAGGCCATGGAGCAGTAGAAATGTGTTCTCTGAAGTTATGGAGTTCCACCCAGTACACTTATGATGAGTCAGAATAAGGTTTATGATCTTTTTTTTCCTCCCCAATTTAGTCGTATCCAGTTCCACCCATTAGTTAGGAATCCAGCCACAGGCATCTTTTTCAACTGCCACTAGTGCAACATCATTGGACAGCTGAATGTCACCTGGAGAAGAACACTAATCATCAGCTAACAGACGCCTTCGCTGGCTAGCACAGTGATGGGGTGAGGTAGGGCCATTCTAGCATCACTGGGATCGAACTCAAGATCTCTGATAATAGGGCCAACGCTTATACGGTTGAGCCATTCGGGAGCCCAATACCTTTGAATTCTGAAGAAACTTTGGATGAGCAGGTCTCTAAAAACATTTGGACATATACTGTACTTTTAACATTAATATCAAGGTTCACTTTCTCAAAATCGTCCTTGTGATACACATTTTAAGTTGAAAGTAGTGTAAAATGTATGATTGTCGTCCATAATTAACCCACTTAGGACCAGATTAACTAACATTTTTACAAACTTGTTCAAATTTGTCTGTTGCAGCTCACTAAATAAATCTGCTCTTTAGGTTTCCGAATGCGCTCAGCTGGGAACTGAAATTCAGCTCATCCCAACCAGCTGAAAATGAGCAAGGGCTTCAACACAGACAGTCAAAACGATTACTTATTTTCTCACATTTCTGATATATTATGTTGAAACAAGGTCTTATTTTCTTAAAATAATTACTTATGTTTTAATAATCAAATTTTCTTGATAAGAAATACATTTTTTCAAATAGTTTTTTCACTTGTTCTGACTTACTCAAGCCAAAATCTTGACAAATAAGGCATTATTTCAATCTAATGTGTCGCAATTTAAACCTGAAACAGAAGGATTTTTGGCAGAAATGGGCTTTCATACAGAAAGCATGTGAGCCAAACGTGGTTATACTGTGCTGGTGTTATTGTTAATTATGAAGTTGTGCCTGTGTTCTTTTACATGGAACGTCTTAGTAGATTACCCACTAAACTGGCCACCCCAACTAGCACACAGTGTCAGTTAACTGTTGGCAGTTAGTTCATCTCTTAAATTTTATTTTTTGGCCTCTTTTCCAGACAGAGATTAAGCCTGATCTTAGACTAAAAAACGTTTTCCAGCAGTTAATCAAAATTTACAATTTACTGCAACACTAAGCCGAGTCCGGCTCTTAACGTTACGTGCATAAGACCACAGATGCATGTACTGGTATGTGTTTGAGTTGACGGTTTGTATTGGGGAGAAAGCACTGTTTGTTCTGTGTGTGTGTGTGTGTGTGTGTGTGTGTGTGTTTGGCGAGTGTTGGATGTCAGAGGCTGGACCGCTGTCAACGTTACAAATGTAAGAGGAGTCAAATCAAGAGGAAATTGGGAGAGCGTACACAGAGAACATCTGAGCTGGTGAGTACACAAAGATCTCTCCTGCTTTCATTCCCATAGAGACTCTTACACTGCTCTGAGTACAGGATAATGATCACATCCAATGTCTTAAATTGTCTTCTTATTTCTTATATATGTCATTTTTATGGTAAATTGAAGTTTACATGATACATTCATTAATATACATAGAGTATATTCTAATTACTGAGGTCGTGAAGTTGTGTAGGTCTTGCTCGAGTTTAAAAAACATACTTTTGAAGAAGGTTATCAGATCATATGTCCGGACATGTTTGTTGTATTGGACAAAAATAGGTCTATCTACTTTCAGGAGTTGATGACAAAGCGTTTGTCTCAGAACTGGACTATGGTCTTCATCTTAGAGGGGAATTCCGATGATTTCTGCATAGTTCAGTCGTTGAGATGTAAACAAAGTCATTCAGAACGGTCCAGTGTGAAACGGTTCAATGTAGAGAAACTTGCCGACGCAGATTTCTTTACAGTGGTGGTGATAGGAACCAGGTGTTGCAATGTCAAATACAGCCATGAGCAAATAGCCATTTTATTTACTATCCAAAATGACCAGTGAACCTACATGTCTTCTTTTAATATGTAATGTTGATAAAGCCCCCAGAAAATTTATTTTCTTTGGGCCTTATTTTGCTTTGCTGCCATGTACTTTGCTGACAAGAGTGTATTTAAAAAATATGTTCAAATTCAAAACCTTGTGTTCAGACTTTAATAAATTTGTAACCCGTTTCATATAATAACTTTCGTATGAGGGAGCTGTTAAAGGCACTGAACTGTCTAAGCCAAGAGCCAGTTAGGACTTTTATTTTAAAAGAATACTTCGCTGAAAAATCTATATACAATTTTGCTCCCTACCCCCATTGCAAGTCTCCCTAGAACAGAAAATTTCACATCAAACTATTCTGAATGACTTTGTTTACATCATAAGTTATCTAATTATGCAGAAATTTTGAAAAACTGGTGGAACTCCCCTTTTTCTTATATCTAACAATGGACCAGTAGTAACAGCTGGTCATCACTGCCTTCAGCAGTGTAACATCAAAAAGGTTTAAATTTGAATACAGTTTTCATTCCTATAACTTTCTGAACAGCAACTCAGACAGATATCTGGAGATTTTATGTGCTGATAATCAGGCCTTATGAAAATTAAACACATTTTTATATGTTGTCAGTATTCGCCATAATATAAATTGAAGTTTCATTACAAAATGCTTTATATCTATTTGTAAGAAGAAGTAAAATAATAAAAATATGAGGTGGTATTAATGACAATATAGCACTGATATTTCTTGTATGTGTGAAGCCCACCCTTTACAATGTCTATCATATTACTATTATGAATGTGGAGATATGATGTATAATTTCTTTAAATGCGTGTTTCAGTCTGGGTGTTCAGTCATATATTTTTGGTGGGCCATGGTGCAGGTACAGTTTGAAGGCCTCAAACTACAGATGTGTGAGATCAAAATGAATAGAGGTCACTAGTCGAGTGGAAGGTCAAGTCTGGGGTGGAGAAAAGATACAGAGAGTTTATGTTCAAACGAACCAGTTACTGTCAATTATCCGTTACTTCATTTTTCACTGCAGTGCCATTGTGTTGAACTGGGCAGACAGAAGTGATAGCTAGCTTTTCATTTACTCAGTTACATTTTCTTCATAACTTATTTAGTGAATAATCTCACCACTCATTACTTTAATTCTGTGTCACTCTCTAAAACCCATACGAATCTGTACCAGCCAGAAAGTGCAGGGGAAACCCAACAGCCTTTTCAGTAATTTATTTCGAAATAGCCCATCACAGTAAAAGGCCTGTGTTTCACTCTGAACACACAGCCAGATATGAATGGCTAATGCTAATTAAAAACTCAGAGACTAGCCAGTAGAAACTGTTCAAAAGCAGCTGCCTCAAGGAAATATCTTAGGAAAAAACTGTGAACTCTATCTGTTCCTGAATGAAAAATCAAGTCTGGTGTAGGTGCGTTCCAGGTTCTCTCTTCCTCAGCTCTGGGATTTTTATCCATCAGTTTCATATTAGCGCAGTTCGATGTTTCAACAGATTGTTCGTGTTAAAGTTATGGCGGTCTCAATCAGAGTAATGTAGGGAGCACCCAGGTGCGCAAACTTTTCAAATGCAAATGCAGTGGTTTACATCTCAACCACTGCGTAATTCAGTGGTTGAGATATAAACAAAGTCATTCAGAGTGGTTTGAAGTGAAATGGTTTATTGGAGAGAAATGACAGACTCAGATTTCTTCACAGTGGTGGTGATAGGAACCAGGGGTCACAATGAATCCAACACAAATATAGCCATTTCATTTACTATCCAAAACCACCAGTCAACCTGCACATGTCTCCTGATATTGTATGTGTAAAACTGTGGTAAATTTGAAAAAATATAGTTTTTTTTGGGGATTATTTTACCTTATGACACCCTGCATGTGTCTCTCAGCCTTGCGTGTGTTTTGAAATACAGAAAAGATTACTATCGTAAAGCAATGTCAGGCATCAGGCAGTGTATTTATAACCATTTCATATAATAACTCTGTGTGAGGGAGCTTTAGATGCATTAAACTTTTCAGATGTCTGGTTCCTATCACCACCACTGTGAATAATTCTGACTTGGTAAGTTTCTCTAAAATTGACTTTGTTCACATCCTTATGATTTAATTACGCATACATTTTGAAAAATTAGTGTAAGTCAGTCAGCAACTGTAATGTGGTCCGTAACATGTTATACTGCTTTGTTGCAGGAAAAAGTGATCACATTACTTTGTAGTGTGTTGTAAGTTTCTCTAGAACTGGAGTTTTTTTAGACCTTTATTTTGTTTTTTACATTTTTCTACGTGATTAATTCCATTCAACATTTGATTGAAGTAACAGTATTGTACTTTAGTGTGTGTTTAGGCTACTTTGGCTGTCTCTGAAGGCAGGTAAAAGGTTTTGTGATGTTGTCTTGTTCAGTAGTGACTTGCCCAAAACCCATTATCTCTCCATTCAAAGCGTTTCAACCCTGGACTTTACTCTCTCCCCCCACCATCTCTGCCTGCAAGGCCACTCTAATCTAAGAGTCTGCTTCCTGTTAGAATCCGTAAACACTGCACTGTCCGAGCCAGACTACTGGCAAACAATGCGTAAACCACCAAAAAAAGAAAATAGGAACGCAAAAGATTGGTGGATGGATTGGTAGATGGATGGACGAATCGACGGACAGCTAGGGCTGGATGGATGGGGTGAAGAAAAGGTTTGGGGGGTATCAAAGACTTTTTTTGTGTTCAGCGTGGTCCGACACAGTGTAGCCAAAACATTTCGGGAAGTTCTTGATGATGAATCTCTTTCCACTCTCTCTCCTCTAACACGACTCCTACTCCCAAAGGGCCTTGCAACATAAGACCCCCCACGACCCCCATCCGAGGAATAAGCAAGCTATACCGCAGATACATGATGCTATTTATGTCCTCCTGAAAACTCTGCATGAAAGAAAAATGAATGAACGTTTAAACCCTTTAACCCTCTTCACTCTCGCTGGGAGTTCAACAGTCCTGCTCTTTCTCACCCTGTCCACAGTGGAGCTGTGTGAGGCAGCCAGGCAAAGGTCCTGTTTTTATTCTTTCAGATTCTCGAGGAAATGACCCGCGGTCATTTTTTTGATGGATAACAATAGAAATAACAAAATAGTGATAACAATCCTTGCTCCCTCGGGATGCAGTAGCGCTAATAATATTTCTATCAAAACTGACCCCCACACAAATCAAGAATACCTCAGCCAGCTAGCTATTAGCATTAAATGCTAAGTGGTTTACAATCCTGGTCCTGGAGGGAAAAAATTAATGTGGCTTAATGTAAAACGCCACCGCGTTTTTCTCACATCTTACTGGCCATAAACACTGTCTGCCGCCAAAAGCATAACCCCATAATCTGACACAGGTGTGTCCAGCTGGGTTCTATCCAGGTCACGGCTCTGTGGAAGCTGGCTAACACTCTGACTTTAATTCACGTAGCCTTTTGCCAATGACTTGATGAGCCTGGCATGTGACCCTGAAGAAGGTAAAGGAAAAGTACTTTTTTCAAGTTAAACTCATTTTACTAAAGGAACACCAAATCTCTCAGTATTATGATTTCATCCTTTCGTCACGGAGACAAGTGTTTAGGACTAGTAAGATGTAAATGAAATTTGGTCATAGTTTTAGTACCTTAAGCCATTTTAAGCATGTTAAACCTTTTACATTGTCCCACTTTGGAGTATCTGTGCAAACACACTCTTGCTAGCTCAGGAAGAGCTTGTTAAAATTAAGCTTCTGTGAAAATGCACACAATTTAGCTTCACCATGTAGTTTAGAACACAGTATGACTTACTGCGGATTACAAAGACGATCAAAACTTCACTGTGTAGCTAAATGTCATGGAGTGTCTTAGAAAAATAGATGAAAAAAATCGAAAATGTATAAAAAGATACAGAGAAAAAACTCCTAACAACTGTGAAAGATCTGGTAGACCACCCCATCTGATTAACAGCACTTAAAGCTTTCATCTTTGAGAGAGAGGAGAAAATCAACCTCCACTTTTGCTTCAGATCTGAAAAAGTCCACAGGTGTTTCTGTCCATCCTTCCACTGTGAGACGACAACTCAGCGCTATGAGTCTGAAAGGATGTGTAGCTGTTAAGAAGCTCTTACTGAGAAAAGGAAACAGGAAAAAAGAAGAAAATTTGCACCAGAACAACAAAACTGGACATATTTTAGATGTGGAGTGAGGTTTTATTGCCTGATGAGTCTAAATTTGAAATGCAACCAACTTCTAAGAGTGAACTTTGGAGGTGTGGAAAAATGTCTTTCTTTGAAAAACTGAAAGAACGTCTCCCGAAAAGAACAGAAGCTGTAATAAAGGCATAGGGTGGACTCTAAATACTGAAAATTTGATAACATATTTAGTTGTAGAGGCTTCTGTGTAATTTTCTGTTAAATATATTTTTCCGTTTTTTTCCTGATGCTAAAAAAAAAACAGAGAACAGAGGAAGTTCTTCAATATGCAGGACAGTGGTATTCCTAGAATCGGGAAGCACCGCTGTAGTTTGGATGAACTGATTATTTGCTATGTGTCTTATGGCGTAACTCAGATCTGCACGGGATGGCCTGCCCCTCTCTGTGTTCAGCCGGGATGACTGTGAGTTAGAGCGGGATGAGTAAAGGGGGGGTCACGGCTCTTAAAATCCTAAATCTTCTCAGTGTCAAATATTAACTGCAACACAAACAGAGCTGTGGCAAACAGAGCGAGAGCAAACAGTGAGCGGAGCATCAGAGATGAGCTGCCTATCACTCTGTCCATCCCTCGGGACACTTACAGTGACCCACATACACTGCGTAGGAAGGTAGGATGGGCATGGGCAATGGAAGAAATACAGGAATTATATCAGTGTAGTGTTTTAGGGGGACCAGGCGGTGTCTTTGTTTGTGGTTGGTCTTTAATATTTTCTGTGGTTCCAATTCAAGCTTCCACATGTACCACTGTTTATTTTGCAGATGCTTTTTTCCAAAGCAGCTTACAGTACAGGGAAGATGGTGTGTGTGGTCCCTGGAAATCAAACCTATGGCACTGGTATTGCTAATGTCAAGCTCTACCAGTTGCTCCGATTCAGTCATTACTTATTAACTTAACTTAGAGTTATTACTTTTGTTTCATTGTAGTTAGTATTAGGGGCAGTCATGGCCTGGAGATTAGGGAACTAGCCTTGTTCAATCCCCTGAGCTGACAATACATAACTGAAGTGCCCTTGAGCAAAGCACCAAACCCCCAACTACTCCCTGGGCGCTGTGGATAGGGCTGTTCCAGGCAAGTGTGCTTTCTGCCCCCTAGGTGTGTGTGCACTCACTAGTGTATATGTGTTGCACATTTTGTGACATAGTAAGTTACGCAATTAATTACATTAACATTTAGTTTACATTCTGTATCAACTGCACTTTTTTCCATTTGTTTCAATGTCAAGAAAGGGGAAAACATGGGCTTCTAAACTGTTTTTGTGTTGGTGGCATGTGCAATCCCACGTGATGCCACAGCTATCCGTGGCCAGAAGTCCAAGATAGCATAACTGCCCTCCTTGCTGTCTCTGAGAGGGGCATAGCCCTCGCTTTCTTCCATCACTGTGCGATGCTAGCATATAAGAACTGGCAGGCAATGTTCTCATCCAAGCACCTTAAAGCATCTAGTGACTTACCACACTGAAAAAGAATGTTAGTATTTCAACAAAAAAAGGTAATGGCTTAAAATTTGATGCTGTCGCCTCACACCAAGAAGGGCCTGGGTTTGATTCCCTGGCTGGGTGACCAGGGTCCTTTCTGTGTGGAGTTTGCATATTCTCCCCGTGGCTGTGTGGGTTTCCTCCAGGTACTCTGGTTTCCTTCCACAGGCTTAAGACATGCCGTCAGGCCAACTGGACACACTAAATTGCTCCTAGGTGTGGGTGTGTGTGTTGTATATGTCTGTGTGTCTGCCCTGTGATGGACTGGCGACCTGTCCAGGGTGTTTCCTGCCTTCCACCCAGTGACCGCTGGGATAGGCTCCAGCTTCCCCCACGAGCCAGATGGATAAGCCATTTAGATAATGTGTGTGTGTGTGTGTGTTTGTGTGTGTGTGAACTGCTAATAGTAAGTTAACAGAACAAATATCTTTGTCTTAAGTTCTGTTGATTTACTATGTGATATATAATAAACTTAAGATCAGTGATGCTTCATGTCTCAGCATATGTTGGCCTTTACTGCTCTTTTCTAACTTGGAAGCCTCATGGTATGGGGGTAGACCTAGCTAGTACGTAGAACAGGCCATGAATAGTTTGGGGGTGAAGTGGATAGAACGAACAACATGGCAAAAGTGTAAACTATGCTTTATTTTTCCACTAAACAATAAAGTATGGACAACAATAACTTTTCATCAAATTTAAAAATCATGATAAAATATCTCCTCTTCTACTTACGAACATAAATATGGTATTGATTGAGATTGCCGAACTTTCCGAATGCACACTTTAAGCAGAATTTCTCCACTTCTTTCAGTGAGCTCTGAGTGAGGAACAGTTATTCTTTCTTTTGTGATCACCAGTGTTAAATTCAGCTTTTAGGGGTTGAGAACAAGCTAAGAGAAAGTGGAGTGATGTCATGGAGGAACCTGGGGAATACAGTACTAAAAGTACTTTCTGTGAGTTCTAATTCAGATTTGGCTCCCCACAGTGGGGCTGCTTCCTGTAGAACGTCAAACCTCCCTCTGTTCCAATGGTGACGCTCCTATAACTCCTAAGGCTAAACACTCAGGTGGGTCATAAAGGGCCTCCAGCTGTTGAACTCAACTGGGACCCCCCCTTTTCAGGCCAAACCTGTGGAGTCCAACAGGGACTTGCCTCTGTTTCAAGCTCCTCTCTCTGAAAGCTCTGCCAGAGCAGCTGTTGGGACACCCGGGTCTCATCTCCATGTTATTCTCACACTCCTTGTCCCATGTCTCCATGCACAGCCCGAGAGACCCACACTCTGACCCTCCTCAGACTTCACCATGTTCTGGGTTAACCATTAAAATCGCAGCTCTCTCTAAATATAGGTCCTTCAGCTCCAAGGCTGGAAGACCTGTTGTGGACTTGAGTCGGATGAATGAAATAGGTGGTGAAAATGTATGTGAGTGTAAAGAATTGAAATCAGAATCAGAAATTTGTTGTTTGTTGATGTTTTATGTGATCTTATGTGATACACAGATGTACTGGAATTTTTTCTTCATAATTGTATCTTACTCTGTGATAGACGTGGTTATCTCTCTGGCGTGCGTGTTTGACATCAGCTGTGCAGATGAGGGAGTGGGCGGACCCCGAGATGGGCATGGCCACCGGAGGCTACCTGTCTGGAGCAGACGCGTACGGCATTGCAGAACCTCTCCAGTATTACGGTGAGAATCTTCTTATTCTTCTTGTCAAACTGCTAAACTTCATACTAGTAAACCTGACACACTTCTACCCCTTTCATGCTATTGAATGTAAAACTGTTGACCTCTTTATACTGCTGAACGTTTCATAATGCTGACCTCTCCATACTGCTGAACGCCTCATAATGCTGAACCCTTCTTTCAGCTGAACTGTTCATAGTGTTGAACCCTCCATACTGTTGAACTGTTCATACTGCTGAACCCCTTAGAGTGCTGAACCTTTCTCACTGCTGAGCTCTTCATACTGCTGAGCTCTTCATACTGCTGAACTCTCCATACTTCTGAACTCTTCATAATGCTGAACTCTTCATACTGCTGAAACTTTCCTATTACTACATTCTTTATACTACTGTACTCTCCATCCTGCTGAACCCCTTAGAGTGCTGAAGCCTTTAAACTGATGAACTGTGCATATTTCTAAACCCTTCATACTGCTGAACCTCTTATAACGCTGAATTCTTCATACTTCTGAACGCCTCATAGTGCTAAACACTTCATACTTCTGAATTCCTCATAGTGCTAAACTCTTCATGCTGCTATACACTTCTTACTGCTGAACTCTTCATACTGCTGAACTCTCCATATTTCTGAACCCTTCATACAGCTGAACTCTTCTTACTGCTGAACTCTTTATACTGTTGAACTCTTCATACTAATGAATGCTTCATACTGCTGAACTCTTCCTATTACTGACAAAAAACTGCTGAACTCTTCATACCTCTGACTCTCCATACTTCTGAACCCCTCATAGTGCTAAATTATTCATACTGCTGAACACTTCATACTGCTGAACCCTTCATACTACTGAACTCTCCATACTTCTGAACCCCTCATAGTGCTAAATTATTCATACTGCTGAACACTTCGTACTGCTGAACCCTTCATACTACTGAGCTCTCCATACTTCTGAACCCCTCATAGTGCTAAACTATTCATACTGCTGAACACTTTGTACTGCTGAACCCTTCATACTACTGAACTCTCCATACTTCTGAACCCCTCATAGTGCTAAACTATTCATACTGCTGAACACTTTGTACTGCTGAACCCTTCATACTACTGAACTCTCCATACTTCTGAACCCCTCTTAGTGCTAAAACTCTTCATAATGCTGAACCATTCATACTACTGAACTCTTCATATGTCTGAATCCCTCATAGTGCTGAACTCTTCTTACTGCTGAACTCTTCATACTGTTAAACTCTTCATACTAATGAACGTTTCATACTGCTGAACTCTTCATACTGCTGAACTCTTCCTATTACTGTCAAAACACTGCTGAACTCTTCATACCTCTGAACTCTCCATACCTCTGAACCCCTCATAGTGCTGAATTCTTCATACTTCTGAAACTCTCATAGTGCTAAACACTTCATACTTCTGAATCCCTCATAGTGCTGAACTCTTCATTCTGCTGAACTCTTCTTGCTGCTGAGGTCTTCATACAGCTGAACCTAATACTGTTGAATTCTTCGTAATGCTGAACTTCAAACTCCTGAACACTTCATACTGCTAATACTGCTGGACTCCTGATACTGCTGAGGTTTTCTGTCAGCTAAATGTTTCATATTGCTGGACTTAACACTGCAGGAATGCTGCCTCAGTGTTGCTGAACCCTCAGTACCTCATACTGGGTATACTTGGTTTAATGACAATAATAAACCTGCAGTTTAAGAGATTAAGTATGTATATACACTGTCGTGGTGGCTCACATGACCCTGGAGAATACCCACTGCTCCCTTTTCCATTTCTGGCTTAGTTCACATTGTGGCTGTGGCAGCTGAGGGTGGAGTGCGGTGTACTGGACATTACGTGAGCAATGCTGTTCACCAACATGGCTGTTTATAGTGAGCTCTCAGTGGTTTACAAACAGATACAAGCTCAGCCATGTCACACAACATATCTGAGCCCGAACAAGACAGAAAACATCTGGGAGAGGAGTGAAGGGGGGGAGGACTGAGAGATATAAATTAGATGCAGTATCATACGTTGACGGCATGGAAACAGTAGGACAAAGTAAATACCTCCATGCACGTGCATGTAAAGATTGTTTATGGAAATTCTTATTAACCCCCAAAACTGCTTGTTATTAGTTTTAAGGCTTATTATTCAGTAAGTAGTGCAATAAGCCATTTCATAACTACTGTAGACTCAAATAAGGTATTTTAAAGGGAAACTGTAGTGTTTTTCAGACTAACCTCTATATGCAGCATCTGTAGCCTAAAGCTGATTACCCTAGAAAATCATTCCAGTACACGTTCCTGTACGTAGTAAGTAAAACACGTTGATTTGGTCTTTTATGTGTGGTAGCCTTGTTCTGCAAGCCCTGGAAACCCGGATGTTTTTAATTATAAAATCAAATCGAACATTTTTCCTGTAACTCTGTTATCAGATTAACTAGGACACTGTTGGATCTCTGTGAACTATTGTGAATCTGTGTTGAGCTGCTAGTAAGCAATGAGAGGATTATTTTACACAGGTAGGTGAAGGTAGTGTTAGAGGTCCTGCCCAGAGACTCTTATTGATATAATGTAGGGTGCCTAGGTGGGGCATTGAACCCCAGTCAACAGTGCAGAAAGCAGAGATGTTACCCACTACACTATACCAACCATTGTCATCTGTAAATTGTACACATATTTCATCTGTATGTTCCATCAACATTGCTGGAAAACAAACAATGCATAATTCAACTGAGAGACACCCAAATTGCATATAAGAGTTATTTTACTATGAATCATGAATTGGTTGAAATGCCCACCAAAGACAATGTTTTATAAGCCCTAATGGATGTGGATCTAGCTACCTGTGATTTCTCAATAACATGAAGTCATTTATTAATACAGCGACTGCAAACACGTAACCGCATTCTTTATCAGCACACAGGCGGCGTGTAGGTGTGTAATGGAATCAGAATGAGGTCTCGCTGCACAGATGTGTTTCAGAACCTTTGCCAGTAGTAACATGTGTTCTCTCTGTGGGGTGACTTGCAAAATGTTCTGCTAATCCCAAGCCCATTCTCACAGGCCTGAAGTTTCAGTCTGCCTCCATTCCACACACTCATAAAAGATCGAAGGCCAGAAGAAGGAATCTAATATCATAAACACAAACACAAAGCTCTTCAGCTGCATCCTGTTTCCAGAAATCATTCAGTGGTTCACAAGGTCTTGTTCTGAATTTTTTTTATTCTGTCCCAGTGGCCTCATAAAAGTCATTAAATAATTCATGAATCACGCAAGTCAGTGAATGTGAATCACATTCCTGGGGAACACTCCGGCATCCTGTCAGCTCGGTACTAACTAGGTGGGTGAAAGTGTAACAATGTAATGTAACAATGTGATGTATTGAGCTGAAGGTGCTGATTCGACTGCATCGATTTTGGGTTCTTAGAATTGATTATAATAGATCATAATATTCAATAAAGCAGGTGCTTGTTTTTGGCCAATAAAATAAAAAACAAAACACTGCATACACAAGTGTTCCTGGATGACCTGTTTATAGGAGGAGTGCCTGAATTTTTTGTCTTGGGGGGGTCAAAGTGCAATGTTTGTGGTGGACAAAACAACATATAGTCATGTGCAAAAGTTAGATCAAATGTTTTGGGTGATGTGCTGTTGATTTTCTAAGTAAAGGTTAAAACACTCTACAGAGAAGAAACTTAAATATAACATTTTCTGCCAATTTTAGTGCACAGTTTCTTTTTTTAAACATTTTGGGAAAAAAAATGTAATATAAAAAAATGAGCCATAACTTTTGCACAAACCACATTTTTTTTGTTTTATTATTTTATTGTTTTATTTTTTTCAGAATGTTAAATTCAGCAAATAAACAGTAATTTAAATTACAATCAACAAAACATATCATTTGACTAGGGGTGCCCAAACTTTTGCATATGACTGTACAAATAAAGTAGGTATCAAAGTTTTCAAATTATTATTTTTTTTCAAATGTAAATATTTTTAAACATTACACTAGATTTTGTTATTACAGTACTTTTAAAAATACAATTTTAAAAGGAAAGTAAGAAAGTAATAAGTTACATATACTATAAATCAATGTTTATTCCCTCTTTGAGTAGGGGGTCAGCTTAGGGTAACTTTCTGGTGGGCCAAATTAAGCTAACTCTGGCCTGCGAGCCACATTTGGGCAGCTCTGTGTTACACAGTAGTGGGAAATAAAAATTAATAATACTACAAACAAGCATCCATTGTATTTTGTAGCTATAATATTAATTATTGTAGTTTTTTCAGTGTGAATAAAGAAGCAACAACCCTGAATTGTACCATTATAACTGATAGGAATTTCATGATTTCATGATGCATGATCATTCCCTGAAGCAGTGTTTCCCAGCCCTGGTCCTGCAGTATCCATGGCACATTTTAGTGCTGTTCCCAACACACCTGATCCAACCCATCATCTCGCTAACAAACCCTGATTAACGAGCTGAAGAGGGTATGTTTAAGCAGGAAATCACAGGGGAGAGATACTCCAGGGAACCTGTGCCCTAAATAACGGTAACTGAACTGAATCATTGTGTGGTCAGACTTTTACCCCCCTCGCTCTAACTCATGTATCTCTGTAAGTTACAGCTGATCTTGAATTATGTCCTCTGTGCAGATGTGCTGGTGGATCCACTGGGATATCCGTATCAGGATACTGACCTGCAGGGTTTTCCCTACAGCCAGCAACACTACAACCCAGCCAACGTCCAGCTCTCTATGTACGGACCACCAGGCTCTCAGCCATGTAACCCCCCCTACCCCTACAGCCCCCAGTGCCCGGAGCCCCCCTGCGAAGTGGATATGGAGTTCCATGGACAGGTTAGAGGCGGTGTGGGAGGGACGCCCCTCATGAAGAGGCCCCGGATGGGCCCCGGGGCGCGGGTGAAGGGCCAGGATGAGCTGTGTGTGGTGTGTGGAGACCGAGCTTCGGGATATCACTACAATGCTCTCACCTGTGAGGGCTGCAAAGGTGATTGGCTGATCTGAGCTGAGGGTGGGGATGTTCATAGCCACAGAACAGTTAAGCTGCTGGTTTGCAAAACTGTGCAAAAGCAATAAAACACTTGAGGACATGTTTCCCTATAGATAACATGATATCAGAGAAGGCCTATTGATTTCTGTGGGGGAAAAAAAAACAAATTCTATGTTTATTTTTGTTTAATATAACCACTAAACTTGTATCCGAACGGGCATCTGGGTAGATACAGCAAAGCGAGCTCTCTCATTGGTTAGGACTTCAGGAGCCGAACTGAAGTCCTGAATCATCAGATTCACTACCAGCATAATTAGTAAGTGAAATCACCCAATCATGTTTTGAGTCACAACAGGTGGGGCCAGTTTAGTGAGAAAAAAGGTCACTCTGGGCCTTCCGATAGTCCTAAATACTTCACCGACTGCAGGGAAAAGTGCCAGCCTGACTGTGGCAGCAAAACAGTGGCAGCTCAATGTCAGCGCTCTGAAAGAGTCACTGTGAAACTGTATATATGTGTTTATGTGTCTGTTACAAGCTTTAAATAAAACATGTATTGTCTTTCATCTACGTTTAATCCAGAACAGGCAAAAAATGTTCAAGTGAATCGCAGTTAGCTTATCGCTAACATACTACTAAAATCCCATATGGGTGCTAGCAGAAGTTAGCATTATCATTGATGTGCTTTTCACTTGTTTTTGCCTGAGTTTTGACATTTTTGGTCCGAACTGAAGGCTTAACGCTAATAGTCACGGTTTGCCATGTTGCTATCACAGGCAATATCACAAATCTACATAAATGATTGGCTCATGCCTATGATGATATTACAGCCAATATTATTCACAAGAACACACTCTCATATCAAAAGACTTTCAGCCACAAGGGTGTGTTAGTCTGCATGCTAAAAAACAGCACAGATCAGTGAATTCAATACTGGTCTAAGCTGGTCTATGCTGGTTTATGCTGGTCTGGAGCTGGTTTAGCTAGTCACCCAGAATGGTCATATGCTGGCATACCAGCATCCAAAACACAACGTATGTTGGTCTTGCTGGTGACCAGCTATGCTGATCTATACTGTTTTTTTTCTAGCAGGGGTTTTATCACATGTAAGGGGTGTTTTTAGGCATGATGCAAAGCAGTGTCCAAAACATGCTTACCGATGGTGTATGTAGTCTATGCGATTTCCAGTGTTGCGTTAGCATTAAGCTAATGGTGCCACACATTTTCCCACACTGGGTTTAATACTACTAAAGGCCGATCTGCCAAAAACACAGACATTTGAAGCATCTAAGATATTCAAATGACACATTATTTCATTTTGTGATTTTACAGAGAATTTAGTAAATATTTTAAGTCAAAGCCTATTTAACCAGCTATATTTTAACCAGCTATATTTTAGCCTAGTTGTTAAAAAAATAAACTGTCACAGTTTAGTGAAACTGAGTTCTTACTTCATCTATCCGTGCACTCAGTGGGCCATATGAACAGTCCTTCACAGCACAATGGTTTTGAGCTGCCACATTAACACAGAATTCAGTTGTTGTGGTGGTCGTAGGTGTGCATGTATAGAGTATTTACAATGGCTTCACCCATTTAGTTTCTTTTCAGATTTTTTTATTATCCATTTTATATGTGATTTTAGAAATAGTTTGGAAAAGAAAACTGTCAGATCACCACGAACCTGAGTGTTGCAAAACGTACCCACAGCATAGCTGTTTTATGCTAACAAACATTTGTTAAAGTGTAATTTCTCCAATATTTTAGAATTTCTGGATAATTCAGTTGTTCACCGTGGTGGTGAAAGGAGGGAGACATCAAGTTTATTGTCTCTAAAAGCTCCTTCACAGGCAGTTTTCGGCCTAAAACGTTTAAAGATGTTCATGGCGAGGCGGTACGTGCAGGGCTCTACCATGTGGTATCTTTGTAGGAATCTCCACAGACACTTAATGAAGCTAATGCTCCTCTCCTGTGCTCTTCACAGGCTTCTTCAGGCGCAGTGTGACAAAGAAGGCTGTGTATCGCTGCAAGAGTGGTGGAGGCTGCGAGATGGACATGTACATGCGTCGCAAGTGCCAGGACTGCCGGCTGCGCAAGTGCAGAGCCGTGGGCATGCTAGCCGAGTGTGAGAACAATTACCCTCTACTCCTGAAGTCTCCCAGTTCAGCTCTACAGAGCACCCATATGGAAAAAAAAATACATGGAGATGTATTTTTATATATTTGAAATAGATTCCAAATACATTGAAATACATTCCAAACACTAAAATGTATTTCAGAATATATTGCCATACTAACCAAATATATATGTAATACATTTATTTTTAAACATATGGGGAAATATAGCACCATACAAAAATAACTGTATGTAAATGTATTTATCAAATACATTTGAAAATGTTACAGTATCTTCATTTTAAACATTAGCAAATGACCTTTTACATGGCGAAATCAAATGTTGTAGGTATTGATACTCTGTGAAAATGCAGGTCGATGGTTTGATATGTTGTGGTTAATTAATACAAAGTACATTACAAAATACAGAAGTCAGTATCATCCATTCAGCTCATGTATGTTTAGTTATATCTGTAACCTTTGTTTAAACTACATACAATTGAAAAAATAACAAATACAAATAAATGCGTTTAAAAATATATTTAACAAATACATTTTTGGCCATTTTCATACATAGCAAAATTATATTTCATAAATACTTTTGGAATATATATTTTTTTCCATATGGGACCACAGAGCACCAGAGCACTGAAGGGTCTGTATTAACGCCTGCTGTACGCCACCTAATTCAGATTATAAAGGCTTTATGAGTTGTTGCTGCTGTAGGTTACTGGAGGAACATCATTGTGGCTAAACTCTCTTTAAAGCAATAGTTGCGCATCAAACACTGTTGAGTTGTTAAGTAATCTCAAACCGACTTGTGGTTTCTGACAGGCCTGTCACAATTATTATGTAATCACCTGATTATTTAGATGAGTGCAGTTTTTTTCACAGTTTCACAGCAACACAAGAATTTGATTGAGTGAGTTTTTGTCAGTTGGGTTGAGACAAATGCATGTAAATAAAATAGAGCAGAAAACACATTTACTCAGCCACGTCAAGGATCTCAAGGAAAAACAACAAAGGTTGTAACTTCTGACAGTTGTTACAGAGGGCAGCAGTGAGCAATGCTTGTCTAGTTGATGTTTGTTGGTAACATGTTTTGAAGGTGAATAATTTGATCTAATTGAACTTGAGTTGTTTCAGACATCAGTTGGAAGCTACTAATAGCAAAATAGCAAGATTGACCATCCTGCAGTTTGGCCACTTTAGGCCTGGAATTTAATTCAATTTAATTAAAAAAAGACAGAGGAGAAGAAGGAGGAGGAGGAGGCTTAGCCATCCCCCTGTCTTCAAGGCATCACAAGGTTGATCCCTGGTGATGCCACAGCCATCTGTGGCAGCCAGCCATACTGACCTTGCTTTATCTGGGTGGGTAGAATGGTTCTCCCCCTACCCTCATGACTCAGCATGATGCTAGCCAACATGGGTGTATGTTAGCGGATGTAACGGAATTAGCAGTTAGCATTCCAAGTGTTCTGAGCTGTACAATGATGTTGCATTAGAGGCAGTGGAGTGTTTTAGAGGAAGCCTTCATTCTCCCAGTTTGGTAGCATTGTTTTGCTGATTCATATGGCAATTAATATTCAGCTAAAATGTCATGATTTTGACAGGCCTAGCTTCTGATACTGTACAACATACTGTTCTCTGTAATATTGGGCAAAGGTTCAGTCGTATGCAAATGTTTGGGTGTCAAATTACAACCCCATTTTCAAAAAAGTTGAGATGCTGTGCAGAATGTAAAAAAAAATAGGATGCAATGATATGCAAATTATGTAAACCATATTTTTGAAGGACAATACTACAAAGACAATATATCAAATGTTGAAACTGAGAAATGTTATTGTTTTGAAAAATATATGCCCATTTTGAATCTAATGCCAACAACATGTTCCAAAAAGTTGTGACGGGGGCATGTTTACCACTGTGTTTCATCACCTCTTCTTTTAACAACACTCTGTAAGCGTTTGGGAACTGAGGAGACACTGTTGTAGTTTTGAAAGTGAAATGTTTTCCCGTTCTTGTCTGATACAGGATTTCAGCTGCTCTGCTAAACAGTTCAGTGTCTCCTTTGTTGTATTTTTCATTTCATAATGCTCCAAATGTTTTCAGTGGGTGAGAGGTCTGGACTGCAGGCAGGTCAGTTTAGCACCTGGACTCTTTTAATACAGAGCCATGCTGTTGTAATACATGCAGAATGTAGTTTGTCATTGTCTTGCTGATATAATCAAGGCCTTCTCTGAAAAAGATGTTGTCTGGATGGCAGCATATGTTGCCAAAACATGTATATATCATTCAGCATTACTGGTGCCTTCACTGATGTGCACATCACCCATGCCATGTGCACTAATGTACCCCGGTACCATCATGAATGCTGGCTTTTGAACTGTGCACTGATACCAAGCTGAGTGGTCTTTAGCCCGGAGGACACATTATCCATGATTTCCAAAAAGAATTTCATATGTTGACTTGTCAGATCACAGGGCACTTTTCACATCAGTCCATTTTAAATGAGCTCAGGCCCAGAGAAGGTGGCAGCATTTCTGGATCCTGTTTATATTTGGTTTCTTCGTTGCATTTTAGAGTTTTAACTTGCATTTGTGGATGCAGCGACGAACTGTTTTCACAGACAGTGGTTTTCCGAAGTGTTTGTGAGCCCATGCAGTGATTTCCACTACAAGATCATGTCCATTTTTAATGCAGTACCGCCTGAGGACCCAAAGCTCACGGGCAGCAAATACTGTTTTTCTGCCTTGTCCCTTGCATACAGAGATTTCTTTGGCTTCACTGAATCTTTTAATGATATTATGTACCATAGATGATGAAAAGCAAAAGTTCTTTGCTATTTTACATTGAGTTTTTTTTAGCATTACACAATTTTACCAGCCTTTTGTTGCCCCTGTCCCAACTTTTCTGGAACATGTTGTTGGCATCAAATTCAAAATAGGCATATATTTTTCAATAAACAGTATAATTTCTCCGTTTCAACATTTGATGTGTTGTCTTTGTACTATTCTCAATGAAATACAGGGTTTAAATGATTTGCACATCATTGCATTTTATTTTTATTTACATTTTGCACAGCGTCCCAACTTTTTTTGGAAATGGGGTTGTACATGTTTTGTTGATTTTCTTATAAACTTAAACTTTTCTTTAACTTAAGAATAAGTTAACACATCCTCCACAGAGAACAAACTTCTACACACTTTAATGCATAATTGTTACTGTTACTGTTTATTATCAGTGTAACATTTAACATAAAACGTGGCCAGTGCACATTTTGTATTTTGTACTTCTTTTTCTAATATGTTAAACTCTGCAAATAAATAGAAGCTGTGCAACAACTTGTCTACAACTTGCAGAAATATGCCAGATTTAAGTGTGTTCTCTGTGAAGGATGTGTTAACTTATTCTCACTTAGAAAACCAACAAATCATGTCATTTGACTGGGGTGCAACAGTGGCAGACGGAACCAGATGCTTGCAGCAGAGGCTTGGATTAGAGTTTTAATAACAAAGGGGTCGTCCAAAATCACAGTCGTATATCCAAAGCAGAAAGTCGAAAACCAGATAACCAAAACAGAACAGAAGGGAACAGCCAAAATCACAGTAGTAATCAGAAAACAGGTCATACACGGGAAAGCAATCCGATACACAGGGAGACCATTCAGTACGCACATGGGTGACGATACTTCACAAAGATCTAATCTAAAGCCTGGACTTATATACTAAACTAACTGATGATGTGATGTGGAACAGGTGTGAGTGCAAATCAGAAGTCTGGGGAAGAGGAGTGCTAATAGGTGGATTGGTGAGAGTCTGTAGTCAGGTGAAAGTCCGTGGTCATGTGATGCAGCAAGGAGTTCTGGGAATTGGAGTCCTGGGAGGCCCCGTCATCAGAAGTAATGACCAGGCCGGAGGGAGGCATGACATGAGGGCGTTCAAACAGTTGCTTATGATTGTATGTTGCGTAACAGTTGATGCCTAAATTTTGTCTGTACTTGTTACATTTTTGTGTGTTACACTGTGTCGGAAATTATAATTTGGGTGTGCGGTTTACATGACGCTAACTGATGTAGCATAAACTTCCATTACTTGTTAGCTGCGTTAGCCTCATAGCACCTGACCAAGCAAAAGAAGCCAACTTTCCACTATCCTGTCCACTCTTGACCAGTTTATATTCACTAGAACAAGAAATGCACAACATGTTCCCACATCAAAGACCACTCTTTGGTCTTTCAGGTCTGCTGACTGAGGTGCAGTGCCAGTCAAAGAGGTTGCGGAAGGGGGCCAAGCACCGAGGAGACTCGCTCTCACAGCTGACCACTGAGGACGAGGAGAACTCAGAGAGCAGAAACGTCTCCTCTACCAGCAGGCTGCCTGCACCGACACGGGTACATCCTCAATGCCTAAACCACAGCTGTTCTCTTATAGTGAAGTGTTGGACTGTTCTGATTACTCAATTAAAGTGAAATTAATTCCATTATTTATTCTGACATTGTCTCAAAATAATAACAAGCATGTTGAAATTGATTACAAGGCTTAATTATTTATAGACTGACTGCACAATGGGGGTTATTTTATTATATTTGTATCTGAGAAACATCGTTTATAATTGTAAATTACACTACTAATCCAATTAGTATTCATTTTCATGGTCTGTGAGAATGATTGGCTCATGAAAGAGGCTGTGTAATACAAATAGAAATGTAAATTTCTGTGTCTTTTAGGTGTCATTGGGTTTATCCAGAGAACAGAAATGTGTTCTGAATAGAATTGTGGAAGCGTATCGTCGCTGCAGAGCTCATGATGGCACACACTGCCGGGTATGTCTCTTCATGATTTTGCTGCATGTCATTTCAAAAAGCATTCATTATTCAGTTATTAATCTTAGTACCTATTTTTTGGTAACTGCAATGGAATGAATATGCAAGTTTCAGTAGTTTTGAAAGTGAGGAACTGAAGTGTAAGCCCACATTTAGGCCCAAGTTTAGCTGTTCTATCATAGTCCTAGTCTTAAAGATCCTGCATTTACCATGCAGGGGTAGAAAAAGAACAGAGAAACTGTACTTAAGTGAAAGTATGAGTACTGTGTCAAGATCTTACTCAATAAAATGGGTAGTGTGGAGCCAATATACACTTGAGTAAAAGCAAAAAACTATGAACATTTAAATGCACTCAATTAAATAAAAGTGACAAAGTATGTTTTAATAAATTTAAAGTTTTCTTTGTTTGGCCTTTAGCATATAAGCATATGTATGGGAAGATTCGTATAACATTAATATGAAAATATTATATGAATTTGGTATATCTATATATATCTTATATATATATATATATATATATAAAGGAGCCGATTTACGAGAGAAAAAGGGAAAAATCTGGAGGCCTTTGAGATTTGTAATGAGTACTTTTGAAGGTCTAAATGAGAATGTAAGAAGGAAAAGTGTATATTTTTGTTTTGGAAAGGTAATTTTGTAAAAGTACAAGTATTCAAATTTAATAAAACTCAAAAGGGAATTCTGTCTTTTTCCCACAAATGTTGGTAAAATTCAGTTGTTGAGATGTAAAAAGTAATTTCAATCGGTTTAATGTGAAATAGTTTGTTGTACGAGAGCTCACTGGCTTTACACGTCTTCTGAGTTTGTATACAGTGTTGATGATGGTAAAATAGTGGTAAATCTGAAAACATAAGTTTTCCTTTGGTAATATTTTGCTTTACAATCCCCTGCATAAATGGATTCTGTAAATATTGATGCTAAAAGATGACCTCAAAACATTGTTTCTGGCATGAGGCAGTATATTCATTACCATTTCTTGTAAAAAAACAAAAAAAAACAAACAAACAAAAAAAAACACTTTCTCCGACGTAGCTTCCAGAGCATTAAACTCTTCAGACGACTGGGTCCTATTGATGGAAAAGTTTGAATAAATACTCCCTTAATCAATAATCAAATACATTAGGCATCCATTCGGGTCTCCGGAGACCATTTTTCACTTGATGCTCAAATAAAGTGAAGACCTTTTTCATTTTTGATATTTTTTGAGAACTTATTTATAATAGTTATTAGTGTAAGCGTTCAGTCAGAATTAGAGATTAATTATATGTTATATTATATATTAATATTATATATGAATTATATGAGGCCTTGGGCTGTAGGGATAGCTCTTGGTCCTGACTGTACAGAAATTTGGACTTGTTTTGTCTCGAACAGCCTTTTACATGAAACCACTCTGAATGACTTTGTTTACATCTTAACAAATTAATTATGTAGAAATGTTGAAAAATCACTTGAATTCCCTTTTAAGTAAAGCACAAATCTTCCAAAACCACACTTACCATAGTAGCAGAGTACAGTTAGAGTTCTACAGCGCTCTTGCACCACACAGTTTGGTGTTGTCTCAGTTGATCAATCAATTTATTGAGTGATTAATTTACTGCTGTGATGTCATTAAACTTGTAAATGCCACACAAAGATTGTGTGTTAACTGGTGTGAAACTAAAGACATTAGGCTGGCAATATAAGTACATTAGCCTTGATGTAATTACTTCTGCTGAACAGTTCATCTCCTAATGTTATTGTCTCTCAGGTGCCCCAGTGGTCAAGTTTAGAAGTGGGTGGAGATCGTCTAGCTGACCTGACACCTCTGCAGACAGAAAGGCTTCTGCAGTTCTCTAAAAGCATACCCGGTTCGATAGCTTTCTTTTTTCACACTCAGAAGCACTGGTGTTTTCTGGTCAGGACTGATTAGCTGACCTGTGTTTGTTGTTTGTTGTTCAGGCTTTGACCTCTTGGACAATGCTGACCAGAGCATTCTTCTCTCCAGCTCCTCCGTGGAGGTCATGTTCCTGCTCTCCGCTCAACAGTTTGCAGAGAATCCGTCCTCTTATAGTGCAGGTAGGGCTGTGCTGATCATGGTAGTCTGCACTGAGTTTCTAGATAAGATTAAGTCCAGAAGCCTGTGAGAAAAACATTAGTTTGTTATGGTCAGTAAGCTTGATGCTCTCTTTTTCATCAGCTCTGTATCCTGGAAGTGGTTCCTCTGTATCCACTCACAACTGGGTGAAAACCTTACAATCTAAGGCCAACAGCAGCCATGAGGTCATACTAAACTCAGGTACTGCCTGCAATTTAATGCTCATGTATTATATGTTTTAATGCCTGGGTTCATACAAATGTTAGAATTGTTAAATTACAGGGGTTTCCAGAAATGCTTTTGCTTTAAAGGGCCACAGGAATCCAAATGTTTGATATATCACATAATAATGTTTAAAGTTTTGAAAACATAGCATTAACTCTCCAGTCCATAGAGGCCATGTAGGGAAACTGAGCTGCTAAAATAGTCTGTTTTGATTTTGTTGTGCTTGTGATGTCACAACCATGAACATGTTTACATGTTATTGCCCTTTCAGCTTACAACAGTTTAGCATGCCCGTTGACAGGGATGTGATAAGGAGTGTTGTTACAGTGCATTTTAGCCAGAATGAGTGATACGCAATACAGACCTGGCAATCAATTTACTCATACCAGGCTTAAAGGCACATGTGTGTATATATATATATATATACTATATATATATATATATACATCTATATATATATTATATATGTATATATATATATATATACACACACACATACATACATACATATATATATACATATATAAAACAATGTGTATATACATATGACATTGTTATTATTGTGATTGCTAAAAGAGCTTTGAATATATCTATACTTCTATATGCTCCTTTATTCTTTTGTGTTTTTTATATGTTAGGGCTGTATATTTTTTACACTGCATATGTACACTGTGTATGATACATGTATATATATATATATTTATACATTTATCTTTTTGATCTTTCATTCATAATATTAGCAAAACCAAATCTTGTCATTAAATAAATATTTTTCTTACATCTATGTGTCCCACAACTGTTGGCACCCCTTGAAATTCTTAAGAGTGAAATGAAGTGAAGTATACTCCCATTCATATTTTATGTTTTACAGTTCACCTGAATGATTAGGAACACTTAAATGGTCAGCCATGACCTCCTGATTCACTGTGGAAAATATATGAGATGAAAAACAGGCCAAATTCCCTCAGTCATCCATCTCTATGAGAAAGACCAGAGAAAACAGCCATCATGTGCAACAAAATGTTGTTGAGCTGCACAAATCAGGAAATCAGAAAATATAAGAAAATATTTAAACAGTTGAAAATGCCTATTTCCCCTGTCAGGGAAATAATTAAAAGAAAGTTTTAAAGAAGTTTAAAACAACTATAGATGTTACGAATCTGCCAGGAGGAGGATGTAAGTTTATACTGACCCCACACACAGTGAGGAGGATGGCACGAGTGGAGAAAGAATCTCCAAGGATCACAGATGGGGAATTGCAGAAATGAGTTATGTCTTGGGGTCAGAACGTCTCCCAAACCACAAACACCATCTACATAACCAACCCTAAATTGTTTGGAGGAGATTGCCAGAAGAAAGCCTCTGCTGTCAAGACCCAACAAACTCAAGCTCCTACAGTTTGCCAAGTGTTACTGGACCTTTCAGTGGGACTGTGTTCTGTGGTCAGATGAGACCAAAATAGAGGTTTTTGGCAACAAATGCCAGAGGTGAGTTTGGCGTAGACACAAAGACAGCCATGCAGAAACGTACCTCATCCCCACTGTGTTGGTGGATCTGTGATACTGTGGGGCTGTTTTTCTTTCAAAGGCCCTGGACAATTTATTCAGATACAAGGTATCACAGACTCCATCAAGTACCAGCAGAAATGATATCAAAACCTGACTGCTTCAGCCAGGAAGCTTAAACTGGGCCATGGTTTGGATCTTCCAGCAGGACAATGATCCCAAACACACCTCAAAATCAACACAAAAATGGGTTCACTGACCACAGAATTAAGGTTTTACTGTTTTTACTGCCATCCCATAGAAAACCTGTAGGATGAGCTGAATAGGAGAGTCCACAGTGTGCAGCCTAGAATCTGAAGGATCTGGAGAAGTTCTGTATGGAGATCCTTTGCCATGTGGTCTCTAGTCTCATTAAGCATTATAGGGAAAAAAACTCAGAACTCTTTGCCGAGTGAGGCTGCACAAACTGTTAAATGAGCGGTCAACAACCGTGGCTCACACAGATTAGAGAAAAATATTTATTTCTTAGTAGGATTTAGGGATTTCTTTCAGTCGTTGTGCTTTTTACAGCCTGTTTTGCTCATGTTTACCAGGGATTCCAATAGTTGTGGAGGGAACTGTATATATATGTATATTTTTAAGGACACTATATTTCTCTTTAGCTGCTATTGCATAGTGTTGCATATATTTTCGTTTGCGCTCGTACTGCATACTGTGAACGTGTTCTGTTTTTATGCCTTATGTTTTTATGAAATAAGAATTTCTTTGTGCAGTGCAACTGTCTGTTTTTCTGGGCATATGACAAAAAAAACCCTGAAACTTTAAGAACAACCAACAAATAGTGAGAGCAATGGAACAGTGCTCAGCTGACCATAGTGAAATGATCTTATAACTGATCACTTTACACAGCCCATCCTCATGCAATGTAGTATCATAATCAACTTTAAATCTACATACAAAAATTATTTTGTGAGTTCAGACCCTGCCTTCTATATGGTGGTAGTGTGAGGGAGGACTGAGTGAGGGAGGGGGAGAACTCTGAGAACTTGGGCTGGAGTTCTGGGCAGCTTCTGCCTGTAGCTAGAAGGCCAGACCCCCCCCCACCATAGCTGTGTTAGGACTTATGTAGGACCGAGGAACAGGGAGGAGATGGGGTGGCGGTGGAGACTGCGAAAACTTCGTCACAGGAATGGAAAGTGAGGATGTGAATTTATAAGGTGTTAGATTGGAAGAAGGAGGGGTTTCAGACATGTTCCTCCCCCCAAACTTCAGTTATAACATAACTACATTTTATAACAATAGCCATTGTAAACCTGGACCATGATCTCTTTTCTTCTCTTTCTTGTCTTTTCCTTTAAGCAGGGTTGAGTGAAGAGCTCTTGAGGCCGGTGCTGAATTTCTTCCACAGTATGACAGCCATCGCTGTGACTGAGGCTGAATACGCTCTTCTAACTGCTACTGCGGTGCTCTGCTCAGGTCTGTGGCCCTAAGTTAATGCTAAAAATGGAGAATTATCCTGCTCTCAGTTGAAACATTGTCAAGGTGCGTGTGTAGTCTGCGCATATCTTAAGGCTATTCTAGGACCGCTTATGGACACTGTCCTAATTGAATTCTTGGTAGAATGATGCTACGCTTAATATGAATTTGAAGAGCCAGACTGCATGTTGAAAAATGTTTTATTCCTTATTTTATTCTTTTTTAAATAAAGAACAGGCACAGTCCAGCGAAAAATCAGATTTACACCAACCCTTTACTAAGGGGGTCTGGGGAGCATGTTTTAAAGGACCCCAAAATGTCTGTAGATCAGAAACGTTTAGCGTAGCAATAGACGGAATATTGATCAAAAATGACTATTTGGTTAAGTTGGCACACAGAGTGTCTGTCTCTTCACAGCATGTTAAGCACAGATCTTTTACAACTTAAATACTTCATCTGTCCACAGATCACAGATTAAACAATGGTATTAAAGTCAAGCAGAGCTAGTTTCCTCTCTCTTAGATAAGATATGTTATAGATTGGCACAGTCTCAGTTTGTGCTACCAGATAGAGTGTGACTTAGTGTTCTGTAATTGTTCTGTAGTGTAGATGACATGCTCATAGAGACATCTGACAGTTCAAAAATTATATATTATCAACCATTTATTAAATTTAGTCTCACAAATAAGAAATATATAAAAAAGGAATAACATTTACAAAAACTCAGTATTTATTTTAACTGAAAGCTTAAACAGAACTCACTCACTTTCTTCTTCACTAGCCTTTATCAGACCTGCTTCTTCAGCTCTCTCAGTCTCCTTCAGTGCTCCTTGCATGTGTTTAATGTTATTTCATAAACAAATGCAAAACGTTTCAGAAGAACTAGATTTACAAGAACTCAGTCAGTTAATTTATTTAGTTTGAACTGGCAAAACTCTCACCTGACTGTCCTTCTATGGAGCTGCCACCTTGTGAAAACCATCTACAGATTGAGGAGTTGAGGGATAAAGTTAAAACTGTGTTACAATTATCAAAACACCAGTGTTATTCGTATGTAGTATAAATACTTGGCTCTTCAGCTCACTAATGAGTCTGATATGATTGGCTTACAAACTTACGAGTCTGATATGATTGGCTTACAACTTTCGAGGTCTGATCGGCTTCCAACTTACAAGGTCTGATATGATTGGCTTCCAACTTACAAGGTCTGATATGATTGGCTTCCAACTTACAAGGTCTGTTATGGTTGGCTTACAACTTATGAGTCTGATGTGACTGACCTACAACTTACGAGGTCTGATATGATTGGCTTAAAACGTATGAGGTCTAATATGACTGGCTTACAACTTGTGAGGTCTGATATGATTGGCTCCCAACTTACAAGGTCTGATATGGTTGGCTTACAACTTACGAGTCTGATATGATTGGCTTCCAGCTTATGAGTCTGATATGATTGGCTTCCAACTTATGAGTCTGATATGATTGGCTTCCAACTTATGAGGCCTGATATGATTTGTTTACAACTTACAAGTCTGATATGTTTGGCTTACAACCTGTGAGTCTGATATGATTGGCTTAAAACTTACAAGGTCTAATTTGATTGGCTTAAAACTTACTAGTCTGATATAATTGGCTTACAACTTACGAGGTCTGGTATTGGCTGAGCTGGTGTTTTCCCCAGTTGTAAAAATGGAAGAGAACTGCTGTCTCCTGTCGTTATGTTAGAAAATCTCTGGCAGCTCAGCCTGAAGCAGTATAGTGGCTTAGAGCAGCAGCTGAACTAATCCTTCAGCTCCAATAATGATATCTGTCTCTTCTCTTGTTCCTCTCTGCTGTGTGCGTGAGGCAGACAGGCCGGCTCTGCGTGCGGTGAGATGTGTGGAGAGTCTGCAGGAGTTTATCCTGGATCTGCTCTCCAAGGTGTGCAGGAATGGCGAGGGCGCTGCCGTTGGGCCGTGCCGCTTCGCCCGGCTGCTGGGCCGGCTCACTGAGCTCAGGACGCTCCGCCACAACCACCTCACGCTCCTACCACAGCAGCCCTGGGACATGCAGCACTGAGAGCGGCTTCAGGAAAACAGAGAGGACTGGGGGACCCCAAAGCGCTGATCAGCTCCCCGTGTTCATAGACACGTTTGAGTAGGAATACTGTGCTGAATCCAAGTTGTGTACTAAACACTAATTCTAACTGTTTTTTGAGCATATAGTGTGTAGTGTAAACATGAGTGCTGAAGAGAAATATACTGAACAAATCCAATATGCATTTTTAGAACCGGTCAGTTTCATGTTGAGTATGGTCAGAGAGGATGCTTGAAGCTAGAGCTGCAATGTAATATTATTTCTAGGAACCTGGTCACATGGTTTTGAGAGAGAGGGGGGAGTCCTAATCACACCAGCGGAAAATTCTGCCCATTTTATAAACCGTCAGCAGTTATTTTCGCCTCTCTGGTGATTACTGTGCCCATTTTGGTGATTTCTAGGCTTTGACTATTTTATGCCTAAAACTGCTGCTGGTGTGATTAAAATATCTGACGCTGTCAAAAGCTGACACAACATTTTTGCAGGTTCAACTTTTTACATGTATGACGCCGTATAAAAGTTGTATTGCATGATACTACAGTGGCATCTCTGCGTTTAACCCAGCAAGCTATTGGGAAGTCAGTGATTAGTAGTGCACCTGGTAAAAGGGCCAGTCAGTATAAGTAAAATCAGTAAGGTCTGCCTGCAGACTGCAGACTGCAGATGCACCATTTTCAGGGTCTTACTATTGTATATCATTGTGCTACTATGAAACATGAGAGTTTTAACATGCCACAGACATGAATTAGAAGTCTGAAGTAGTGCAGCTAGGCCAACTATGATAGATAAAGTTACCACACGTAATAGCAGGAATTCTTCTCTGGTCTCGTTACCTCGACAAATCAAAACGTTTGCACATCATTGACGGAGCAGAAAATATTTTATCTTGTGTATAAGATGACGACTGCCCCTCATCTGATGTTAAACTGTTCGCTCTAGTGTTAGCTCATCCTGATTTAACCCACAGCAGCCTTTTGCTTTTGAATGACTGAGGCAGCTAATTTTTAAACTAAAAAACCCTGTGCTGCTGGTTTTGTTAAGTAAAAGTAAGCATACAGTCCTGTTGGTCTGTTATGTAGATATTATGGATTAACAAATTATTGTCAATGTCGCCCAATGTCTCAAATTTCAATCTGTCTGATCGAAAACAGTTTTGCCCACTCTGCATGCTGTGATGAGTCATTTAGAGGAAGATATAATGACTGGCTTGAAAAAGGTGTGTGAAGTTCACAGCATCACGTCTGTGATACTAAACAGACTTCTGAGAAGCATTTAGCAGCTTTAAGTGACAAATTCAGATTCAGATTGAGATTAATTTTTCGTCACTCCAGAACATGTTGCACATGAAAGGGAACAAAATGAGGTACTCAGGTCTCGGTTTGAGTAGCAGCAATAATAAAATGAAAAAGAAAGCACACAGTGAACACCAGTAAAAATGAAAAACATAAATAAATGTATAAATATAAAGTGAGCAGAGTCTGGATAGGAATAAGACAATGAACATCCAAAAGATAAACAAGGTGGCCAAGTGGGCCCTGAATTGCAGCAGTGCCCTGATATGAAACAATAGTAGTAATAACAGCAGGTTGTCACTCCAATTGTCCACTGAGGGCAACAATTGTACAGTAAAGATTGTAGAATTTTCAGTCTATAAGTGCAGAATTTATATCCAGATATCCTCACGTGCTTCCCGATGTGTAAAGATTTGTTTGCACGAGTCTTTTCTTGTAGCCCTGTTTTACAAATCACTTGCACCTGTGTTGCACTAGAACAGTTGTCTGTGCTTGAATATTTTGCAAGTCAGTGGTCCTTTCCTGTAGGCGGTTCTTTGCCATGTAAGTGACAAAATGCACGAGACTCTCTGACAATATGCTCGCCGATAATGTGGCTTGCGAGACGTGTAAATAGTGTAGCACTCCTCCACATGAGCGTCTTTGCTTCTTCAAAGAAGTGCAGTGAAAAGAACAGTTCCATGATGATACTTGTTTGTATTTTGGATCAGTCTCATCCACAAAAGACCGGTGGGGCTGCAGGTCTTCATTCCAATCCAGCAGAAGCGTACCACGTTTAATCAGTCGGTCTTAATCTTAATCTCCAAACCGTCGATTAGTTGCATAAGATTGGTTGGATTGAAAGCCTAAAGCCACTCTGGCCCTTTTTGGATTAGACTGGTGAGCCTGGTCTTATAGTATTAGTGTTTAGTACACATGGACTACAGCACTGGTCTAGGATCCTCCTCTTCATGGTTAGTCACAAAACCTGATCCTAGATCAGCTCACTAACTCTAAGATGTTCTGTGACCACCGCATCCTCTGCTACAACAAAACAGCAACTTATTTTTGATAATACAATAACCTGATTCAGTGTACTGTACTCTTGTACGTTTTACTCATTTTACCTTAGAGAGTTGCCTATATTTTACATTCAAAATTCAAGCCTAAAGGTCTAATGAAAAAAATTCATATGCAGTAAATAAAAAATTATGTTTCTAAAGATGTCTGGTATGTTAGAACTACACCTCTTCTATTTCATGACTGTGGCTAGATTACGTATTTTACATATACATAAAAAGTTAGTTCTCATATTGCCTACATGACACTAGAGGGCGCACATGATAGAGCGAACGGAGCTAAATGTCTAAAAATGTCGATTAAACGTTTTCGATCATTCACACTAGAACATACTCTGATAAAGTACAAAGATGTACTAAAGCTTGGACGTGTAAATAAAAAAAATAAAAAATAATGAAAAACGTACCAATAGCTTCTTGTTTATGTAAAACAAGTAAGCTTAAGTAAAGCAGTTTGTCATCAATATAAATAAGCTACTTTAGACTGGTAACTGGAGTTGAAAGTGTTAAAACTATGACAACGACATTGAAAAAATGTGCTGTTCTATACTGATATGTAAAAAATACTAACCATTTTTGCAAAAGCTCCTAAGGCCCCAGTTCTATTTGGATTTGAGCGCCCTCTAGTGTCTAATCATCACAAAAGAGAACTTCTCTGGTAGATTCTCTCATATATCACAATATACACCGATCAGGCATAACATTACGACTCATCTGTCTCTCTGCATACTTTGTTAGCCCCCTTTTTCCCTGTTCTTCAGTGGTCAGGACCCCCATGGACCCTCACAGAGCAGGTACTATTTAGGTGGTGGATCATTCTCAGCACTGCAGTAACACTAATGTGGTGGTGGTGTGTTAGTGTGTGTTGTGCTGGTTTGAGTGGATCAGACACAGCAGTGCTGCTGGAGTTTTTAAACACCTCTGTGTCACTGCTGGACTGAGACTAGTCCAACGACCAAAACTATCCAGCCAACAGTGTCCTGTGACCACTGATGAAGGACTAGAGGATGACCAACACAAACTGTGCAGCAGCAGATTAGTTATCATCTCAGACTTTACATCTACAAGGTGGACTGACAAGGTAGGAGTGTCTAATAGAGTGGACAGTGAGGTCCACTGGGGGCTCCTGACCACTGAAGAACAGGGTAAAAGGGGGCTAACAAAGTATGCAGAGAAACAGATGGACTACAGTCTGTAATTGTAGAACTACAAAGTGCACCTATATAGTAAGTGGAGCTGATAAAATGGACAATGAGCGTAGAAACAAGGAGGTGGTCATAATGTTATGCCTGATCAGTGTAACTATCACTGTAGAGCCCCCTGTTTGTGCCATGCAGTACTGCCATAACCCATTCATAAAGGACATTCACACATGTCCATGCAGCCAGTGAGGCCACAGGCTAAACACTTAAGACTGACATGAGCCATCCTGAAGGAATTTCACACAGGAGAAAGAAGCATCAATCATCCATTCCTCTCTGTGTGCTTATCGAATACCCTTCATATTTCAGATAATTATTACTTCAGTGTTCCCCACAAGCCTTTCCTGTGCAGGCCTGTGCTTGACCATTACAACGAACAGTAATTTAAATAGAACAAATACAAGCTTATTAGTATTAGAGGTACTGATAAAGTAGTAAGATGTACTAAAAGGTGAATGCAGTTAAACGGCTAAAAACAAGAAGTTAAAATAGTTTCTCATCACTTGCCCAAAACTTTCCCTTAAAGGAAAAGCTGAATCATCAAGATGGTAATGTAGTTTTTACTGTATGCGGCAAGTCATGGCCTTGTACTCCCACCTCTAAGTCACATGTAAATGAAGATTTTGCTTTCAACATCGGACATTAAGGTCAGTAAAAAGTGAACCACTACAGCTCTACAGCTCAGGACTCGAAGCATGAGAATGGAATTTGATGCTAACAGGTACAGATCAGGTACAACGAGCAGGATTAACTGTGTTTTGTAGAAGAGAGAGAAGGAGAACAGCATTAAGAGATTCAATAGAACATTTATTTCCCCCACATGAGAAAATACTGTTTGAGACAGGTTATTTGGCGAGTAGGTAAAATCTGCAGTTTGTACAAGCTTAAAATTTCTCTCAGCTCCATCTTATAAACAGGTACTAGAGCTCAGGTTTCTACAATAAATACAAGGCTCTGTGCTCCATGGTGCAAAAACAGGAAAAGAAGGGATTTCTGCTGTCTAACAGTTTGTGAACAATACATCCTCCATACAGCATTTCATCTTAAAAGCTTAACAGAACTAAACCTTGAAGTCACAAAGCCCATCTCGTCGTAAAACCCTATTCAATAGTTTATCTTAAATAAGATATCTGATTCAATTCTTCAACCAATATATAATTTAATTATCTCTATCTCTCTGCGGTCCATAAATAAATTACATTTCTGCGTATCAAAAATGATATATATTTAACCATTGACAACTGGCTGCGAATCATACATAAACTGTATGTATATACTTTACATACATACGAATGTAATCACACGAACTGACATCGATGACAAGCGGAATACACTTTGCAGCAAGTCAGTGATTTCATTTACTTTTTTTTTGTTTTTTTTACAAATATGTACAGAAGAGATCTGATTTCTTCATACATCCAGGCGATTGAATTCACAATAAACAAAATTCAAATTAAATTACATATCACATGACCAAAAAAAAGAAAAAAAAAGAAAAAAAAAAAAGAAATTAGATATATACACGAGTGTCTTTACAATATACAAGAAGTGGTTTGTAAAACATTAAAAAGTAAAAAGCTATCGTAAGAAAATGGCAGTGATTCATTCATACGTTTGTACATACTAGCTGATTCACTGACTCATTTGTATTTACTGAATCATTGTCAGAAAACAGACACCCCACTACGTCCATCTGACAATGAGCCTTTGGATGTTCCGGACTTAAAACCACCAGATTTAAAGTGACACTAGTTTAAAAACCACACGCGCTCACACTTTCGTTCATTAAAAGCATCCCCTTCACCCACCCCCAAAATCTAAAGGGGGCAAAAAAGACCCCAAACAAACAACTATTTCATGGCTGCCACTCCTTGACACTGGAAAGAAATGAGGGTGACTCCCAGACGTCTCCCTGTATCAGATAAACTAAGGCTGCATCCCATGTGCATCCCAGCGCAGACATGCAGTGCACTACTTTGGGCATCACTGAGGGACTCTGCCCTCTAAATTGTAGCCTGCAAGTCCGCTAGAAGGACTGATTTGGGACGCAGCCGCATGTGCGAGTGGTATTTGAGTAGTAGTGATGACAGGTATCGAAATGTGCTGAGGCTTGGGAGGCTCTATAGGAAGTTGGAGCCGACGAAGCCGTGGTCTCCTCGTACTCGGCTGAGGTGGATCATGGCTCGGTCGTAAGCCACCTGCACGGACTTCCGGATGCTGGTCTTCCGGCCCTCCATCAGACGCAGTTTGTCCACCGTGTCGTCCACGCCCAGGGGGAGCAGCTTCTCCCGAGGTAACCACTGCCTGCAGAAAGCACCAACAAGAGGGCGATCACTTATGGAATTCATGGCTATTTAGGAGTTTTCAAAATACATCTTATGATGCTACGCTAGAGCAGTAAGCCAACATGCACAGTAATGAGATCATGATTTCAGCGTTTACCAGATGAATTCAAGTGGACAAACATCATATTACCAGACTAGATTAAAACCATTACTGGGTTTCAAAGCATTTGAGAAAATGGCTTGGATTGTAGCCCAAATATTGGGTTATTCAGCGCATATACACCACCAGTCTGATAATTTGCATTTTTTCACATTAGCACCGACTAAACAGACAGTGAAGAGCAGCCCTGAAAGCAGTAAACACAAATGTTATCTAACACCACATCTGCACCAACAAATCAAAAATAATAGGATCTTTTTCAGTGGGTTTACTGGCAGTTTGCATAGGAACTGTTGAGGTGCATATATCATGTAGACCCAGAGTTTTCTCATCAGTGTACGTGTATGTATGTAAACATATTGGATAAATTATTGCCAAATCAATCCATCCATCCATCCATCAATCATCCCATCAATCAATCCATCAATCAATCCATCCATCCAATTAACTGATTATATTGTACATGTAAATGTACTCTATGCAACACAGGGTCATCAGGCATTGCTACGCCACTTGCATAAATTTTAGTTGCTGAAACTTTAATTTAGGGTTGGGATGAGCAATATGATGATATTTTACTGTTAATGTGATATTTTTTTTGTGTGGGGATATCCTGGCATTAGTTGTCATTACTTAAAGAACGCTGATCACTTGTATCCTTAAAAAGAAAACATAAGACATGTTTAAGATCTAAACTTCAATCTATGATGTTATGTGTTTTTCCCACTTTACACGTTTCCCATTTTCCTGAAGAGATTTTACACAGATGGAAAAACTTACGGACTTTTCAGCATGAAACGTCCTGACCTCAGTGACCCTGCTGAGGTTGGAAAAGGCTTAAAGAAGACTTACAGGCTTTAAGGGTCTATAAACAGTGTACACTGTCTGCAGTAAAACATCATTACCAAGAACTTATAACTTCAGCGGACATTTTGGTCAGCCTGTAGCAGAGCTTTTGAACAGCATGCTATACCCATTGGCTCAGTGCTACAGCACCATCTGCTGGCCAATTTCATCCAGTTCTTATTCAAAGTGTTTTGAATCATAAATATTTTTTAGAACTTAACTGACTACAAGTTTCAAAGTACAAATATTTAATAGTGAATGTACAGAACCCATCTATATTTATCAGGCATTTATCTTTTGGCATGTCTATGTTCTAATTCTACTTCTGTTCTCTGAGGAGAAGTTACAGCTACACTGCTCTTACCACGTGCGCTTGTTGTCGAAGAAGAGGATGAGGAAGAGTTTCTCGCCAGCCTCCTCCTGCCTCTGCTCTCCAAGCCGCAGCACATCCGCAGGGGGGACAGGGATAGGCACTCCGTTATGCAGCAGACCCTCCTCTGGCATGTCTGGATCTATGATCTACCACAGAGGAAACAATTCAAAATCAGCCTGAATATACCCCAAACATCCTAGGTCTGTTTAAAAGAGAAGATTAAACCTAGATCTAGCAGATATTTTCAACAGTAGTCCATTTAAATAGGAAATTATAAAGCATTTTCCGTTCATTTCATGACATATTTCTGAGTAAGGCTACAGCATCACGAGGGACTCTGAGCAAGCTGAGAGATTTTTTTGTTAGTGATAGGCAGAGATGGTAGGATAGGGAGGTGACACATGGTATTGTTTGTTAATAATAATTTTCATAGTGATGTAATCAAAAAATTAGATGATGTTTTAAAGCACGGCTGCTCAATCCTGGAGAGTTCAGATCCAACACACCTGGCTCTCAAATTCAGATGCTATTGAAGGCCTTCATTAATTGGATCAGGTGTGTTTAATTAGAGGTCGAACTAAGCTGTGCAAGGTGGTAGATCTCTAGGACCACGACTAACATACTAAGGGCTGGTTTCTTGAACATGGATTTAACCTAGTCATGGACTAAATGGGGGTTTCCCGTTAAAAATTCTATTTTAACTAGCCAATGCTTCTTAGCCCTGGCCATTGCCCTGCTTTTCTTTTTTCCCTGCTCCCAACACACCTGATCCAGCTAATCAGCTCATAAAAAAAAACATTATTGAGTTAAAGTGGCTGCATTAAAGCACTAAAATTTGCAGGGCAGTGGGCCTCCACAACCAGGGTTGGGAAACAGTGGCCTATTAGGTGTAATCTAGGTCAGGGAAGCTGGCCATAACACTATTAGCACTAGGATTAATCTGTGTTCAGGGAAAGTGGCACTGAATGTGCAGTATCTGTACTAACACTAAATATTTAGTATAATTTGTTAGAACCCTTATCGGTTAAGTTTCACAATGATGCCAAAGAATGCTGGTGTATTACTTTCTGAAACAGAATGTGATCTTTCAGGTGTCCTTACAGTAGTACTTGTGTACTTAAATGGAAGATCAGGAGACTATAGAACTGATTTTGTCTGTTTCAACAGTACGGCCTTCCTCAAACTGCAATGTGTGAACTCAGTACACAAGGTTACTGGAGTACAGTGAAGTAAAAGTGTGACAAGGCATGCAGAGCTGTACAGTTTCTTCTCTCACCAGAGCAGGGTAGGACGGGTAACCTCTACACTTGGCCCATACCAGATCCAGAGGCTCAAGTTCAGCATCACTCTCTATAGACAGCATATCCACTGAGAAAAAGAAGAATACATCACACTTACGAATACTACAAAACTTTTCTTGTTCTTTTATCCTAATATGCAATCACTTATCAAAAGGCCCATTTCATACAGTTTTTGTATTTTCATACATATTTATTGTATTTTCTATCTTTCTCTGAAGTCCACTTACATCATTTATGAGGTTTTATGTCCCAGAAAAACAGTCATAATTCATTTTTACATGACCATTTTCCAACATCTCTTTATCCCTTAGAATTAAACAGGCTGTGTTTGTCCTGTGCCTTTAAGACTGATATATATCAATGACTTCTGGTTCTGATTGGCTGCCGTGTATTGTGATTCATTCAAAAAGCAATTTGAAACATTCCTTATGACTTCAATGGGAACAGGTGGGGCTAAACTGCTGTTGGCAAACTGGCGAATATATGTAAATACTCAGGTGTTTGTGACATCACAATATAATTAATTAAAAACGGGCTGTTTCCATATATTGACTACATGGAGTGTAGAGTGAACGGAATGTATGGGCCCTTTAAAGTGTAATATTAGTAGTTATTTAGTCTTACCTGGACCAGTGTAGTCAGAATCTCCATTAACAGTCTCTAAAAATGGTACTTTGGACAACGCAGGTTTTCCACGACTTTTTTTTGGTGGCAAGATGCTGAAAACATTTAAAATCTACTATTAATACCTGTTCACAATCTATAATTAAAATCAAATGAAATATTAAGTGCTACGTGTGAGTAAGGAAGTCTCTTACATTTCCTTCTTGAGTATGGGCGAGGGACTGCTCTCAGAGTCCGAGCCGCCGTCTTTGTGCTTTCTGAAACCATTTGTGAGGGCTGTGAACACAGAAAGGATGAATTCAGAGATGAGAAAGGCTTAAAGGCATAATGAGTGTCTAAACCACAACTCCGTTTGATTTCTGACTCAACATATTTGCTAAATAACTGTGTGAAAGCCACAAAGCATGATTTGGAAGCCTTTTTAAGAAATGAGATGTGGTGTATTTATGTTTTCTGGAAGAAAATTATTTTAAGAGGCCAAATAATAACAATTCAGATGCCAAACTATTTACAAACAATAATAAAAATAGTGTTGTTGGTATTAGTAACATATTATTAATAATGTTTTATTAACATATCTACTATTAATTAATAGAACATTATGACAGCAATACTACTACTACTACTACTAAAATAATAATAATAATAGGTAACTATAATAAGTAAACTAATTACAATTTCAATTCAGTCTTTTGTTCAGTTGAGTGGCTCTAAGTCCTTATCTAATTCTAAATCTATATAGCACAGGCGGCGGCAGGGTCGCCACGCCTTCTGTTCGACAATGATGAGTGTGCGTTTAACTGAATCTGTGCACTCATTTCAGTAGCATTCAACTTAGTAATTTCAAAACCTAGCAGTTATAACGGAATCAGTCGTTACCAGATTCTATAGAGCGGGGTGGGGTCTTCTCCCGTTCCCGCTCAGGGCTAGTGCTGCGGCTGCGGGCTCCCTGATTGGCTGGGGTGAGTAAGGGAGGGGGTGTTGATGATCGAGATGTCTGAGCTGATGTCTCGATGTTTGTGGTTAGAGGCGTAGCAGAGGTGGTGATGGTTGGGGTGCTGCTGCAGCTGAGGGAAAGTGGAGGTGCTTTGCTCTCCCCACCATTCCCATTCTGCAGCTGATTGTCTCTTTCGCGCTGTAGCTTGGCTCCGTTTTTCGCTTTTCTGAAGAGGACAGAGGTGCGGCGGCCCACTCCTCCAGACACGGGCCTGGTGGGGGACAGAGTGTCTGAAATGCCATTCAGCAGCTTCCCCTCACTCGGGGACAAAACCGGGGGAGTGTCGTGCGCTCTGTTCTGAGACGCCACATCTGTCTCTGGCTCTACATCCTGGCTCTCATTGTTCAGTTTGAGGGCTTCAGAAGGGCAGGCCGAGGAGGTCTTTGGGTCGGCTGTCATTGGCCGGAGGGTGGGGGGATCCTGGGGAGTGTCCCCAGGAGGAGGGGATAAGGCCAGGCCCGAGGGCTCCAGGGTTGGAGGAGGTGTGGATTTACAATCATCTAAAAAACAAAAACAAGTTAATGTGTGGTCCCTTAATCATGAAATGTTCACAGTGTAAAGGGCAGTTGGCATTTTCAAATGGTGCAAAAAAGTTAAGGTTCACTGATGACAGCAACAATATACTGCAATAAACAAAATGTGCCCATGCATTATGTACAAAAGGCTATAACCCCAACCTTAACTTACAGGATTTATAACGTAAAAAAATCCAGTCAAAACAGCAATTATTACAAGTTACTAATTTTTTTTAGATAGAAAACAAACTTGCATTAGGAATAGGTGAATGTTTGGATTGTGAAAAGCAGAAAATAACCAACTTCTAAGACTGAACTTTGGAGGTGTGGAAATTATCCCTGCAGATGTCTTTGAAAAACTGAATGCAAGTCTCCCGAATAGAATTGAAGCTGTAACAAAGGCAAAGAGTTAATGCACTAAATACTGAAAAATATGTATATTTAGTTGTTGAGGCTTCTGTGTAATTTTCTGTTAAACATGTATTTTCTGCTTTTTTCCGGATGCTGAAAAATTACCACCTTAATTGTGCTTAATTGCTGTTTTGACTGGAAATTAAATATATGAAAGGTACTACATTATATAATCTCACCTTTGTCTGAGGATGAAGACAGATTGTTTTCAGTGTCCATCTCTTTGTCGTCCTCATCCTCCTCTTCATCCTCATCTTCCTCTTTCACGTCTCCGTTGGAAAGGTGCGAGTTGCGGCGGTAGCGGACGTTGTTGATCTCTTTGCGCAGCAGCCGGATGCGGCGGGTTCGGGCCCCGCTGGAGCGCATGGACGTCACCACGTCCAGCTTATCCAGTAGTTCCTTCAGCTGATCCTCCGCTGACATATGCAGCCTGTTCTCCGGGTCCAGCAGTGTGTCCACTGCACAACACACACAAGTACACACATTCATGCACACAGACAAGCACACAGGTCAGCGAGTCCACAAATGTGCTAAGCCCTATGTAACCCTATTTATCAGAGACAGACATGTCTATTTGAATACACAAATCAAACACAACACCGGTCACATCTATTGAGCGCAAATGAGTAACACGTAGTAGTGAACAATTATCTATCTGTGGTTTCTCTGACCAATATTGTGACTGCATTTTAAATTGAGACTATTTTCTATAAATAAAGGCTAAGGCCTGTTTTCTTGGCAAAGATGACCAGCACAGCCACTTTTTCTGCCTTAGGCCTTGAACCCTGAACATATGGTGCCAGACTGCCAGTAAGTTAAGGTTGTACTGTCATGTACACAGCACACAGGACTAGGGCCGTCACAATCGTGAAATATTAGCGGACAATTAATTGTCAAATAAATGATTGAGATTAATCTTTGAATGGTCTTTTCTCACTAGTTCACTATTTGCAACAATTAAATACTAGCCTAAAGTGGCCAAATTGACTGATTAGCCACCTTAGTTGCTAGCTATGTTTATTTAGTAGCCATGCTTACATAGTAGCTAACACTGGCTGTACTGTCAAATCAATATTGTGTGCACATTCATACAAATGTCTACAGTCATAGAGAATTATATGTAGAGTTTAGCAAAGTTACATGTTTTTCATGAGAGTGAAAGTATAACAACAGAACATTTTGCCAGCAAACCTGCCAAAAACATAAGAATGAGCTCCATAGCTAACAAATGGACAAACATTACTCAGCACTGCCCAGTAAACATGTTAAGAGGACGAAGTTACAGTTAGAACTTTTTTTGTTTTTATAAGCCCCATGATGTCTCAATGAATGTATTTACTTCTCTCTTTTACTTACATTTATTTGCTTCCTCTAATTCACATTTGTTTGTTGCAGTCCAACAACTGTAGAAGTTGACTGCAGTCAGCTTGAATAATTGCTATCATCTCTGATTACGATTAGGTGATTATGTTTTAACAGTGACAGGCTCAGCTTTGACCTCTGATTGGTCTAACTCATCTACAGGTGGCTCACAGGTTTTTTTTAGTGTCATTAGGTTAAATTTCCCTATTTAAACTTAAGAGAATGCTGTTAAAAAGGTAGGATATGATACAAAATACTGCTCTAGCTCTTTCAAACTGCAGCTGACAACAAACCTTTCAGCCCTACTAAAACATCTAAAAATATGCTTTGGTGCCTAGTTCCTAATGTGTGATATTATATAAGTGTATGTAATAAATTATTAATATAACAAACGATTACACCTTTTTAAACAGTAGTATATTCAAAGACATAAATTATGAAATATTTCAAAAAGCCTGATTTTTTTTTAATTCACACCCAATGTGGGTGTTGCTCATGGTCACTAACCATCCTCCAGCGTGCTCCTGTAGTAGTTGTTCTTGTGCGGTGACTCTGCCAGGTGCATGCCGGTATCTGGGTCCAGCCCTGTGTTCTGAGCCTGCCTGTGTGCGTGCCGCAAAATAGCACCCCCGAGCTCCCGCAGACGCACCGCGGCCCGGTGGAACACTGTGTCTTTAGCGTTGTAGAGAAGGCAGTTAGAGATCATGAGGTTAAAATCCGCCTCCAGGTCCGAGAGAGTGCGATACTTGTGTGCCTCCAGCTTGGACCTCATGGTGGAGAAGTCCATGGGCTGAGAGATGAATTCCAAATAATCTGGTACCTAAGACAAAAACAGGCATTAGGTGACAAATTAGCAGAGAAACAGAGAAAAGACAACAGCCATTCCCGCTGGAGCGCTGATTTAATTGTGACTTTCAAATTAAAATTATGTGAAGCTAACTATGATCCAGAAAAAAAAAATTAGCATCATAAAAGTTGCTCTGTTAGATTAGATATGGTCGCCTGTGCTTAATTATTATAGTCTTTAGAAGATCTGATTCAGTTTAGACAAAAAAATTTGGAGTCATTAGTCTGTAGTTCCCTTGTGATTATCAGTCAATGAATAACAATCTGAAACAAAATACACATATTTATATTTTACAGGTTTTTTTCTTGTTCCTTAATGAACAGAACTTATGAACAGAACTAACGAATAGAAGTGCATTGCAAGCATGAGGAAAGTGACACAGTTTTGTTGTTTTAGCTTTGTAGTTCAGCACAGTAGATTTGCAAACACATAAATATGACTGGGTATGAAATGCAGGATGTCAACTTTATTTCCAGCATACTAAATATATATTGGGAGAACCTTATTTTCAGTTTTTTACATAATTTAAAAATGCCTGTTGTGTTTTACATTGTTTGTTTGTATTTCATGAAGAGACAGACCAAAAGAAATGGCCTAAAATGACTTGGAAAAAGGTCTGGTTCCATTGACTTACATTAAAAGTAAGGTAGGTTTTTTCCTTCTCCTGTAAAGTTATCATTTTGGAGATAACAGTGATACAGTGCTTTTTATTCATTTCAGGGGGCAGCAAGTAACTGTTTCTTATTGTCTCTTGAATTTGTTTCCTGGTTTGCAGAACAACGCTTGTGCACAAGAAACCTTAACAAAGCTCTAGAGTTGATTACAGATATATCACTATATGCACCACTACAGATTGCATGATACCGTCTTTTCTACTCAAACTCCCACAGGAAGAAATACACAGCTAACAACATCACATCACAGTGCGAGCGACTGCTATTTCAGGCTTAATTTGCAACAAGGCTGGATTACATTCATTCTGTTTTCCCTTCTGAAGAAAACTCTAAAGAAATGGTGATGAAAAAGAAAAAATGTTAAACAGGTCAAGAAGAGTACCAAGAACACTTGACAAATATGTGTCAAAGGCTGGCATACAGAGCACCAGCATGACCACAGAGGGTTTACCACAAGATGCAAACCACTGATAAGCTTCAAGAGCAGCAAGGTGAAGTTATAGCTTCCTTAAAAGTATATTAAAAACTGTTTAGTTCTGGTACGAAGTCTTACTGAAAGACTAACATGTCAACCTGTACCAGAGAGATGGAATGAAGAAACTGCGAGGCCAAAGGAACTCCTCCTGAGCAAAAAGCACCTCTTCTGTTAAACACAGTGACATGGGCATGTGTGGCCGGAACTGAAACACTCGTGGGGGGGGGCAACATGAAGATATTTATCGTTATCATGATAAGCGACATCTCAATATGCTTTTATGAGTGCTTCCATTTGCAAGTATTGAACACGAATAAATGGAGAACCATGTTTGAAAAGGCTGGGACTCCTATATGGCTCAACCAAAGCAGAGTGAATTACAGCACTTCAACCTTATCATGACGGTTTCATTTCAAATAATTTCAAATGCTGGAGTGCACAGCCAAAATGTCTGAGCGATACTGGCCAAAAATACCTTGATTATACCTTTAAGTCATACTATAGAGCCTGTAGCTCTGCATCAGGATTGCATTTTTTTAAAACACGTTCAATGCATGATCTTAGCACCGTCTTCTCAGCGTGCCTGACGTTGTTATCAGTTTTGTCCTCTAGCTCTTCACCAGTGAGAACTGGACTGTCAGCTGGACAGTTTTGGCTGACTAACTGTTCTGAATTAGTTTTAATATATGAAATGACCTGTTCTTTAGGAATCATCTCATAATTTAATTAGGGACGTCCCAATTTATTCCCCACCCTCGCCGCCCCCAACGAGAGCCAATTCTTTTAATATGTACTATCAGCTAATGCTCAGTCTTACCCAATCTTTGGGTTTTCATAGCTAATAAACTTGTACAATTTAGGAAAATACGCTAGGCTGCCATTTAATACTACAGTAGAGTTTTTTTAGCATGTGCATAATGTGACATTCTGGACATATCTGTTAAGATTTTTAGCTTACTGTTTAATATGATCCAGTTTTATTGATCTCTTTTGATCACGTGGCTGCCAGATATTTTTACTAGGCACTAAAATATTTGATACGTGCATGGTCATGGTGGTACAATCAGAAATTATATACTTATTGTTTTTCTGGACTGTGTATGTAAAACAACCATTAATATAATATAATGTTGTGTATATGCCAAGATTTCATATTGTTGCAACGTGTGTGCAGAAGCTATTCCTTTCTATCTGTTTTGAATGCTACTAACACTGATTTAAAACCAGAAGCAATGCAGCACGGCTGGTAAAGCAGAACATTTCTGCAGTAGTTAAGCTTTCAACCCATTCAGACTCACGAAAAGACTCAGAAAATCATGGCAGGAATGTATTTATCACATGTTTATGGCTGCAAAATGCTCAGGACAAATGGCACAAAGCAGATCAGAATAGCTGCATGCTCACATTTTTACGTGCCCGTGTTATGACGAAAGGCAGCTATTTCAAACATAGTACACGGAAGATAATACAACTTTCATTTTCCACCAGGAGGTTTCAGACCGAAGACATTTAGATAACCTAGATAACTGTTATCTTTTGAAAACAAACCGTAGTGCTGCAGGTTGTGGATGATGTCTTTTTATGGCTCCTCTATGACAGCGCAGTACACAAAAAAAACAAAAGAACGTATTGGAGCTACACCAGGCTGATACCTGATCCATTAAAAGATGCCTGGACGTCCCTAAATTTATACCTCTAATACTAAAAAATTAGATGTTTTTAGACATTTTATGGCCTTAAACAACATTTTAAGACTTTATAAGACTTTTTAAGGATCCGCGAGAACCCTGTGTATGCAGACAAGAACGCTGCTCGCACATTTGGTCTGTACCTCTTTGAGATCGACAGGCTGTGCAAAGATCTGTGCCGCGTCTTTCTCCTGCAGCTGTTCCAGGGTGGAACGCTGCAGCATCAGAGCAGGAGTTAGCTGCAGCTCCATCACCGCCTGATGAACCTTCACCTACAGGACACAGAGCAGGACAAGGTCAGAGAGTCTAGTTTTGCTGTGTCTGAATTCAAGGTTGTTAAAAGTGTCTGTTCAAAGCACAGCAAGGGACAGTAAGCACATTATGTACATTTTCTATTACTAAACTCAAGGGAATCCCAGAGTACTGTACTGTTAAGACAATCTGAGCTGCACTGAACTCCATCAAACGTCTGCTTGTACAGCCTAGTTAGATGACAGAGCACATGCCCTCTATTTCATCTGAAAATAAATCTGTCTGTTTCATTCTGAAACTGGCGGGTACAGCAGTTTGAGTGACTGGTCAAAGTGATACATGCTCTTCCATTTCGCTCTTTTTTTTTGATGATATGCTTAAAACAATGATGGAATTGGCAACTACTTTAGGTCCTTATGAGTTGGGGACACTTAAAAAACAATTATTATAAGGTGACAAGAATCAACAGCTACTGAGTCAGTTTATACCAGACAAACTCCACCCAGTGAAAGGACTGGTTGGTTGTACTCTGTTAAAGAGGGAAGGGCAGTATTATTCTTTCAGTCTAATCATGTACAAGTACAACAATGTTGCACGACCAGACGTTTAAAACGACTTCATGTCTCATACACATAGGAGAAGGTGTGGTCAGGTGACTGTTCTTCTAGGCTGGAAATACTGCCATGCAGAGAGTTACTAGAATTGGAGTAAGAAGGAAAAGATACCCAAACACAGTATCAGTATCTTCAGTGACACTTGAGCAAATTTAGATCAGGATCAAAAGCTACAAGCAGCATTTGATCCAGCTCCAAAGACAAAACCAAAGACAAAAAACTTTACCTGCTCTCTCTTTAGTTTCTCTCTCTTGCGGATGAGCTCAACCAGTAACCGTGCTCGTTCTAGGTCGTGCCGCAACTTCTGCCAGTATTTAAGCTCTTGTCTCACAGCGCTCAACTTTTCGTCTGGCTCAGCCTGTACATACACACACAAAAGACACCCAATTCAAAGACATAGAAGACATTAAAACTCTATGATAAGAACATGATGTATGAAGTTCCTGGCAAAGTGAGTGAAGGTTACCAAATAAAGGTTACACATTGTTAACTATTGGATTTAGAACACTGAAAAAAGGATCTACCAAACTAAATTAGGGAGAACAACAAATCATGGATGCACAGAGTGCTTGTAACAAAGACTGAGACACAAACTTCCAAAAACAAACCTGATCTGCACTCCTCTGGGCCTGCAGATGTGAGTGTAACCGGCGAATGAGAGGCACTCCGTTGCGTGACTGACGCTTCAGTAACCAATAATTGTGCAACCTCTGCATAAAATAATTCTTTCTTTGAATTACAATTCCTTTAAAAACTTTGTTCAATCTGTGGAAAAATAGCAACGACAGACATTAGTGACAAAAAAATACATAAAACATAAAACTGCTTATAGAATTTATTTTGAGATAATATAAATTTATCTGAGATAAATAACAGATGAAATGGGAACTAAATCAGTGGTTCAAATCCTGGTTTTAGAATTCTGCCCAGCTCATTTTAGTGTTTTCATCCAAGACTGCTAGTATTTCGCTCCAAATTTTTAATACAGTTGTTAACTGTTGCACCTTCATGTTCAAAATCTAGGTGCACGATTGGAATCAGATGATTTTTGCAACAATTTCAGACCTGCCAACCTTGGGAAAATATTTTGCGTAGCACAATAATGTAATGTAAGGCTGATTATTTAACTGTTTTAACTGTAAGGCACACAATTTCCAGGTAACGTCATTTCTGAGGCACAGGCACATGCATTTATATCGTAGCATGATCTGCTCACTACGATTACGGGTTTGGCTGCGATAATAATTGTGAACACAGTACCGTGAAAAGTCACATTTAACAATCTGAGGCACACAGACAATATAACTTCACATTACTTTGCCAACTTAAATGCCTGGTGAATAAGCAAGCCAGCTCGCAAATTACGTAATGTTAGGCTAACGTTATTAACATTTCATATTTTCCTAAGGTTGGCAGGTCTGCGTTAAGTTAACTCCATTCACAACTTCAACTTTCCACATCCACTCCAGCCTGTTTATCTTTGCAAAGGAGTTAAAAGCACCGTCCTCCCAGACCACCTAGACGGAGTGAGGATGGTGAATAAGAGGGATAAAAAACATGTTGTGTTGCTATCAATTTGCAGTTTTATGAAATAACTGACATTACGTATTTGTCCTGTGTACCGCTGCGCAAAATGTGTAAAGATCGGCAGGTCTGCAATTTTATGATGTAAATAACGTGAAGCAGGTAAGTACACTCACACTGCATTTGAATTTTGCTGCTACATCTATACAAAAATACTATAGCATACTATTGCACAACTCACTGTGTTAAACAGCCAATTGCCCCTTACTTTGGTGAAGCACTTTATTTGATTCATCTCATATAAATAGGGACCAATTTTTCATTTATGATTTCAAAATGCAAGTCTGGCTTTTTAAAGAGCAAATAATGTTATTTATACTGCAACTCTGGCTAATACTAGAGAAATACTGGAAATACGCTGGTGTGATCATTTAGCCCAAACAGTGTGAAAATTGTCCCCTGGTCAGTCTGGCTACACAGAAATCATAACTAGGTATAGAAATTCATAAAAACATTTTCCATAAATTTTTCATAAAAAAAGTTTCCTACACATAAGCTATACTTAGTTTTGATTTGACTGACTGAATTTTTTTTTTTAATACTCTTAAGGCCAACATTCAAAGCACAACATTACAGGTCTCTAAATCTCCAAATCCCAAACCATTTTAATAGTGTAGCTTTAACAATGTCCAGTTTCCATTTTGTCCCATGTTAACAAATTACAAGTAGAAAATATTTTATTTTGTTAGGAAAAAATAAAGGCAAACACTGTCACTGATGCAAACCACCATTACTTTTTCTTGGTGCTTATTTCCACAACCTAAATCTCTAAGTTAGCACGAGTCCACGAGGTGCCCATTTATTCATAACAACAAAACATTTCTTTCTGGAAGTTGTTAAAATGGAACAAAACACGAACTGGAAATTGTGAGGATTTTGCGGCTTTATCTGAACACCTGAATGACTAAACAAATGCTATTATGAGTTTGGTCATAGATATTCAAATAACCTCCCACACAGTGTTTCCCCCAGGTTTGTTTCGGGCCTGTGGGAAACACTGACCACATCAATCTCAATATCGTGATGATTCACTCTAACGTTCTTTGAAATCTGGAAGCTGCTTGCTTACTAATAATTTTAATTAATACCAGTTTTTAATCTCTCCACTATGTGCTGTATATACACATTACACTCTATTATTCTCCAAGTTATTTAAAGTGTTTTACTGTAGTTTAACGTAAGGTTTTGACTGTCAAATATATAGGAGTAATATACAGGGGTAATATTTGAATATTATTATTATTATTAATAATAATAATAATAATAATAATATCCTGAGTTGGAACTGAGAAAACATTAAAACACGCAAGGCAGGGGTTCTTCAGGACCAGGTTTGGAAATCACTGAACTCGAGTGCAGACAGTGATCTGTAGGAAGGCACTGGTAATGAAGGCAGGTGGATACTGAGGTACTCACCTATGTGGAGGTATCTGTGGCACAGAGACCACTGGTGTTGTCACTTTTCTGGACGTTACATCTTGGCTCTTCTTCCCCTTCCTCTTCATGCTGACGTCCTTCTTACTGCTCCGTCCTGACTTCAGCTGGGGCGTCTGAACGTAGGCACTGCTCCCCCTGTTTGCCCGTCCACCCACCACCCTCCCCCCAGTCTCCTCATCATCTGAGCCCTCTTTGTCCGCTGGCGAGTGCGCCTCGCAGAACGCTGTCTTCTTCACAGAAAATGTCGTCCCATTCACAGTCGTTTCTCGCACCGGGTCAATTTTCATGAAGAGTCCCGCCCTCTGGGCGCAGGTAACGTGGAAGGCCGTGTAGCAGTTGGCATTGTGGCACTGGATGGACGCCCCACAGCCTTTCTGCTTGCACAGGTAACATGTCAGCTTCCACCTGGCAGGAGGGATGTTGTCCACTCCCTCGACAGGCTCCAAAAAGACAGTATTTGCGAAACACACCTCGGGGATCCAGATGGCGCACACCACGTGAGCCCATCGGCCGTCGCTGGTCTGTTTGAACGCTCCGCCCCTATTGGGGCACAGTACGCAGTCCACAGGGCGGGAGGGGGACTGGAGGCAACAGCGGCACAGCCACTGACCCTCTGGGATATAGGGGACCCCGTAGCACTCCTGGTGCACAGCCAGGTTGCACATGTCGCAGAAGAGGATTACGTTGCTGTTAAGGCATTCGTCGTCTAAGCACACGCAGCAGAAAGCGTCCTCATCGATGGAACTCTGAGGAGGAGCCTGGCTCCTTGACTCCAGGAACGACTCCTTCTCCAGACGGTCCATCAGCACCTCAAAGGTGTCCGCCGAAACAACTGGCTGGCCCTCCGATGTCCGCTTCTCGTTCACCATCTCCAACCAGGCCACGTCCTCCTCATCCATGTCGTACTCTGCCTCGTTCTCCAGCTCCTCTTGAGACTTTTCCATGTAGCGGTAGTACGCTGTGGGTAGAGGAGAGGCCTCTGTGGGTGTAAAGGACTCAAGCACCCTGAAGGTGGGCTCGGGTAAGGGGCAGTGGTTACTGTGCGAGTGAGACTGTCCATGTGAATTCGAGCAGTGGTTCTGTGAGGAAGTGTACGCATTCTTAGAGTCTTTCTTTTTGCTTTTACTGCTGGTGGACCTGCGGCTCGGGCTCGCCACGCTGGTCGCAGACGACTGCTCACTGTTCTCTTTGTTGCTATTGCACTCCGCAATGTCCTGCGCCGTCATCTCGTCCTCCGTGATGATGGCCAGCGGGTCAAAGATGCTAATCCGGTGAAGCCGGCCATCCAGGTCCACCTCCACCATCTTCTGGGCCTGGGCGTAGGTCAGGGTTTCACGGGTTGGTGAAACTTTGAGCCTGTAGGGGGACGGTGAGCGGGGCTGTGCTGACCCCCGACCTCCACCACTTCGGGGGGTGGCATCACCTTTTCTGCCCCCCAAACCCGTGGACACACCCCCCCTCCGGCGTGGTTTTCTCATGGGCACCCTCACTGCGTAGCCACGCTGAGCCTGGACCTGCGCACAGAATATAAAGGCACAGGTAAAAAGACATTAGTGGTATAGATACATGCATAGTTTAGTCATTTCCTTTTCCATCTCCAGTTCTTAGTTCACCTGCTCTTCACAAATTTGTGTTTACTCTGCTTCTGGGTCATGTCATTAGCTAATGATCCAGTCCTTTTTGCACTGAATCAGGTGCGAACAAGAAAAAAATTAAGGTCAGCGTGAATTGAAAATTGTAAAGCATTTTCCTTTGGGTTTGTGACGTATTTCCAAGTGAATCATGATTTGAATCAAGGAGCGTCTTTGAGCATTACTGTTTAATGATATGTGGGGGCAGTAAGATAGGATATCATTGGTTAGTATTAGTTGTTCCTGCCTGCTGGTGCACAGTGATGTAATAAAACTCAAAAGACATTTTTGAGGTGAGGACTTTATATTTCAATTAAATAATACAGGAAACCAAGAATTTTGTCTTTTGAATGGACTGGTAAGATGAATATGACCAAGCACATGAACTAACAAAATGAAAAGATCAATGCTGACCTGAGGTTAACTTTAAACTATTCATTGCAGGTGGACTACAGGACCAGACATGAAAAACAGACTTTCAACACATTATTTGACGTATTAAATAATCACAAAGACCTTCACAAACTAAACCAAGTGTTTATAAGTGGAGAAAACATGTATGGAAGCACATGTGGATTTACACGAGTCTATTCTAATGGAAACCTACAACTTAGGTTTACTTTCCATCATAGCTTCGTATGTACTATTTATTCTCATTCGTTGAAACTCTGATTGTGGTCAGCAGTTTAACGTCTAATGTCAGTGGAAGTGCCCAGATGGTAGGAGTTTAGGACCAATCAGAAGAGACTCAGATGAATTTAGCAACTTAAAAACACACTAACACAACTTTATTATTATATGCAATGTGATGAAAACCACTAATATCTCTGTTCTAGTAGGTTCACCATTCAAGGGGAACTCCACCAATTTTTCAAAACTTCTACATAATTAAATGGTTGAGATGTAAACGGTCATTCAGAGTGGCTCAATGTGAAATGTTCTGTTCTAGAGAAACCTGCCCAGTCAGAACTGTTCACAGTGGTGGTGATAGGAACCAGACATCAGAAGAGTTTAGTGCCTCTAAAATCTCCCTCACAGAAAGTTACCTGCTGCTTGATGTCTGACACATTGTTTTATGATAGGTTAGTGATAAAGTTTTGGTTCAAATGTATTGTCATTCATTTATTTTAATCCATTCATGACACAGGGACACATGCAGGTTGTTAAAAGGCAAAACAGTCAAAGAAAACTTTATTTTTTCAGATTTATGACTACTTTACCATCTTCATCACATACAAAACTCAGGAAGACACGTGTAGCTTCACTGGCGGTTTCGGATAGTAAATAAAATAGCTATGTTTGTGATGTAGACATCATGACCCCTGGTTCCTATCACCACTACTATAAAGAGATCCGAGTCTGTTACATGTAAACAGAGGCAGTGGTTTGATCTCAAGGACTGAATTATTTGGAAATTCGAGAAAATTCCAAAATAACTACACATGCAGGTTGTCAAAACTGTCACAAATAAATCTGACACAAGGACAAACTAAATGCAATGCATTAATTCGTTTAAATAATAATGAATAAATTGATTTATTGCAGTAATCTCAGGAAGCTCGCCAGTAAACACACTGTTTTTATTTTTGCTCTCTGGGGGGCGGGACTTTGATGTTATGCACAAGGCCTCCGGCATTTCGCCTTTTCATCGCTTAACTCGCCACTATTTTTCGTGTCTGACACGGGGTTATGGCTGCGGGGTACTCCGGTATCAACTGCGATAAGAAATCTGATGATCACATCGAGAAACGACGAAGTTATTTAAAGTTGCTTCCACATTTCTCCCTCGAAGTCAGGCGCCGCCGAACAGCTCGGGAAGTTTTTCTCTCTTCCCAGCGAAACTGCACTTTATCGGCCAATCACCGCGCTCGAAACGCGACTCGAGCCCCCTTTCAGCCAATGAGCGACGTGCTGAGCGGATAAAGCGTTCGGTTACGCGTCCTCATTTCTAGAACGAAATGTCAGCCATGTTAACAGTTTTAGCCGAACTTCAGGCTGTAGTCATGGCAGCGGGGCTGTCGGCTCAAACTTAAAGCTGCTTTACTGACACAATAAAATGCAATGTCAGCGCCCCGTACACAGAGTTACGGCTAAATAAACCACTGTTGGGTCACAACACCGCCCAAAATAAACTATCCTCGGCTTCTAGGTAGCCATATCGCTAACTTTAGCTATCTTAGCTAGCCTCCAAGCCCGCACAACAAACTCGTCTCAGTAAACCTTCCATACAGGCTGAAGGTTAGCTCTTCGCTAACTGTATGTTGACACCGACTAGCTCACTTTATTTCGCAAGCGAGGACGATAAAACACACGTATACACGTCCTGGGTGAACGTTCAGTTCGCCCTCAACAAGTAAACAAAATCATTACCTTGGTTTTAACACGGCAACTCTCCCGAAGCAAGCGTAAACCCTCCCGCTCGTCGGAGCCTGGCCAAGTTAGCCAGCAGAGCAGAGGCGTTCTCCCCTCGAAAAGCCGGTCAAATCCGCCGATAAAAACAGTCTCCCCCCACCGGTCCCTCTCACTCTTTCATGGTGTCTTCCTACAAACGTCTTCACTGGCAGCCGGACGCATTTTCCCGTCTGCGCTAACAGTTCGCAAGTTCAGGTCTGCATAGGTCTGTGCCTGTAGTTTAGCGTTTAGCGTAGCTAGCTGGCTATTTTCAGCTACAAAACGAACCGACGTTGCCTGGCTAGATAGCGGGTAGCTGATACAGAGGGAGAGAACGGGGCTTTCAGTCAAGATAGCGAGAACACGCCCCTTCAGAGGAAAAGAAAAAGCAGGCGATCCACACGGTCGGCTTTTACACACAAATCATGGAACAGCACATTTATTTAACGCTTGATGGACAAGAAATTTGTAACGGCTTTCTTCTGGCACGTACTGTAACGCCCAACCTTGCAGAAGTGGCCAGTGCTGGTGGTAAAGGTGCAGAGGTTTCGCTGCCCTTTCCCCACAACCTGCTAGCTCAACTAACTGCAACTATCGGTTGGCAACTGGCGAGCTGCAGTCAGAGATTTGGCCGGGTAGCACAGAGGCGCTGCATACCACGAGGTGGATTTCCAAGTTATGAGCAACATGAGTTTTATGGATAAGCAAACTTTAACTGTCTAATTAAGGCAATTAATTAAAATATGACCAAATTTCTATATATAATGCACATGATTGGCAAACTGTTATACCGATTGTGGTATTGCTAAATGGCTCTTATGAAAAAGAACTGTAGTCACATTATAAGAAACTACAGTTTTTATAGTTTTTTTAAAAATAGTTTTATATAAGCCTTCAACAATAATAAAAAACCCTCGGTATAATATTGCTTCAGTACAGTCCTATAGCAGTCTAATGTTTGTGCAGAACCAGAAACTGTAATAATTCTCTGATTTTACTGTAAGATTTTTATGGGAACTCATGTAGTATTACTTTATTCTTCTACATAAGTGTTTTTTCTAACACAACCTTTAAAAAGTGGTTCTTCAAGACAATGGTTCTAGACAACCCAAAATAATCATTTTAATGGTTCTGTATACCAAAAAAAGGGTTCATTTAACTTTTTTTGGTAATAAATAAGTAGAACTTTTGCTAAGAACGTGCCTTACAAAGCATCTGCATCATAAACAACATTCACAAATGTATATTCTCTTCCATCATACAGCCTCGACTAGCACCATTCACCATATCACTAAAATATGTGTACTTGCTATGGCAGTATATGACAGCTATGACAGGCTGCACAAAGCAGTAAGGTCCAGAAGTATGTAATTCTACCTGTATATACTGTGTTGAAATTCACTGATTAAACATCTTTGTGTACTAAAACAGGTCAGTTTGGAAATAACAGAGAGGCCTCCGCATTTCACACCACTGTGTCAGGTCTTAACGTCCCTCTCATCCAGTGAGAGACCATTTGGCCTGCGTAATCAGTCGGTTCATTTGCATTTGAACTGTTTTTCCTTTGGGCCTACGGCTGGTGAGTATTCTGCCCCACCTTCCACAGATTTTAAAGGGAGCTAAACTGCTCCTCAATTAGGTAAGCATCTTCTGGGTGACTCCCTCACCCCCCCTGTGAAGCTGTTTCACTGATGAGGGTGTAGATTCTCAAACAGTGCATTAAACATGGTGTCTGCATTTCTGTAAAAGTATTAACTGTGACTGAGATTACATTTTACAAACTGAAGGCCTTAAATTGTGTTACTATGTTAAATGTATTTTGTTGTACAGCCAGAGATTTATTTAATTTCCATTGAAATAGATATTTCTCAGGAGATTAGATATAAGATAATGCACTTGCGTAAGGAAATGGAAAGTCTAGAAGAAATAAATGGAGTTTACAAAACCTTAATTCAGAAAATGATTTAAAGATGAAGAGAAAATGAGACCCCTAACAACCATGCAAGACCTGGTAGACCACCGAAACTGTCCCCATCAGATAAACAGCACTTAAAGCTTTCATCTTTTAGAGAGAGGAGAAAATCAAGCTGCTTCAGATCTGAACAAATCCACAGGTGTTTCTGTCCATCCTTCCACTGTGAGAAGACAACTTAACACAATGGTTCTGAAAGGATGTGTAGCTGTCAAGAAGCCTCACTAAGAAAAGGAAACGGACAAGAATAAAATATACAAATCTGGTTAAAGTCACTGTAAGGTGGTTTTGTATGATGCACAGTGTAGAATAAGAATGGTACAATATATGATTTACAGTCAGTGGAGTTTCTGCATTTTAATTAGCTATATATTACTTGTAAATCTGACAAGTAATGTTTTGACAGATCGTAATAGTGAAAAACTGTACAAGTCTTAAGGTAAGCATCAGCATGAATCTGTATTTACTCTCTCCACTGTGAAAAATACTATTTTTTCAACCTCTTCTGAGCATTAAAAGCCACAATGTTACAAGTCTGGTTCAAAGAAAAACATCTGGAATAACTCTTCAACTATTCTAACATAGCACTTAAAGGCAAAGGTAACGCTTCACTGAAGTGCAATGCACATAAGTTTACACAACACCTGCATTTCTTTGAGCCTTTATATACTTTTATGTAGATTTCTGATAGCTGTCATTAATGGCTTTTGTAGGTGTCATGCAGCCTTAAGACTGCAGCCTTTCAGTAAAGCGTTACCAAGGCAAATCGGCGACAAACGAAAGCCAGTCAGCACTGTAACAGAAGTACATCCTTAAGTCAACTTATCAGATCTACAGAAATGATACATTCATCACTGATTCCTCATAGATTGTCATAAAAAATATTTTCAATCTGTAACAGCTGTAATGTGTAAACTTCTTCCACACTGCTCTTCTGCTTTAAACGTGTCTCTATAGTGTAACATGAACCACAGCCGGATCATCACTGAGTCATCGTCAGCGTGTTTCTCCTCTTCGAGTCTCGTCTCGGGAATGGAACAAAACTCTTCACTTCTTTAAAAGATAATCCTGTTCAGAAAAGAAGAAAAGAGCATTTAGGATGATTAATAAGTGCCACACACTGAAGGTATTAACAGCACTGCAACATGATTAACCCTTAGAAGTCAAGAGTCATTACCTTTGTTTGCTACAGTATTCAAATGTAATTACATTTTTAATTACATCATGACGTAAGCAGAGTTGTGAAGAAATAACAAAAACGCCCCAAATATGTTTGTTTCTTTTTTTCTGCAAAAATGAGACCGTACGTAGAACACTTAGCAAATTTAAAATTTAAAAATAATCTCCACTTCTACCAGGAGCCAGGAAAAAAAAACAAAAAAACATGACCTGAAAAAGAACTTTAATAAAAAGCTTGTCTTTCATGATTGTCAGTTAATGTACAATAGCTTTGTTTCATGCAGTTATATTTTTTTACTCATTTGTGGTGTTTGAGGGCTTTTAATGAATATATATTTTAATATATATCTTACTGTATTTATTTATTCATTACATATACAAGGGCTACTCTTTTATCTAATTCTTGTATCTGCTTTGGACTGTTCCCAGTCTTTGAGATGCCCGGGGTCTTGCGGTCTGAGGCACCCCAAGGCTCCTATGAACTGACACCCCTAGCCCAACCAGTAAACCGTTCCTGTCCTCTAGTTATAAAAACAAATATAATATTGATTAAAAATTTAGAATCTGCATTTCTGACAGAATTTTTCTCCTTGTTTCAATGAACTGTGAGTGAGAAAAAAATAATATTGAATCACACCCTGCTTTTATTATTGCCAGTAATAACCAACTTCTTAAGGGTTAACCCATAATTTGCTCTAATAGTGTGATTGCGCACTTACGCCTCCACTCCTCTAGGGGCAGCGTGGCATTGTCATAACTGTCATCATATGGCTTAGGCTCAGGACAGTCCTCTGGATCCCTCAGGCCATCGAAATAACAATGGGCCAGCGCACCATCAGCAGTGAGGCGGGCACCTGCATCTAAAACCAGCATCTTCTCCAGCAGGTCTACAGCTGGAGTGAATATCAGATTAAATGAACAGGGCAAAAGCATTCGATAGATATGGCATAAATAATAATGATATGCACTGAAAAAAATTATGCATGTTCAAATGTGAACATTATGTCTACATATTGTCACTGTCCAAAAAAAAGCATCTTCATTTTTCGTGCTTTCTTATCTTTCTGCTCAGCAGCTTTCGTTTACATTAAGTGAAACGTTCATGATGACTGGACCAATAGAAATGCTCCAAAATAGCTTGGAATAAAATCTCCTGTGAAATTACCATTTGTGAGATACTTGTTTTTCTTTGGAAAGCGATGATGTATAAAATATACTACAGCAACACAAAAGCAAAATCAAGAAAATGATAAACAACATTGTGCTAATTGTATTCACGTGGAAATAATGCATATTTTAAATCAAGTAAATTTAAAGGGCCCACATCAAATCAAAATTTCCTAACTGAAGTAGTAATAGTAGTAAACATTGTTAGTTTAAACATATTGTTCACTCCTAACTCCATGAAGTTCATATGTGGAAAATGATTTCCCAAAACAGCCCATATTGAATTTATTGTTTTTGTGATTTCACAAAATGAAATTTGAATGAGACACATTACAGTACAGCCAATCAGAACAGAAGTCATTTGCATATCATCAGTCTTAAATGCAGAGTAACAAAACAGCCTGTAATTTTAAGGTAGAGGTGAGAAGTTGGAAGATGGTTGTATAAAAATGATTTTAGACCATTTAGTACATATTTGGTACATAAACCCACACAAAAGTGGATACATTTTGAGAGGAGGAGGACGTAAGCTCTTTAAAGCATAACTTTTTTCTTTCTCAGACCTGCCTCGATTAAAGTCGGCATAAGGGATGTAGCATTTGGACTCACTGACTTTCAGAACATCGCAGCGTTTAGGTTTAGCAGTGAGACAATTTGCATATCTTATTCATCTAACCATTTTGGGGTGAATACAAACACATCTCTGAAACAGACATATTCATGTACACATTATAGATACATCACAATGTATCAGCACCAAACCGGCAGACTTTCTGAGAGATACGTTTTTCCACAAATTCTTTGTGCAGAAAACATGTATATCGCTGTTGTCAGAACAAAACCTCGTATCTCCAAAATGGTAATTTTACAGGAGAAGGAAAAAACATACTTTACTTTTACTGTAAGTCAATGGAACCAGAATTTTTTCAGAGTAATTTTGGGTTGTTTTTTTAGACCATTCATCATGAAATTTACACACAATGTAAAAATCAACAGGCATTTTCAAAATTATGTCAAAAACTGAAAAATGACAAAAAAGGAGATACGAGGTTTTGTTCCGACAACAGTGATATGTAGCATGAAAGTAACTTGAAGGAACCCAGAAAATATAGTTTTTCAAATATTAGTTTTAAGGACATGATGCTTTTGTGCTATGGATCTGATGTGTCTGAATCAGAGGTGTAGCTATCCAGATTTGTGACTTTTAAAAAATGCACATAAAAATAATACAAAACGTAAGGTGGTCATGCACTAAGGTGCGGTGCTCTTGCATGCTTGTGCCTTTTGTCCATTTTAAA